AAGACATACCTTCCAACAACAACAGCAAGATCACCTCTGATTGTGCCAGGTTCAGATTTTTGTGGATCAGTAGCACCAATTAGTTTTCGACCATATTTTATGACTCCCTCCCCTTCCCAAACCTACAATTTAATTAATAGTGAAATAAACTTAGTTTCCAAACCTTTGTCTAAGGGAAATAACATCACTTATATTATCTTACCATAGCAATCACGGGACCTGAGCTAAGAAAGTCACAAAGGCCATTAAAGAAAGGTCTTTCTTTAAGATCATAGTAGTGTTTCTCTGCAAATTCCTTGGAAGGAACCACAATCTTGATTGCCACAAGCTTAAATCCTTTGCGCTCAAAACGGGATATAATCTCTGCAATCTGAAGAATAAACACTGATCAGGTATACTACATTATCTATGTACAAGAGGGAAGAGAAACCCAATCAGAAAATAATCTCATAGATCATACAAACAGAAAGTGATTAGCAGTGCACTAGAATAGAGTATAATATTCCTGGCGGAGAAAGAACTTTGATGTGTACAACTAATAAACTCATATCAACAATTAAGAATTAACATGCTTGTATTAGCAAATGAAAGATTAAATTTTTTTTAACAATCAGGTTGGTTGGAGAAACATTGTACTATCAAACTTATTCAAACATCTATAAAAAGGTTGTACACTATTCTGCTGAAGATATATCACAAACCTAGGAGGTTGGTACATACATTTAACTGATGGAAGATGCACGAAGCTCTAACTTGTAGGATTAATTCTTGTATAGTAAATTCCACTGTTGTATTTTTCTTCCATCAACAATATTCTTCCCAGCAGTTTTATAACTTCAAGTTGTTTTTGAGCCAACATTCTTATGGAAAGATTGGTGTCCTCAAACACTGTGGTATTTCCCTACTTATAATATAAGACATATTGTGTTCCTTGAAAGATCAGGATGATATACACTAAAAATAGAAAATGTAGTACAACTAATAGAAATCTAGTGCAATATTCGAACTCAACAAATAAGTGAAACATTGGCTGCAAAAGTTAGATACAGTAGTCTTTATCTTGTACAGATCTAAGCCATATCTGAAAAACAACTTACCAGCCCTCTTTGCACTCCATCAGGCTTTATTGCAATGAATGTTCTCTCCAGCTTAAGCATATAAAAAACCATGATTAGTAATGCCAAGTTACAGAATAGAAACATTAGCTGAGAAATTTCTGTCTGAAGATTGTACCTCTGCTGCATGTAACTGATGATCTTGTAGCATGTATACTGCAATGAAAGAAATTTGAATGTACAAACATCAGTCACACGGACAACTATAAGTAGCTAAGTAGGACAAAAGAAGAAGCTGTAACATACCACTTCCTCAAGAAAAAAACTGAAATACAAAATACAAAGATCTCATGTTTGCCCAAACCCATATGATATAACTCCCATGCAGAACCAATCAACCAAAGAAGAAAATTCTAGTAAAAAGTTGGCTAGAGTACGTTTAAAAAGTAGTTCTCAGAAAACAACAATATGATATATGAAGCAAAATGAAGAAAATGCACACAGAACAAGACCAAGGAAAGTACCATTATTAGGTTGAATCAGCTACATAAGGGAGAACATTAAATGAGAGGAAATCCAGCTGATTACATACAATCACTGACCTGCAGCAGGAATGGAAAGGGCACCATAAACCCATCCTCTGGATGTGCTCTTGTAATCAGCCCTTTCACAAATTGAAGATAGAGAACGTGCTGAACCTCTGAACACAGTTGCGGTGGCTGCTGCTGCTGTGCGCCACTCTATCTAGAAAAAAATCTCATAGGCTTAACGTTGGAGCACCTAGTATGTACATGATTGGAGATAAAAAGAAAGTCACAACTTGTAATTCTAATTAACTTAGGAGAATTTTTCAGATGAACCGTCTCGTATTCTTGAATAGCTATGAGAACTGCATGAGAATACTATTTTCTTATATATTTGAACAGGGTCAGTAAAGCTTATAGACAACAAATAACAAAGAAGTAACCAACATGCACCCCGAGAAACCAAACTGGGCATGACTGCCCAAGATTGAAAGGGAGACCTTAAGAGTTCATCATATATCAAGTTATCAACAAATATTTCTTTAGTCAATAAGGCTGCCATAACAAACATGAGCAAAACCAGAATTCATTATTTGAGAGGGTAATGATTCATAAAGCACAATGAATTATTGGAAAAAAAATCGAGAATTGTTTGTGAGAAAATGAAAAAATCTATTGCCAGTAATAATTATTAGTAAATAAATTATTCTTTTAACATAAAGTTTCATAATCAAAGTCCCATCACTGTTAAATATATAAATTTGGTTCCCTTACGATTAAATGGTTGCTACCAGACATCTTTTGGAGATACAAATGCAGTTTAATAATTTGATTGAGCATTTTATATTTAGATATAGATCAAAGTACTGAGGTTGTGATAAAAGATGCAATATGTCAACAAGCAAACGACTACGAAGTATTTGTAAGGAGCAGTCAAGCAATGAGCCATGATCTATGGTTCGGACCATGCAAATTAGGCTCCGATCCGACCTCAGATCATGTCTTTCCTACTTCAAATTTTCTGAAAAGCAAGATGATATTAAAAAAAGCATTAATTATTTCAATTCAAGGTATCCTTTCAATTCAAGGTGCCCACTTTTGTATCCTTTGAACATAACAACTAAGAAATTGAACATACATGTGGGGGGATTTGTGAAAGTAGGGCAGCACTATATATCTAAGCTCGGAATGGATCCTTTTCAAATCCCAAGAAGCCAGGGTGGCCATGTCCTCACTTGGCCCTGGTGTGGCTTTGCCGCCGGTGACAAACATCCTTTTTGGGACTCTAATTGGCCTTCTGGAAGTACATACAAGCACAAACATAAAGTGGTACTTGTGCACTTCTCCAACGAATTCCTTTTTTTTTTGCCTGAAGCTCCTCCAAATAATTCTTTGAATTCTACTAAATGTGTAACGGAATCGAAAGAGAAAAAACGACAACGTTTGATTTAACGTGATGTTAATTAGCTCCGAAAGGAACAGGGTGATATGAACCAGTTTAGGAAAAAAACAAACTCTAGCACAAAGAAAGGATAACCCGAGAACTGTCGAAGACGAAACTTAACCCAAGTTTCCAATTTTCCAATTCGATGTAAAAATTAGTCGAAAATTAAGGTTAAAGTACGCGTCGCAACAATAAAATTCCAACATTTTCGAATAGAAGTAATAAAAAAAAGAATCTTTCCGCTTAAAATACCAAAAAATGCAATTTAAACATATCCTCGATTGGATGAAAGAAACAACACCCGATCGATAAATTTTCGAGAAATGTTAGTCTGAAGGCAATCAAATTGCACATCTTCCGAAGAAACGCAATCAAGACAAGAGCTTTTCCGTTTGAAAAGATAAAATAAAAAGGACAGCACATCGAAAAGGAAAGGCAAAAGGCAAAAGATATTTCCAGTGCAAAGGGCGCAAAAAAAGGAGAGAACTCACGGCAGGGAGCAGCGGAGGCCCGCGAAGACGAGAGGAAAGCCCTCGCCGTCCTCGAAGCGGATCGGAGAACCTGAAAGCTCATTTTCGATCGTGCAGAGAGAGGATAGAGAGATGGAGCGCGCTGCCTTCAGTGGCTCTCGTTCGCTTTTCGCGTTCGGGCCTTCTCCTACTTTTAAAGGTCAGGTTCTCCTCGGTCCGCGGGCCAACCCACGAGCCCATATTTTGACTCCTATACCCTTGCACTTCGCAGTAATGACGAGGAGATCGATATGGTAACGGTTACGACGCGTAGGGGTAATAAGGCCAAATAGGCCCGAAAGAACACGTGTGACCGATTCCTCGAGGGTCGCTCCGGAGATCGTGGTGCGGATCGTTACTCGGCGGCGATCGCGTCATAGGAATCCGTTAATATGCGCACGCTCTTTAAAGACATATGTTAGTGGGATTTTTTATTATTTTATTTGATATTATATTATTGTTACTCCAACAATGTTTTTTTTATCTATCTTAGGGTAGAATAAACATTTATGAAATATTAATATAATTTATTTTTTAAAAAAGTAATTTATGACACTATCTAAAATTATAAGATTACTAATATGACTTAGGTGAAATTTTATTTATTTATTTTCTAAATATTATTTTAATTCATTTATATTATTATATTTAGTTATTTATTATATATCTAGACCACACTAATTATTTTTGTAAGATTATATATACTCATTTTTTTATTTAAGTAAAAAATATGTATTCACTTTTGAATAAATTAAGAATAAATTTATCACATAATATTTAATAAACTTTTAGCATATACTTTTATCAAACAACAATTACGTCAATACATATTTAAAATATAGTTTTCCTTTATTATTTATTCAAAATATTTTTTTAAATATATATTAAAAAAATAAAATACCTAAATTAATTATCCTTTTAAATTTTAATAAATGAGGTTTCATAAGTGGATCAAATCAATATCTTATATACTGACAAAATTATCCCAAAATTAATATCGACTTGATTCTAATATTAATTGACTTGATAGGATAATTGACCTATTAACAAGAAGTTTGTGCGATCGCAGATGAGATAGATGTCTTTGCATCATTTGCCACTACAACAAGAATCAATTCTCCGAGCACTTGGTGGGCGATTCGACGAGGAGGTCCAATAATTAACCCTCAATTTGGTATTGGACAGCAACTACAAATATTAATTTCTAGAAATATGGGGAGAATTAATGGATGAATATTCATTAAATATTTTCTATTTATTCGACATCTGTCGAGAACCTAACCTGTCTTCACTCGTTTTATTCCCATCGCAGTCACTGCCCCACCAATCGCGTGAGAAGCAATGCGGGCCCCTTTTCTGGTATCGGCAAGGGTAGGGCTCTTACATGGACCGAGTCTTTATGGGCCTATAGCCTGTTAGTTAAATGGGCCGTTTCTAGAATGTGGTGGCGGCGAGGGTTTAAATTGGCACTTCGCCGCTCGCCGACTCTTCAGCGTGCGTCCCCCTGACTACGGGAGGAGGAGGCGGAGAAGACGCCGAGCAACGGATGGCGGCAGCGGCAGAGGGACGAAAACAACAAGAGGCACGCGGCGTACGCAAGCGCAAGGATCCGCCTAGCCATGGCCAGACGATAGCAGCAGATGAAGAAGAGCAACGACAGCCGCAACGACAACAAGAAGAAGGGCGGAAGCGGAGGAGGAAGCCGAAGACGTGCTTCGTCTACGGCAACTACAAGAGCTACTACAGCTATCGAGTAACTCTCTTCGCCCCTTTGCTTTCTGGCTTCTTGAACGGATGGGTTAAGATAGTAGCCTAAGGTTTGTAGGCGCGTCAGCGTCTCAGATGAGTAGCTAAGTATGTTCTGAAGTGTTTTTCTACTTTGGACGTGAACTTTTTAGGGTTTTTTCTGTCATTTCTAGTCAATAGGTTGATCGACGCTAATGATGAATCGTTATAGGTCTCTTATCGCGCTCATGCTTCAATGGCAGTAAAGAAAGATTAGTATTGACGTCTCACTGTGTCAAAATGATGTGTGTATCTATGTAGGTTAAGAACAACATGTACTCTTGTGTAGATGGTGGTGCTGTGCCTAGCTATTAAATGGATATACATACATAAATACATAAACGCACAACAATAACAACGACCACAAGCCACAATGTCCTAAATATTTAGGGTATATATATGTATACATGTATGTAAAATGGTGGACACCTACAAGTTGTCTACTTTTTGACACATAAGAAAAGGATTAACAAAAAAAGGAATTTGGCACTTTTTTAGATGCATCACGAGCATTGCACTAACGGTGACTTGGTCCTTTTAATGACTTTTCCTTGGTGCCCTTGGGTAGTAAATATAGTATAAAAGAATGAGATTTGCAAGGAGAGCAATGGTGAACAGAAAAAGGGTACAAAACTGTAAAGGGGATTCCACTATTGTAAAGAGGATGAGTTGTTTTTTTACCTACCCCTTCTTTCCTCTTGGCATTCTGTTTCTCCACTTTCCATGAATACATTACTTATTCTTGCCATTTCTTTACCTACTACTATGTTCTCAAAACTTCAACAGATATATGCTGCTGAAGGACTAATACATCAAAATTCCAGAAGAAAAAGGCCCCAATTGGGCCGCTTGGCCTAGTGCTTTCATAGGTTTGTCAAGCCTAATGCTATATGGCTTACAATCAAAATCAGTTGTTTAAGCTGCTATGTGATATTAACGTGCTCCACATGGTACTTAGAGTCACAATTCATATGTCTTTTTAAGTTTTCAGGTTCTCAAGGAGTAGTAAAGTGCTAACCTTGGACAGAAGTATCATGCATTTTATGGTTCTACTTTGCACTTCGGCTTTGTGGTTCTACGGTGCCCTTCAGCTCAATGTGACCACTGCTGCTCACATGTGAATTTAAACTTTTAGTAGGTATTTTATGAAGTTCTCAAATTAGTTTGTGGATGAGATGGAGCACTATAATACCCGTGCAACCTTACATGATTTGACAAAAAAAAGTCTCTGTTTGCTGAAGCTGTATGAACATTGTGCAGTTCGTTGTCAGGGCTATGTCCTGCATTCTCCGTTCCTTGCTGAACCTATATAAATCTGTTTGTTTCTTGCTTTTTCCAACACTTAGGTTTCTTTCATTCTTGTCCTCCACTCCTCTGCTTATATTGTGCTTCTATTTTATTTTTCTTTTGCAAATCATAATACTGGTTTAGTTTTCTGTGCCCACATTTTCGTGTTTGTTCCAGCATAGTGTCTGTTAGTCATAGCTATATGGCTGGTTACTTGATCAACTTTTGCATTTTGTCATTTAAGAACTGTTCATTCCAATGTAGATTGATCGCAATGTGAAGGAAGATCCTAGACTTGCTCTGTTTAAGAGAGAATGGTTTGAAGGCAAGGATTGCCTTGACATTGGCTGCAATGAGGGTCTAATAACTATTAGCATAGGTAATTAATTTCCTGCATATATTCAAATTTCTTGTAGTAAGTTGGTATTTTCATTTCTCTTCATTTAATTTATGTTTATTCCTCTCTTTTGGCTCTTAGATTTAGAGACTGTACAGCTTCTTTACTTAAATGCTACAGAATGTATGGAATCAATTGATGTAATATCTTAAATCTCAAAATGAGACATCCTGTTGATTGTTAGTTTGGAATGAATGACATTTTTAAAAAGTTAAGGCAAATAAAACAAGTTCAATTATATATATTGTTGCTGATTCCTTTTTGTTGATTCTTTTTGGCAGCAAAGAAGTTCTTTTGCCAAAGCATTCTTGGCATAGATATTGATGCAGGTGAGAACATGCTTTTCTTTGTTCATAATGTTATTGTGGAATATTTTAGACAACACATTCTAATACTTAAGATATTTGTGCAAGTTAATGTTGAGCTTGTAAATTCTATATGACTGTAACTGAGATATCATGCTTTTGTAATTGCCTTTGACTGAAAGATTAGTGCAAATATAGACAATACTTTCTTTGTGCTAAACTCTAAGATGTGAAAGGGAACATCAGGATTTGATTGCTTCTCTATTTTGAATCTGTAATGCCACTTTATTGTTGGATAATCAAATTCCTTAACTTGATCATTCAGTTCATGATAGTTTTAAAATTAAAATTGTCCATAACATGAAACAACCCATCTCATATGTTGGAAATTTCATGTTAAAAAGTTTGTTATCATATAGAGAGAATAAGAAAGATCTAGCCCTACACTCAAGCAAAAGAGTATGAAGTGTAGGGCTAGACCAAATCTATTTAATGAGGGAGAACACATGAATGTGCTTGATAAGGTCCTCCTTCGACAATGAAGTTAGACTTCAGTTCAAGATAACAAAATAATCTAAGGTATACATTTAGATAAAAAAAATTGACAAAAATAGAGTGACAGAGTTTATATACCTTTACCTATGAAGAAGTGTCTTTTTGTTGCATGAGATTTTGTAATGACTTGGATCTAACAGAAGATTGCTCATATTAGGTCATTGATGTTGTTGATCTGTTACTAGTTGTTTTAAGATATCATAGATGACATGACAGGTAGTCAAGCGTCATTGATTTTTTGGTTATAACAAAATTTGTTAGGCAGTTTCAACTCTGATGATGAAGTCTCAAGTTCTAGTGTAGTTCATGCATCACCATTTAGAAACCTGCTAATATCTCCACATTAATATCAAAAAACTGTATAATTCATTATTATTATTTGCAAAGCTGGATGCTTGAAAAAAATATTTCACACTTATCAAAGAAGTATTTTAAAAGTATTGTATCCTGCACGTCAAGGTTCAAAGCTCAGATATTAGACCTGTTTGGTCCTTGGCCAGACTGATATAAGTTCAATTTATATTGGCGTGTCAACGCACGGTATGCTGATACCTTGGTATCGAGAAGGTGGGAGGAGAGGAGAAGAGTTGTACTAGGAGGCTGACGATGGCAGACAATAGGTAGATAGCCTGACAGTAGTAGCACGTGCAGAAAGTCTCATGTGCGAACTTGAGGAGGAGGAGACATACCATGAGGTCAACGGTAGTGGACGACAGGTAGGTGATTCTGCAGCAGGCAGACGACAACATGAGGCATGAGGAGAAAGCCTCAGGTACAAGGCTGCAAGCTAACAACCCTAGTCTGTTGCCTCTTAAAAAAGAAATGAACTGGAACTGATCAGGCAAAAACCCTGCTCCGCATCCTAGTTTAAGCCTGGACCAGTAAATACCGCCCAACCCCAAATACCACCCAATTTGTGTCAGTCCCGACAAAATTTGAAACCTTGCTACATGTATCTAATATGGATATGACAAGCAGTTCAAATTATTTCTGCATCATAACTTTCATTTGGCTTTAAGTTTTTGTTAGATTTGGTGAGCACTATTTGAGTGGCGCTTCTTTGGAACTCACTCAATTTTGTCCCCAACATCTATGAGCCTTATGTAACAGCAGCTATGATTACAATCAATCTTTGTTCTACAAAATTAACTGTGATCAGCTTTAGCTTCTGCATTGTAATTTGATTTCATGCAGTCTGTGATTGGTTATTCCATATTTAAGTATTATAAAGAAAAAAATGAAGTCTTACTAATAAAGTGTTTTTTTATTCCTACATAAATTTAATTTCAGTGCATCTTCAAATTTGTCTTTGTTACCTCAAATTATGTAAATGCACTATTTCATGCTTATAAATTCTTAGATCTATCATGGAGACATGTAAGGCCTTTTGGGTAGGAAACTTGTACTTTCTACAAATGTCAATTTTTATGTTGGAAAAACGAAATTGTCATATTCTAGCTCCTCCATTAATGCTTACTAGATCCTCTTTTGCTATGTCCATTTTGCTTCAATCATTTTCATCATTATGTTGTACCTAGCAGGTTTAGTTGAAACTGCTTATTGGAACTTGCGTAAGTCAGCTAGAATGAAACGTGGCAATTGTACATCCATGGAGGCTTCTAGAATACAGGATTCAGAATGTGTGAACTCTTTGAACACCAATGCTGATCCAGCTTCAAATGGGAAACCATCTAGTTCCCAAACCTCCCTTCCTGTAGATGAACTTTTAAAGAGAGTTTCTTTCCGGCATGAAAATTTTGTTGGGAGTTTGCGTGAATGCTCAGAGAAGTATGACACAGTTCTTTGGTAAGTTCTGTAACGACTAATTCAGCAATAGTATTATATTGCCTTATCATTTTTTTCAGGTTCTGCGTTTTTGCATGTTTTTCTTTTCCAATATTTGAAATTGGTTAGTTGATGAATTTAGATGCTCTTGTGCAAGCTGACCGGTTTGCTTCTACATGCAGTTTGAGTGTTGCAAAATGGGTCCATCTGAATTGGGGTGATGATGGATTGATCAATATGTTTGTCAAGATATGGAGACTTCTTCGTCCGGTATGTCTTTGATTATCTTGTTTCAGTATGCTTCTATAAAATGCATATCTCTCATGTGTACCAGATAAATTGTTTATTGCTTTAGAAACTGTCATCGTCTTTTAGGGTGGGATCCTACTATTGGAAGCTCAGCCATGGTCTTCATACAAAAGAAATCAAAATGTATCTGCGGTATGATTTTTATTATTCTTCCCTACATCTCTTTCTTTTTATCTTTTTATTATTTGTAAAGTTTCTTTTTACATTGAAGTTTTTGGGTTTTCAAAGTTGAGTGGTAAGCATGTCTTTCAGTTATCTAGTTGTATAATTAAAAAAAAAAGTGTATGATTTCAGACATATGTTGGGATCATTCAATTATCTGCTTAATCATCGTGTTGCGACAGTTTGCTGACTGTGGGTATTTGTGTTGGGCTTGATCTGGTCCATCTCAGTGTGAGATATATATGAGTGGACAAGGAATGACAAACCTGCAACTGCGCCCAAATATTTACGAGCAGACAGGATTTACGAATCATTTGGAAAGGTGGCCGATTCTGAGAATGGGTATAAGAGCAGAGAAAAGAATAATTGAAGCAGTGATGTATCCCAGGAGGATGTCTTTATCCTGGTAAATGCACAAGGAAGATCTGAAAAATCACCATGCTCTTCTAGAGTACAGGTGTCATTCTTGGCCTGAATGTTGGGTCAAGCAACCCAATTTGTACCCCATTTACTGTTTATCATGAATAAGATTCAGTCTGGACCATTCTTAATCTCCTTCCCTAAGAATGAGAAATACGTCTTTGGACCCATCAACTTGACCCGTTACAATCTTTTTGCTTATGGGTCAGTTATGGGTCATCAAATCTTGACCCATTGGCAGGTTAAGTAATGCTTTGGTCAGCCATACATGTCCTTTGACATTTCTAGTTCCATCTCAATCCAACAGGGCCTGACCTGACTAAATCTGATGCATAAACACATCTATATTAGGGTATATTTTTCTTTAATCTCATGAGTATTTTTACAGAAGGAACAGAGTTAAGTGGATTCCATGACATAAGAACTTTTTTAATTTTTGGTCATAGAGACAGTGAAGATATCATTAAACTGTATATGATGCTTGAGTTATGACAAGATTATGCAACTATAAATTATTGGCACCAGTGCCTGAAAATGTAGATTATCTGAGGCAAGTCAGGTTAGCATGATGGTGTAAGGAAAGTCTTACTTGATCTTCCAAATTTATACATGTAAGACAATCATAAACAGTTGATTATAGACTAGCTATGGAGTGAAAATAAAGTGTAAGAGTACTGGTAACGAAGAGCAGTGATTTAAAAAGGCGCTCGGGCGCTCGCCTAGGCGCTCGAGCGAGGCGAGGCGAGGCCCGAGCGCCTCGCTTCACTTCCAGGCGGCGCGCTTCAAAGAGGCGCCGTCTGGGCGCTCGCCCGAGCCCAGGCGCTAGGCGCTTCGAGCGAGCGCCTGGGTTAAACCAGGCGATCGAACCAGGATTTTAGGTCTGGTTCGGTCTCCGGTGGTTAGTTGGTTCAATCGAACCAACTAAAATTGATATTAGCTGTCGCTGCCCAACCCTAACCCTGCTCGTTGTCGCTGCCACTCCCGCTCCCGTTGCTTGCAACCGCTGTCGCTGCTCGCAACCGCTGCCGCTGTCGCCGCTCGCCGCTCTTGCGCCCGCTACCCACTGCTCGCCGTTACCGCTATCGCTACTAGCCGCTGCCGCTGCTGTTGCCGCTGTCGCCGCTGTCGCCGCTTCTGCTACCGCTGCCTCCTTACATTCCCACTGCCGCTGCCTCCTTACACTCTCGCTCTCACTGCCGCTGCCGCTGCCTCCTTACACTCCCACTGCCGCTGCCTCCTTACACTCCCGTTGCTGCTGCCTCCTTACACTCCTGCTCCCGCTGCCTCCTTACATTCCCGCTGCCGCTGCCTCCTTACACTCCCGCTGTCGCTGTCGCTTCCTCTTTTCTCAGTCAGCACCCCCTTACACTCTTCCTTCTTCTCCTTCTGTATACTGTTAACAGTATACTGTATACTGTTAATATTGTTAGGTTTATTTAAAATTATTAATTTTCAATACTGTTAATAGATTAATAATATATTATTCTTAATTTAATATTATATTTTTATTTAAAATTTTAAATAATTATATTATATATTTTTATATTTTAGCGCCTCGCTTCGCTCGGGCAAGCGCCTGGGCAAGCGCCTGGCGCCTCGGGCGTTTTAGGACCTTAGCGCCTTTTGGCGCCTAGCGCTTTTTAAATCACTGACGAAGAGCAAGATTAGAAGCTGGAAGAAAGGGAAACAGGAAATGAGATGGTAGATTGTCCCAGTGGCCACTGGAAGCAGTTATATCATTGATCAAAATTCATATTACATTCTTCATGAAACAAATCACCAACCTCTGTTATTTAAAGACCGACTTCCAATGACTCCAGAAATGTATCTATATTAATCACAATTGTATCTAGTACAATGAATTTAGTCTCAATCTTATCATATATTAGAATGCACAGATAATGCTCAAGCAATACTTTCTAGAAGGTTTGATTAAAAAAAGTTTCATTACTTTCTCAAATTGAGGGCATTGTGATTTGGATGAATGTCTTACCTAGTAAGTACTTTGATGTCAGGATTGATTAACCAGTTATGCAGGCAAATCCTAAACTCATCATATTGACCTTTTTAAATAAATTAAAACTGTCTAAAAAATCCTAAAAATGGAACCATGACCAATTTGATCAAGTGAATTAAATCAAAATCTTCATCAACTTGGTCTAGTTGGAGTTAACAAGGAACAATACTTGTGCAGTGATGCTTTGTTTCTTTGTTGCCCCATTGAGATTGGTGTCCAGCATCCTTGTCCATCCACAAATAAAGGTTCTTTCCTAAAGGTTGTTGCTTTCTACTGTTTGAGCTAGCATAGTAATGTTTCCCGACAGAAGTAAATTACTTAAGACATAACATATAATTTCATTATCTTGTTTGTTCCACAATAATTTGAGGTGAACATATTGGCTCAGCATTTATTGTTGCCTTTTCTTTTGTCAGCACAAACCAATTTCAATCCATGTAATTGTGATGAGCATATTATGTGTGTGGCATCCCCAGTCTCACATAGGAAGTTAGAGGATAATTGTGATTATATATAAAACTAGATGACTTTATTACTATTAGCTTTGGGCTTGAGCATTTTGGGTCGTGTGGCTCCAAGCTCACCAAGTTACTGAGTTGGTTCTCATATTAGGTTCAATCATTACATATGGTATCATAGTAGATCTTGTACTGGGTATGGTGAGAAGGTTCAAGTAGGAAAGATCTATTTTGTAAATGTGATTGGAGGCAATGGCATGACATTAGAAGTGTGATTGTATATAGAGCTAGACCTTGTATGTCGATTCTTAGTTTAGCTTTGACCTTGATGAGGACATCAAGTCTTAAGCGAGGGGGACTATGACATCCCAATTTATTTTATATCAGAAGTGAGTTTAAGGATGTCATTGTATGTAGGGCTAGATGAACCTTGTGATTTAAAACTCAGTCAAATTAAGGAGTTGATTTTTCCATCTACTGGGTCAATTTGGTTATCGGCTGGCACACATACTGACCTGGTTATTGAAATCATGCTTCTCATCAATGTTAAAGTTATTTTTGTAGTCTGATCAGTGTTGGTTGCATAACACACTTGCATTTCTTTGATATGGATGCATAATCATTGTTAATTTTCAGTTGAATACTAGTAGTTTGATTTTCATTTTGATGTTCTGCTTGTTATATTTGCAGACTGCAAGGGCCCAATTCAAATCTATATGTTTAAGGCCACATAATTTCCGGGAATTACTTCTAGACAAGGTAAAGCCCATTACTTGAAATAGATTACTGGACATACCAATGTAGCCCTTTCTGTTTATTTTGTGAACTTTTTGTCTAATTTAGTTTGCTCTTGTAGGTTGGATTCAGATCGGCAGAGGTTATTACCGACAGTTTATCTGGTACAGTTGTTGGGTTTGACCGACCAGTTGTGATGTTTTGCAAGTGACTGGAGAAGGAAAGGTAGCTGTATGCAGTATGACAAACCTTATTTGGCTTTTTCATCTTATGATTAGTTTTTGTCATACATCATGACTAACATTCTTCATTGTGTAAAATGACTGTACTTTGTTAGATGACGTGCCTATAGTTTGCATCCCTGTAAATCTCTCTCTGGACTGTATGATGGCCATTTATTAGTTGAGCAATGTATCTCGTGATCTCTTGCCAAGATGGAACCTTCTCTATCTGAAACCATTGTTATCGAACAAAAGAATTATTGCATTAGAGATGCACGTAAATTGTTCTACATAACATGCCAATTTCTGTTGGTAACTGCTTATACTTCATGCATGCTAATAGATGTGCCTGCTGCCTGCTTTGATCGTAAGAAACATTTTCATTTTCCTTGTTATTGTTTATTGGTCATAAATATATATCTATACGCTTTCTTTGATGCAGGCAGTTGCAGTAAACCATATCTATTTTTTCCCAAGATGGATATATGACAAGTAATAGCAACCCTGCATCCTGAGACCAGATCAAATTTTGGTCAGGAAGGGCCTGAGCTACTGCTGGATCCACACTAAAGCATTCTTAGTCTTTCATATAAAAGCCGAGAGATATAGAGCATCCCTCCTAGTGACCTCTTGAAAAAGGAGAAGCTGCCATTGTTAAGGGAAAATATGCAGGATGGTGAAAAGTATTGTACGTATCAAAACTCCACAGGCTGAAGCATTGTTTAACCATACAAGGTTGTGAATTTTGAGGAGTTGGGAGGACAAATTTGATGGCCTGTTCTGGTTTTTCCTTCATGGCATCCATTTTATTGACCAGAACTCGAGCAATATTTTATTCTTCAACAATATATATTAGAAACAACAGTTGCTACGCATATTTCAACAACAAATTGCAAGATTTTGCAAAAAATTTCTATTCCAACAATTCATGCTTGTAAGATTGTTGAATTAGTCTGAGAATCTAGCAAGTGGTCTGTCTCAAAGTGCTAGATTTGTTTCTCCATGGTGACTGGTAAAAAGTACAGATATATTATCCTGATTGCATGTGATGTCATTGATCATATGCATGATATTTGTTCTAATTGGTATGCATACTCACTCCAACTTGTTCGTGCATACATGCTCATGGTTGAAGTGAAATGGGGCCATTTGGTGATGATCTTAGTGTTGCTGTTCATCTAGAACACAAAATCTAGGTTTTTGTTGGCACCAGATGCTTATGCCTCTTCCTATACTGACAATGTCAGTGATAAATACTATTGTATATATACAATTATTTGTATGTCAGGTTAGTGTTTGATTAAACCATCCTCTGGTGTATCGATTTCATTGGGTTTGACCATCTTTGATTGGGAAACCAGAATGACTGAGGCATGGATGTATCAAACTGCTCCTTTAAGCTTTATATACATAATTTCCTCCAATATTATCATAAATATAATTGTAATATATACAATGATCTCATATATATATTTTGATGATTTATTAATATTGATAATATTTGTTCTACGGAGAACAGTGGTCGACACGTATACGTGTAATCGGCCAAAATAAAGAGATCCGAGGACAAATTTGAGCTCGAATCTAACGCACGGTTATTGGTTTCATAACGACGAGGCAGGCGTCAGCGGTGCATACTACTCTCCCTGGTTTTACTGTTGCGGGGATCGGTAAGAGAGAGGCGGCGATGAAGCTGGAGAGGGCGCTCTCGTCGCGCCGGTCTCCGCCGCACCCTGCTGACGATGAGGGCGACGGAGGCCCCTTCGACGACGAATCTAAAACCAAGAAGCACGCCTCCCTCGCCGGCCGGATCGTCAGTCTCATCCGCCTCTCGCGGTCTTCCTCCGGCCACTGCCCCGCCGCCCACGTCACCATCGTCATCCTCCTCCTCGTCCTCGCCACCGCCGCCGGACTACTGTTCTCCCGCGGCCGCCCCGTTGTCTGCGTCTCTCCTTATGACTCCGCCGCCCGCAACGCCCTCATCGGCGCTGACCTGGCCGGTCTCGCCTCCGATTTCGGATCCCTCGGTGTGCCCTGGTGTAAGCCCTTGATCACATTCAACTCCATTGCTTCGGTCCGTGGGAGAGGGGTTTGAGGGTTCCGTTCTTGATTATCTTTCCTTTTATGTACCGCACAAGATCTTTTCTTTTTTGGAACTTTGGGTTTTTGTCACCGAGATTAAAAAAAAGTTTGGATATTTGAATGCTTACACTCAGATTCCTGCGATTTTATGATTGATAGATTGGAATTGTGAAACATCTTCATTTGTTTGGGGGGAAAAATTGGTTCTTGGTGGGTTTATCTTCTTAATCTCGATCAAATTAGTGTCCCATCACATCTGAAAAGTATGTGGATGTTTTGGCTGGAATTTTACCGACTTTGTTCGTTTCACATCTTCCCTAGTGAGTTTGGAATTGACATCAAAATGGGATTTTTATGGGTCAACTTCCTGGTTGCTCTTTTTGGCCTAGATAGCTCTTATATGAATGCGTAGAAAACCCACTTGACTTGCTTTATGTTTTGTTTGGCAAAAGGCAGATCGAAACGTGACACAACTGTAGAGTGGACACCGAAGGATCTGCTCAAGGGCTTGGAAGAGTTTGTTCCGATCTATGAGACCCGTCCGATCAAGAACAACATGTTCGGCATGGGATTTGACCACAGCTTCGGATTGTGGTTCATGGTGCGATGGCTTAAGCCAGATTTGATGATAGAAAGTGGTGCTTTCAAGGGGCATTCTACATGGGTCCTGCGGCAGGCTATGCCGGGCACACATATCATATCACTTTCACCCCGCCACCCGGAGAAGTACCTTAAGAAAGGGCCAGCTTATGTTGATGAGAATTGCACTTACTATGCCGGAAAGGATTTTGTTGACTTTGGAAGTGTTGACTGGGGCAGTGTGATGAGGAAACATGGGATTTCAGATCTCAGTCGGGTGCTTGTATTTTTTGATGATCACCAGAATCAGCTTAAGAGGTAATATTTAGTTCACAGTAATGGACTTTCCCATTCAGTTCACAGTAATATTAAACTTTACATTTTATTTTAGAGTTTTATGCATATTTTCTAATCCTGCTAGTTCCGTCTTATTGACCTTCAGAAGAGCATGAGGATCTTATTGGATTGTCTTCTTTTACGTTTGTTCCTCCTGCTACTTCACTAGAGTCTAACATAAGTTTGGACTTCTTTCTTATATTCTGTACAGAGTGAAACAGGCTTTACAAGCTGGATTTCAAAATCTCATTTTTGAGGATAATTATGACACTGGGACTGGAGACCACTATTCCTTGAGGCAGATATGTGATCAATACTACATAAGAGGTTCGTGTCTTGTGTTTGAATTTTTTGTACTTGTTCATACTTTCATGTGAACTAATGCTGAAATGATAGATGAAATTGTTCTTATGATGTCTTATCTGAAGTGTGCTACAGAAGCTTTTGGTTACATGTATATTTACAATGAGTGTATTCAGGGTTCTGATAAGTTTTATTGCCTATTTCTTGGTACTAATATATGAAGCTAATGTCCAGTAATTATAAGAATAAGAACATATTTTAGGGGAATGTTTCATGTGTTGGGCATTCATCGTATATATATTTGTGCTTAATATTGTATGATGGTGCTTTAGATACCTATGTGGTGGGATGCATGCAGGCTTTAACATCAAAGTTTTATCACTCAGTTAAAGTAATTGTTCAAGTCCTGATTGTTCCTATAAGCTAAATGAAAGTGCAACTGTTCCTCATACCACTTAATTTAATTATTCATGGTTTGAAAGTTGTCTCCAACATAACATCAACCCTCCAATTTCCTTTGATTGTACATTTTATCCGCAACATATTTTTAAATTTGCAAGCTCCTTGAGATCCTCTTCCATTGAAGGTCTGATTACTAGGAGGTCCCTCTTGCCCATCCTTGATATTGTATATCATGTTTTTTCTCCACGTAGTTTGCTAATAAGGAAGTTGCTTTATACAAACCATATATCCATCGTATTTGTCTTATTTTATTTCACAGCAAAAGGCTCTTGCACAGCTTATTTACCTAGTAGTTCCATTTCTGTACTTCTTTGCACATAGAAAACCTTGCAAATTACAAATTTATGCTAAATATATAGCTAGCTAATTCTTCCATGATGTCATGGAAGCGTTGATGTTTCAAACAAGCTTGAATTGATGCACATCAAAGCAATCTACTCATTCGGTGGCATGGAACAATCGGCCATTGGACTTCCTATTGAGACTCTAGGATCTTTATTTCTAGGAAATATTATAATATTACCCCTTTGTGATGTGAGAGACTAGGGTTCGAGACATGGAAACAATGTCTCTGTACATAGAAGAAAGATTGCATATATTAACCCTTCATGACCTGTTTTGGCAGGAGCCTTGTACACTGTCTATGTCCCTTCTTTATGTTATACCTTGATTTAGTTTCATATTAAAGTGAAAAGATTCTTATGTCTAAATGGATGTACTACCATATATATTGGCTTTGAAGTATCATCTGGTTCAATAGTTAGTTTTTTGATGAGTTGAAGGCAAGGAAATGCAATAACCGGAGCCCAAAAAAGATTGATCTATTAACTTGATAAACTTGCTAAGCTTCAACCATGTCTTAAAATGCATAACTCTAAGCTAGTGATGGTACTCATATAGTACCTGTTCAACGAATTTTCACCAATGACGTTATTAAGTATATTGATGATATGTATTTGCATATATGAATACATACATGTATTGCATGCATGTCTGTGTATATGTTGTGTCTTCTTCCTTTCTATATTTCCTATTAACAGCTATGTTGAATTAAGTTTTTTGCATGGTAGTTGCTTGTGCTAAATCTCAATTTCAAACCAAGTTTTTGTATATTGATTCATTTTAGTAGTCTTTTGCTTCTTTTTCACTTTATCCGATTTGTGGAATTTTTCTTCCAAGGAGACATGTTCTTTCAATGCGTCATAGTAAAAGATCTGCATCTTTTCTATTACTCTGTGCTATTTTAACTCAATCCTTTACGATGAAAGGGGTTATGCTTATCATTGTATTCCTCCACTGTATGTTTTTGCTATGTTAAAATTACTTGGACAAATTTTTACTGCTAACAAGAATAATCATTTTTTGTTGTAGGTGGTGGACATAGCTGTTTTAGAGATAGCGATGAAGCAAGGATAAGGATGAAAAGAAAAATGTTTTGGGAGAAAGCTGTTGACATAGATGAGCTATGTGGTAAAGGAGGAGCATGGTGGGGTGTTCGAGGATTTATGCGTGACAATTTTAACCATAGCAATAATGCAATGTCATATCAAGAACATTTCCAGAACAGCAGAATTCTCGAGTCTGTATTGGACGTATACTGGGAACTCCCACCAGTAGCTGGTCCATCTCTGACTCATCAAACCAGATACGATCCTGCCCGCACACTGCAACCAATTGTGGAAGATGGTAGATTTGGTTTATTTCAAAGGCTTGGCCTAACACGGCTTGAAGCCTCATTGTTCAACGGATACACACAAATGGTATACGTTCAAGTATCAGTCTCCACCTCTTAAGCATGTCATAGGACTTAGTAAGCTGTAATTTTCTGGTTTCCATGTTTGAAGTACATGGAATTTTTGGCCATTTTGATCTAGTAGTTCTCTTAGTTTCAGTTTATGCATCTATAGTGCAGAACCTGTACATTCTTCAGTATTTCATTTTCAGGGTTTACATCCGATAATAGTGACTCAAGTATTTTGCCTTGTAGGGTTACCTTTTTTGTCCCCACTTAAACTACTCATTATCTATGATAAAAGATTTGGATCATTTCATGAAACAATGCAAGTCATGCCCAGAAAATTATTTCACCAAGCACTGTGTGATTTGTCTTACTTCTTGCTGTTGGCAATGCAAGTCATGCCCAGAAAATTATTTTACCAAGCACTGTGTGATTTGTCTTACTTCTTGCTGTTGGCAATGCAAGTCATGCCCAGAAAATTATTTTACCAAGCACTGTGTGATTTGTCTTACTTCTTGCTGTTGGCAATGCAAGTCATGCCCAGAAACTTTTGTCCCTTCTTTTAAACTGTTATATTAATGTCACTTTATACTCTGTTACTGCTTTATCTGCCATGACATTCGGAGAAGCTTTGAAGCGGTCTGATTCACTGATTAGATCTTTGGAGCCTCAGAAAGACTAAACTTTCTTACTCTTTTGCTTATTATTTTTTTCAATATCGTATTTGTTTCTTTCTGATCCCTTACAATGTTGAGACAGATTAGTGGTTAATACACTATTATTGTAATGATGAAAGAGTCTTGTATGCCATTTAATATAATGAACATAAATTATTTTTTTTGAAAAAATAATAATTATATTTTTCTTCTATTGCTTAATTCTTTTTTCCCATGTTGATGTCATCTTGTTTTCAAGATTTTTTTTCTTCCTCTCTTGTTCCCATGATGATCTCATCATCATCCACTTTTACCGTCAGTCTCTCTTGTTTCACATTTATATCTTTTTGGTCAATGAGTTTTTTAGATTTATCCTGACACTTTACATACAATTTATTCCTATAAAATTTTCTTGCTTATTTATAAAAAAAAAAATTTATAATATTTGTTAACATATTTTAAATATAATATAATATAATATAATATATAATTATATTATTATTTTTTTAAAAAATTATCTAACATATTTACGGCTTTAATCAATGTCTTAATTGTTAGGATTGAGTCGGTACTAATAGGGGAGGGGGTGAATTAGTGCAGGGTAAAAATTACATCGTTAAAAAATCTTTCTTTTCGATTAAACCTGTTTCAGAAAGATATTAACTTGAAAGCGTAAGGGAGCGTAGTGAAAACAATAAGAAGGTAAATCAATTTGCAATAAAGGTAAATTACTCAAAAGAAAATGCAAACCGATTTTATAGTGGTTCGATCGTCGTGATCTACATTTACTCTCGATTCCTCTTTACTCGAGGCCACTGGCTTTCATTACCGATCTTCCTTCAATGGGCGAAGATCAACTGCCCTTTTACAACTCAGGAGAGAACCTTTACAACCCTCCTTCACTCCTCTCTTAAACAAGCCTAACACATAGAGTTTACGAGGAGTTCACACAAGATTACAACAGCATTTTCTTTTCTTTTTACTCTCAATTCCTTGTGTAAGTTAACCAGGGATAAGAGGGGTATTTATAGGCTTCAAGTGGATTCAAACTTGGAGTCTAAAAGTGTCTCATCCCGGGTTTTCCGGGTCTTGGCGGTACCACCGCTTGACACCCTGCCACTGGGCGGTACCACCGTCTGACAGTTTCTCGAAGACTGTGTATGGGCGGTACCACTACCTGACACAGTCTCGGAGACTGTGCCACGACGGTGCCATCTGTTGGGTCACTATTTGGGCCTTTCACTTGGCCCAACACAACCCAAATTTGGGACCAATTGACCCCTAATTGAGTTGGCCCAATTCCAACCCAATTATGTGCTAACTACGAATTTTAAGACATGCACTAAACTAAATAAGTCCAACAAGTTTAGGTTTCTTCCGGTGATCTTCCGACGAACTTTCGACGATCTCCCGACAATGTTCTAGCGGACTCCCGGCAAGCTCCTGGACTTCATGACGATCTTCTTGACGAGTTCCGACGAGCTTCTTTGGCAAGCTCCTAGACTTCTCGGTCAATTCCAGCAAAACTTCCAACGAACATCCAGACTTCCGACGAACTCTCAAACTCCAAACGAAATCTTATTTTTGACTCCGGGACTTCATTTTACTTTATACCTTAATCTTTATCGAAGTTAATCCCGCACACTTAAAACCCTACTTCGATCTAGATAATTATTATAAAGCTTGAATCAAGTGTTGTCCGGCATATCATTGGTTCATCGACTCTTTATCTGATTCTTCGGCGCATAGTCCTCTCTTGCGGCCTATTGCTCAATCGGCCAGTTGACCTCCACAACTCCGATTCCCATGGTGCAATTTCTGCTCTTCTTGGTCCGATGTTTGAATCCATGGCCCGACGCCTTCTGTTGATACATCGATCGATCCTTCGACGCGACGTCAAATCTTCTGACATATTTTTCTCCAACCAAATATGATTCTTCTTGCTTTAATTGTCTCTCCTTGATCGAATCTTCTTGCGTCACTCAAAATGCAGATCAAATCATAAACACTATCAATTGATTTCATCATCAAAATATAATATTCTAACATTAATGACCCAGCAAGTAGGATAACTATCTCATAACTATACCTTTGAAGTAATATAACATATCAGAAGTTAACTATTATGTCTCTAACAGACTAATATATATGAATTGAAACAGAGAAGTACAAGAGCATGGTAAAATTACAATCAATGTGCACTCAAAACCACCATAACAAATAATATGTGATAGACAGAAAGAATGTTTCATGTTCTACATACCCCTCACTGATTTGACCTTCTACAATGGAAATTCACCCTCTCTCTAGTAGGACTACTATCAAAGTGTTTTTACAGTGTTTTTTGAGAGAGAGAGAGAGAGAGAGAATGAAAAAGGAAATGTGAAGGAAAAAAAAGGTATTTTTTTGTTGGAGTCAAAGTTGGATTGAAATATCAGTAATTCAACATTACAAATGCATGACTATAATGTGATAACTAAAATTAAATGACTTTCTTGCATGACCATAATAAAAAATAAACGCACCAATAAAATCATAAACCCTTAACTATTTAAGAAGTGAACTACATGCATATTTTATCACCATTGAGAGTCCTATTATAATCATTTAGATATTTCTTTACCTTTCCTCCTCTTACCATTAATATTAACAAATTTATATCTTCTGATTTCAACATTATGTAACATAATTTAAATATGAATGATAATATTAACTTTTATGAATATTAGATGTGCAATAGTCATTGTACAAGCCACATTGCTACATGATATTTAGTGCACTTACTAAATATAAGAAAATAAAATTAAAGTTGCATTCTTTCAGAAAATTAAATAATAGATATAAATTAATAATTTATTGACACCAATATCACTGCCGTCGATATGTCCGAGTGGTTAAGGAGACAGACTCGAAATCTGTTGGGCTTTGCCTGCGCAGGTTCGAATCCTGCTGTCGACGACGTTACTTTTCTTCTTTTTCTCATATTAATTATTTTTCTAATATGTTTGTTTATCATTTTTAAATGACCATTAACACTGCCGTCGATATGTCCGAGTGGTTAAGGAGACAGACTCGAAATCTGTTGGGCTCTGCCTGCGCAGGTTCGAATCCTGCTGTCGACGACGTTACTTTTCTTCTTTATTTGATATTAATTATTTTTCCAATATGTTCATTTTCCATTTTTAAATGACCTTAAACACTACCGTCGATATGTCCGAGTGGTTAAGGAGACAGACTCGAAATCTGTTGGGCTCTGCCTGCGCAGGTTCGAATCCTGCTGTCGACGAGATTACTTTTCTTCTTTTTGTGATATTAATTATTTTTCCAATATATTCATTTTATGTTTTTAAATGACCTTTAACACTACCGTCGATATGTCCGAGTGGTTAAGGAGACAGACTCGAAATCTGTTGGGCTTTGCCTGCGCAGGTTCGAATCCTGCTGTCGACGAGTTTATTTTTATTTTTTTTTCTGATATTAATTATTTATTTTTCAATCTTTTCATTTTGTTATTTTAAAATTATTTTTAATTGCTTATCTATTTAGGATTACTTATATTCCATAATTTTTCATTATTTATTTTAAATTACTTTTCATCTAATTAGAGCCAAGAAACCGTAAATGAAAAAATAAAGGATAAATAGACCTAAATTTTTCAAGTTATAACTAGTCATTATACCAAGGTCTGAACTTTTACTCTAACTCTATGGATCGACGTAAATTTACTTTTACTTTTAATTTATGTAAATTAGTGTGTCGCATGAGATTTATCCTCTCGATCCTTCTTTTCTAAAGTGAATAGTTGTTGTGGATGAGGAGAGTGACAACGAGAGGTGAGGGTCGCTCATCGTCGTCGACGCAGTCGTCAAGTAGTAAAAAGGTCACTCGACATCTGTATCGACGTCGACATAATTACTGAGTGACCTTTCGCTGCTCTGTATCTGTGTCAACGTCAATGTATTTGTTGAACAGTGAAAGGATCACTCATTGCTTTGGTGTCGACATAGTTACCGAGTGATAAAAGAGCCACTCATTAGGTTGATGTTAACATAGTTACTGAACAGCGAAAGGACCGCTTGACGTGTCGACACAAATACAAAACGACATCGTTTGGCAATTGCATCGTATCGACACCGATAGAGATATCGAGTTGCTCTTTCGTCAATTGCAATCAACGTCGCTGTCGATATGTCCGAGTGGTTAAGGAGACAGACTTGAAATCTGTTGGGCTTTGCCTGCGCAGGTTCGAATCCTGCTGTCGACGAGTTTGTTTTTATTTTTTTTTCTGATATTAATTATTTATTTTTCAATCTTTTCATTTTGTTATTTTAAAATTATTTTTAATTGCTTATCTATTTAGGATTACTTATATTCCATAATTTTTCATTATTGATTTTAAATTACATTTCATCTAATTAGAGCCAAGACACCGTAAATGAAAAAATAAAGGATAAATAGACCTAAATTTTTCAAGTTATAACTAGTCATTATACCAAGGTCTAAACTCTTGCTCTAACACTATGGATCAACTTAAATTTACTTTTACTTTTAATTTATGTAAATTAGGGTGTCCCATGAGATTTCTTCTCTTGACCCTTCTCTTCTAAAGTAAATAGTTGTTGTAGATGAGGAGGACGACAATAAGAGGTGAGGGTCGCTCATCATCATCGACGCAGTTGTTAAGTAGTAAAAAGGCCACTCGACATCTGTATCGACGTCAATATAATTACTAAGTGACCTTTCGCTGTTCTGTATTTGTGTCAACGTTAATGTATTTGTTGAACAGTAAAAGGGCCGCTCGCTATATTAGTATCGACGTAGTTATGGAGTGATGAAAGGGTCACTCGTTATATTGATATTGACATAATTACCGAGCAACTGCTCGAAAGAACCGCTTAGCATCTACATTATCGACATAAATATAAAATCACATAGTGGCGCTTTTGTCAATTGCAATCAACGTCGATGAGATACAAAGTGGCGCGATGCATAACGACGTTGCTCGGTACTCATCCATAGTAGCCACCTGCGGGCCCCTAACGGTGCCGTCGTCTCCCACAAAGCTTAGCTCCTTGGTGCCGGTAGCTTCTCTAAGGTCTACGTCGCCCGCAACGCCCGCACTGGCGAGCTGGTCGCCATCAAGGCCCTCGACAAGGAGAAGATCCTCCGGGACGGACTCTTCGCCCACATCAAGCGCGAGATCGCCATCCTCCGCCGCGTCCGCCACCCCTACATCGTTCAGCTCCACGAGGTCATGGCCACCCGGATAAGGATCTACTTCGTCATGGAGTACGTGCGCGGCGGTGATCTCTTCTCTCGCGTCGCCAAAGGCCGCACGCTCGAGGACGCCGCCCGCCGATACTTCCAACAGCTCGTCTCCGCCGTCGCCTTCTGCCACGCCCCCGGCGTCTTCCACCGCGACCTCAAGCCCGAGAACCTCCTCGTGGACGACAACGGCGACCTTAAGGTCTCCGACTTCGGCCTCTCCGCCGTGTCCAACCAGATGCGCGACGACGGGCTCTTCTTTACCCTCTGCGGCACCCCGGCCTACGTCGCGCCCGAGGTGCTCTCCCGCCGGGGCTACGACGGCGCCAAGGTCGACATTTGGTTCTGCGGCATCATCCTCTTCGTGCTGATGGCGGGATACCTCCCCTTCTAAGACCACAACATCATGGCCATGTACAGAAAGATCCACAAGGGCGAATTCAGGTGCCTCCGGTGGTTCTCGACCGACCTATTCCGCCTCCTCCACCGCCTGCTCGACACGAATCCCCAAACACGGATCACCATTCCGGAGCTCATGGAACCCCCCTGGTTCAAGAAAGGCTTTCGCCGTGTCCGATTCTACATCGAAGACGACCAATTGCATAGTCTCGATGACGCCAGCAGTAGCCAACAAGAGCCAGTTGAGGCGGACGACTCAGGGTCAGAATCCGATACCTCGGTTGTCTCCTGCCCCGAAACGTCGTCTCATGATCGGCAGCGGCGGCAAGGGCTGCCACGGCCGCCGAGTCTTCATGCGTTCGACATCATTTCTCCCCCCCCCCCCCCCCCCCAAAGGGTTTGACCTCTCTGGCCTGTTTGAGGAGACGGGAGAAGACAGGTTCCCCTCCAAGGAGCCAGTTTCGAAGATCATTTCCAAATCGGAGGAGATCGCCAACTTGATGAGGTTTACGGTGAGGAGAAATGGCTGCCGGGTGGGCTTAGCAGGTACGAGAGAGGGGGAACATGGGCCATTGACAATTGCAGTAGAGGTGTTCGAGCTTATTTCATCGATCGTAGTCATAGAGGTCACTAAGAAAGCAGGGGATGGAGAGGTGTATATGGAATTCTGCAACAAGGAGCTGAAGCCCAGGTTGCTCCACCTCGTATTTGAGTCACCCCCTGTCGGCAAAACTTCTTCCAGCAACAATTGGTAAGATTGGAAAGCAAATTCCTCTTTTTCATCCCATGATTTATCCTATCATTTACTGTCATTTAGATGATTTCTTCCTTGTTGTCAAGTGTTAATAAGTGTTGATGAGCAATTTCTATATCAAATTACATACAACAAAATTACAAATCTTTACCTCCAGTTGATTTTTTCTTTTGCTAGTGAATCTCCCCAAATCAACTTCTAAATGAAAGTTCTCTAAAGTTTGTAGATTTTTGATAGATTTAAGAATGCATGAGTTAACCAAGTGACAATTTGCATTATCTATTTGTAGTTTTCTGGCTGTTGAGGTATCCTTCCTTTTGGATTAGAATACATTTCCATTGATTTCAACTTGAAAATTTTGTTGATTGAATGTCGTCGGGTGGTGTCTTTTCATTATGTTAGGCAGTCGTTCGTCCCTGTAAATCACCATTAGGAATAATGTCTCCAAAAGTTCCGCATGAATTTTTCTATGAAATCTATCGTGTCAAATAGTACTCGCATTACTCGACGATGAACTTTGGCACCATGGTGAATTGCTGATTTATGATCTAGCTTCGAGCATTAGAATTGTGAACATAAACCTTTCTGTTTGCGGAGAAATTACTGTGTATATTGCACCTCTACAGACCCTGCATTGGTAGAAGTTCTACGACCGCCCGAAAGCCCTTTTATTAAACACATCATATACTGGATCTTTAGATTGCTTGAAAAAGAGACTATATTTATGGATGTCAGGATTTTGAATAGTTTTTCTCATAACTTCTATTAGTTATCAGTGCTCTAGTTTTTGCCTTTAGACTATCTCGTAATCTCTTAGTAGGTGCACAGATTGTTTGACATCCTTGACATTCTAGTTATTTTGTTAGATGCATAACTTTATCACACAGCATTCCTACAGGATTTTGAATTGCTGCTTTACGATTTAGCGTCAAGCATTAGCATCGTGAAGATAACCTCTGTTTGCAGGGAAAATACTGTGTATATTGCACCTCTACAAACCCTGCATTGGTCGAAGTTCTATGACTGGCCAAACGCCCTTTTAGTAAACACATCATATATTGGATCTTTAAATTTCTTGAAAAAGAGGTTCTATTTATTGATGTCAGGATTTTGGATATTTTTTTGTCACTTGAATTATAGTTATTCGTGCTCTACTTTTTGCTTTCAGACTATCTCATGATCTCTTAGTAGATGCACAAATTGTTTGACATCCTTAGACATTCCAAGTATTTATTAGATTCATGTCTTTATCATACCAGCATTCCTATCATCGTTTTAGACTTCATGTCTTTCACTGATCTTGATAGAATGACAGTGGGCAACAAATATCTCATTGGAGTTTTTTGACCTGAACAAAGATATTAAAAGTTAATTGAAATGCTAATTGTTGTGCTTCAAGAGCATTTCCTCAATTACTTCTTTGTTCTATCTCAGTGAATGATCTTCTTCTATCATGTTTTCAGGTTTATCTGTTCATACCGTGCATGCATCTCAGAAGCTGTATCGGCATTCGACCAGTGAGACATTTAGAGATGAATAGGGCTTTTCTCAGTGTTCTGCCAGTCATTCTCCCTGGTGGATAATACCGCTATTTGCGACTCTATTAAGCCAAAAGCCAATGATGTGCCACAATTACTCTCTCTATTGTCTCTCTCTCTCCATCAAGAAGAGGTGTCAAGCTTTTGAGAGTTGTTCATTTCATGCTGTGATTTCTTCAGCGATCAAAATCATTGCAATCATATTAATTGTGTATTGACAAGACCTAGTAAGGCTTCATCAGACTCTCTTCGGATCGACCCAGATTGTGTTGCTCCATCTTTGTGGTCTTATTCTGAGTAGTTAGCTTTTGTGCATATGTGCACAGCCTTACAGCATGGAATTAGGAGTGACTTATGCTTGTATAGAATATGAACATTTTTATAAATAATACTTCTTATTTATTTTAACTAAGTCTTTATATACATCTTAAACTTTGGCCTGATGATAGTATACCAGATCCACTTACCAAAGTTTGGCTCGAAACATCAATTGATATATTTTTCAAAGATGTCAACTAGCTTAGTTAGTAAAGATCTCGATAGTTTATCGTAAGGTTCTGAGTTTGAAATTTACATTTATCATATATTCTTTTATAAATAAATAAATAAATAAAATAAATAAATAAATAATACCCTAATATCTAAATTTTGGATTTGGGAATAAAAGGATGAGATTTCAAACATGGAATACATAATGGAGTATGACTCATTTTCTTAAACAAAAATGATAAAATTTCATATTATTATTAGATTTTGTAAGTTTGTTTGAGGCGGAAGAGCATAATTGATTTGATTGTCCTTTCTCATGGATCTTGAAGAGGTGGTCTAAAGATCATAGTTGAGCTTGAACGATCCGAGATGGTTGCTAAGATGAGTGCAACAAGCTAGTAGACCCGTAAAACAAACAAGGAGACATTGGAAATTTACTGAGTGGGATCCTTCCAAGATTTCTAATCTTATTATTTTTGAATTGATTACGATATGTTAGTCGAACACCAATCTTATAGGTATAGGTCATTTCTCACTCCTGTGCTTGGATCTTTCGAGAATTATCTAGAAGATAGGTTAAAAAAGAAAAACAATCCATCGACCTCTCTCTATCTCAACCCCAGAAAAAGGCCAATAAAGTCCACTCCTCGCCTTCCGTCCACTAGCTTGACTTCCCTAACTCTTCCTTCTAAACAAACAAACGGTGCATAGAAAGGAACTTTCCCAACTCTTCTATATCTGATTTGATCCAGAAGGCACGAGTTTGGAAGGAAGATCAACGTGGCATGTGGATTCTTTTGATAAACTCGTGCCTTCTAGATCAAACCAGAATTCTCAAGTAACGATACCAAGGCGATAACAGCTGTAATGATCGTCGTCGAGTTGAGTCTCGGCTCACAGCTGTTGCTTCCCTTCCCAGCCATCTGTTTTCGCCATGTCAACTCTCACGTTGACGCATGGCATCCGCACCCCCGCCACCAATACTTTCCCTACCCTTTTGTCCTGTTACTCTCGTTCGTACCTGGCTTGTGACATTATCCAGTGCCGTGGGCCCCTACGGGACCCGCTTTTGAGGCCACATCGACTCCAGCAGCAATTCGGGAAAACGGGTAGTTCGGAGGAAGTGTGTTTATAGCCAGCAACAGTTTGTCTACTCGTTCGTCGTCACTCAGTGTAGCACCTGAATCATGACTTGAGACAGAGGCATGGCCCACATGGGATTCCACGACTCACGAGGCAGGTGTGGAATAGGGTACATGGATGAAATGTAGCAGAGGAAGGATCGTTTTTGTTTGTGGAGTTTTTGGGGCCGCTATAAGTAGGGCCTTGCTCGATCCCTCACGACTCGCCGACCATGGACTCGGACGAGTTCATCTTCGTGGCGGTGTGGCCGCGCGAGCTCAGCCGCCTGCGGCGCGATCTCCGCTGCGCCCGCGGGGACGCGGACCGCGCCCTCGTCGACCGGGCCATCGCGCTGTACGAGTGCTTCTTCCGCGCCCGGTCCACCGCCGCACGGTCCGACCCGGTCCGCGCATACGCCGCGCCATGGGCCACCGCGCTGGAGCGTGCCGCCCACTGGGTCGCTGGGTGGCGCCCCAACGCACTCATCCACCTCCTCTACTCCGAGTCGAGCCTCCGGTTCGAGTCGCAGCTGCCGGACCTCCTCCTGGGCGTGCACTCGGGCGACCTGGGCGACCTTAGCTCGGCGCAGCTGGGCCGGATCGACGAGCTCCAGCGGCGGACAATACGGGGGGAACTGGAGATCAGTGCGGAGATGGCGGCGGTGCAGGAGGGTCTGGCGGAGCCGTTCCCGCGCTCGGACGCGGAGTTGGAGGGGAAGGTGGGCGAGCTGACGCGGGTGATGGAGAGGGCGGACGAGCTGCGGCTGCGGACGCTGCGGGAGGTGGTGGACATACTGGAGCCGGTGCAGGCGGTGGACCTCTTGGTGGCGGCGGCAGACCTTGAGATCGGGTTGCGGGAGTTCGGCCTCTCGCAGGATGGCAGCCGAGTCGGGCCACAGGGTCGAGCGAGTTGAGATAATAGTAGTAATAAGAAGAAGAAAATAGACCATCTCTTTGGTCACCCTTCGTTTTACCGAGCTAATGACATGGTGGGACCGACCCTTAATGGTCTTTTTCTTTGGAAAAAATCGTGTGCAACTGTTCCGAATATTTGTCCCTCTAAATTATATACAAAATATTCCTCAAAATAAAATAAAAAAACACTGATATCCACTAACTATTGTTTATATACATACACATTAAAATTGGTGATGATGAATATACTATTTGAACCCGATAATTTTTTTAAAAAATAAAAACAATGGCCAAAATGCCTTTCTACGTTTTTTTCTTTTTAAAAGATATTATATCTACAAATTTGAATTGATCAAACAAAGCTTGAACAACAGGATCATCCACTTATTTAGTGGAAAAAGGACTTTGTTGTAGGTTGTATCACCTACAACAAGATGAGTGACACAAAAAATACAGTATATCTCTATGTAGTTCTTTTTTCTATACAGTTGTCATTGGAGGAGAAAAAAAAAGACATTCCAATGGAGTGAAAGATATTTTAAGGTTTTGAATTTTCACATAGATTTTTAGTGATTTATGCTTTCGAACACATGATGGGACACATGAGTAATAAAATTCATAAGAATACATATGCTAATCCTAAACCTTACAATGAAATATATGTATATGTAATCACTTATACAGCATGGCAACATAAATTTTACATTTAGATAATCCCAAAATGAATTTAAAGCCCTGAAAAAGGGAAATATTAAATAATTGCATCGAATTCTTCAGTCTCTCTCTCTCAAAAAAAAAAAAAAACTCAATAAGAGAGAAAGAAGTTGGATTGAGAAGAACAAAGCTTCGAGAATTAAAATTAAAGAAATTTTTTTTAGTTAACTATTAGTGGAGTAAACCTTTACCACTTTTAAAGTATCAAACTGAGGCAAGTGTTTTCTATTTCAAACACCATATCAAGTAGCCAAGCAAGCAATGGGCAACAGAACATGCCTTCCTACTTTTCCTTGGAACATGTCTAGTAGTATGGCATGATCCTCTCATGCAAAGGAATGGTCTTTGGTAGCTTCTTCTGTTTAACCTTCCTACTTTTCCCTATAACATACCTAATTTTGTGGCAAATATGGCCATCAGACAATGTACCCCATTCTTGGAGCGTTGAAATGGTAATCTTTTGTTCCAATACTGGAGGGTATGTCGCGAACAAAGTCGAAACATATTCTTTTCTTATCCAAGACCTTCTTACCAAGAGCAAAATCATTGCTAATAAACTAGTTAATACTGAGAATAATTTGGAAAGTTTGTTGAGTGCACGCATGGATAAAGTGTCAGCTTCAAAAGAAGAAAAATAAAAATAAAAATGTTTTGTAAAGAAAAAAAAAGGATACATCTTCATAATGAATTTACTTGTAGATTTGTTATATTTATCATCATTAAACAAGAATCCAATATTTTCATATAAAACAATCAGGCACTCATTAGAGAATCAGATAAACCTACTTTTACGCAAAAAATATCATGGAAATAGAAATGCTTAGCAAAAAATTATAGAAGTAAAAGCTTCTTGAAATTTTATAAATTGCAGAAGAATTTGAAGTTTTTGCGAGTACCTATAAACAACATACACCACTTCTCAAGCTTTGGATTTCTATAAATAAAGAGCAAACAAAAATTGATACCAACACAACCTGAACAAATGGAGGTGCTTCAAAATATCATACAGACCAACAAGGTTACAAGGCTTTGAACTATGAACTTTACGGTTTTGGAATCCCATATGCACATCCAAACATCTGAAGTAGCTTAGTTTTATGTTATTTTCTTAGGATTTCGGCCATAGCAATTAGTCTTATAGTTATCCATAGGATTTCAAATTAAACACACAAAAAGAGCTAAAAATGCCTTGGCAGCAGATTTCACATGCACATGCTGACCACAACTACACATATGAAATATCCATATCATGCACTCACGATGTTCTCTACTTTTTACCTCGAAGCTTCACCCCGAGCACCCGTTCAAGTTTGGTAACTACCTGTTGATTCGGAATGGCCTTTCCTGACTCATATTCTTGAATCACCTGGGGCTTCTCATTAATCAGCTGTGAGACATTATGGGTCACTTAGCACTGATATGGACATAACAATTCAAACAAAGAGCCAAACGAAAGAGAGATTACCTGTGCAAGTTGGGCCTGTGTTAACTTCTTGTCCAGACGAGCTTGCATGATATTCTTCTTCAGTTCAGTTGACACTCGCTCATCTTGATAGAGATGCAGAGATGAGGATCATGTCATAACAAGAAAAGAAGCATATAGAACCATCGTGATAATGAATGTGCATAATTAACTGAATAATATCATTAACTTGAGCAAATAAATTGCAATTATGTAGAGATATTCTGTCAAACCTAATTCGCTAGGACTACTTTCAATGAGGCAGCTGGGAAAAAGCACATAATGGATAACTGAACAGAAAATAAGAACTATCTATCTGTTGATAGTCAGTGATAAAATGACATAATTTGAACATTGGTTGTCCAATAAGAACATCCATTCCAATGACAATAACAAGCCTTAATGTGTAAATGGACCTCTTGCCAACATTTATCGCTGGTAACAGCAATATCACCAGTCAAACTAAGAGGGACCAAATCATATCCTATGGCCTCTAACATAGCTTTCTGAGGCCCTCCTCTATCTGTCCTTGCATCTCAAATCATAACTCAATTTACCTCATCTAATGAGTGCTTCTATATGTTTATTTTGAACACTTGAAACATTGTTTCAGTCGATCATGGAGAGACAAGAATTTTGATTAGCATGCAGGGTTTCATTTTTTATAAACAATTACATAGTTGAAATTTTGCACTAATATTTAATACATCACTGTTGGGGGTGAGAGTATATTTGGCATAAATATGAGATGAGAACAGATATATGCTCAACCCAAAACAACCCTCTAGTGAGTCAAGATTTATTTACTTGGATCACACCCATACAACTGGTGAGTCAAATCCGACTGTGCCAAAATGGACTAAACCATGTTTTACAGTATCTTCAGGAAAAAATGGGGGTCTTCGAGTGATAGCATCAAGGAAACATATGGCCGAACCAAACTCAACCCCAAGGTCTCATGAAACAACAAATCATTGTGAACAGATGGTCCACATTGGGACTGATTTAACCTAACCATTTCAGGTCAAGATACCTAGAGAAGTTGATGAGGGTGTGGGTGAAATTTCCTCAACCTCCTCTTTTGTGTGAATTGAGGGTTTTTCCCGCAGAGTCATATGTGGCGCAGCCACAGTTGACGACAATCTAAATCAAGTTTAGAGATGTGAATTTTATCTTCTTAATAGATTCTTTATATTCTGGCACCAATTAGTAACATAATAATGACACGAGAAGTATTGAACTATTAACAAATTAAACATAAACGCAGAAAGAATAACGAAGAAATCATCATCAGAAAACAAAAACATCGACCACTCACGGGAAAGATTCTCGGTTTCCTCGTCCAGCTTCCTTGTGTTCAAAGAAGTGCTGCTAGAGGCAGCTTTGTTCGTGCCAGCATTGGCTGCAAAAGACACACAAACAACCCCATGAATGAACGAACTCCGATCAATAAGGTCAAAAAAATATTCCCAGACGACAATAACATCAGAATCCAAGGGAGAAAATCCCACGTCCTACACTTTCTGGTGGTCTCGATATCGGCGCCGCTGCGGCGGGCGGCGTTGACGGCCTTCTCGTCCTTCTTGGCGGCGGCGGTGGGCGCCTTCTTGCGGAGCACGACGGGCTCCCAGTCCTGCGAGATCGGACCGTTCCCGGCCATCGAGATCGCCTCCCCGGTCGCTATTCGCGGATAAGGTTGCTTCCAATCGATGCTTCACCCTCGACCAGGGCTAAAATGCGGAGAGGGAAAAAGAGAGCGACGGAAGGAGACACCAACCGAAGGTAGCATTTATGATCGCGGGAGACATGGATCCATTATATCCGGATCTCGTACAAGAGGTTCCAAAGTAAAGGCACCATCTGCATAAAATGTCCCTTTCAAATCGGATATTTTTGTATTTATTCTGAATATATATACGCAAAATATTTCTGTAAGACTTAAAATTTTGGGAATTTAATCTATATAAATTGAATTACCTCAGATTAGATTAATGTTAATGACTGTTAACATTGCGCCATTCCCTGCGTTCTGAATGCGGTCATATTTGGGTCCCACAGTGGGGGCCGAATTTTATCGCCACGTAGGAATCCCGTTGGACGACGCTTTCAGCAGCGAATTGCGGTCCAGTTTTTCGCGGCGTTCGAAAGCACGAAGGGAAGTGAAATGCCCATTTTACCCTTAACCCCTCCGCCACGACCGGACTAATCTGGTCCGATCCCGTAGGGGTAATATAGGAACTGCGTTCCGGAGACCCTTTCCTTTTCGTTATCCGACTCGGCGCCACCGCTCACGTTGTGACGGAGGAAAACATTACTATTATCCACAAATTTTACGCGCCTTCGAACTCGTTCTCTCTCTCTCCCTCCCCCGGCGGTCTGATCCCTGCGACCCTGAAACCAACGGCGGCGATGCTCCGTTCCGGTGGGTCCCCCCAACGTCGGCGCACGCGTCGATCCCCGGCGCACATTCACGTGACCCTCACGTGCCCCGGCCCCCCTTATCAGCCGGCGCCTGTCGCCGCTCTTTTCCACCTACCCCACACCCGGCCCGTCCCTTTCTCTCGGTCCGTCCGTCCGTCCGTCCGTCCGACCCTGACCCTAACCCTAACCCTAACGACGGCGATTAAATAAGACGCAGACGGAGTGAGGGAGAGAGAGAGAGAGGGATAGGAGAAGGGAATTTGGAATTGGATCGGGAGATGGAGGGGAGAGAGGTGGCGCCGTCGAGGCCGCCGAATCCGGCGATGCCGTACCGCGAGGACTGCTGGAGCGAGGGGGAGACGTCGGCCCTGGTGGACGCCTGGGGCGACCGCTACATCGAGCTGAACCGCGGGAACCTCCGGCAGAAGGACTGGCAGGAGGTAGCCGATTCCGTCAACTCCCGCCGGGGTGCCGGTCGCCGCCCGCCCCGCACCGACGTCCAGTGCAAGAACCGGATCGACACCCTCAAGAAGAAGTACAAGGTCGAGAAGGCTAGGATCACCTCCGGCGGTGCGGAGAGCCAGTGGCCCTTCTTCTCCCGCCTCGATGCCCTCATCGGATCCGCCTCGGCCCCTGCCGTAAAGAAAGCCCCCGCCTCGCCGCCTCTCGCCTTGCCGCTCCCTTTCCACCGCAGGGGCACGCCCTTGCCTGCCGCCGCTGCTGTGCGCTCGGCGGAACCGAGGGAGAAACGGCAGGTCGCCAGCGAGTTCCCTGTGGACAACCCGTTCTTTAGACGCGCGGCCGCAGCTGCCGCAGCGGCTGCAGAGGACGACGAGGATGATGAGGAGGAGGAGGTGGAGGGCTCCGATTCGCTCTCAAGGTCATCTTCAAAGCTCGGAAGAGGGCTGAAGAGAGGGAGGGAAGGAGAGGGCAACGGGATTCGGGAACTGGCTAAGGCGATCACGAGGTTTGCAGAGATTTACGAGAGGGTGGAGGAGTCAAAGCAGAAGCAGATGATGGAGCTGGAAAAGCAGCGGATGGAGTTTGCTAAGGCGCTGGAGTTCCAGAAAATGCAGATCTTCGTGGATTCACAACTGCAGCTTGCGAAGATCAAGCGTGTCAAGCGGTCAGACACTGGTGAGAGATCTGAATTCCTTCTCTTTAATCCTGTTGTCCTCTATATGTTGGTAAAAGTTCAGTTTCTTTTCTTTTTGCTTGCATATGTTTTTCTAATACTTGTGGCTTTGTTTATGAGAGGTTCTAATCATTTTGTTTCGGCATGTGAACCAATCAGTCATATGACAACAACTCCCAATATGTGTTGTTTTTCTTTATTTTTTGTCAGGGAATTTAGAAGATAACTGTAGATTATGAATTTAAATACAATATCCGTAAGGTTTGCATGTTTTCAGTTGTTTAAGCTACTTATCAAGTTTAAAAAGTAATGATTCTCAATTTGAACAATATCATAAGCATAGAACATATACTAATTTCTCATTTGGTATGGGGAATACATAGCGATTTATTATGAAGCTCTGTATTTTTGGCCACGTAAGAATTTCAATAGCTTATCCTATTCAACTTTTCAAATCCTTTCCTCATTTATTCTCCGTAGTGTATTTAGCATGGAAATTTTGTAGGAATTTGGGCCAAACACCCTTAAAATTCCAGGTTTTAAGTCCTAATCTTTAAATCATTCCCTCCAAATTCTAGGACTCAAATTCCACAATTTACAAGTTCTCACCCATTCACCCATGTTTCACATCTGCTTGTTCAGACACAAAAGTTGATTATTTTTTTGGAATTTGGATGCACTCTAACATAAGATTTGGATCACTGGAATTATTTGCTTTGAGATCTGAAATGATGTAGATCCTTTTTGACACTTTGATGGTCAAAATTTAATGTATTTAGCTCCTATTTAAGCCCGTACAACCAAGGTAGAGAATATGCTTTCTCAGCTTCCTCTTTCAACTGAAGCCTCTTCTAGACTTGTTGCATTGCGGATAGTGGATATTTGGTTATATCACTGATGAAATCTGTTTCTGAATGGTTGACCCTTCCAATTGTCTCTAACTGTAATGTGACTAAAACTTGATCTTGATTTGTCTGTTGTTTTACCATTATCTAAATTGCTTGTCCATTTGATCAAACCGTTTAATAGTTTCATCATCAAGGATCCGGTTGCCAAGTTTCAATTAATTAATGCTAATATTTTCATATTCATGAAATGATTTGGCTTCATTCTTCAAATGATATCTGGCTGGATTATAGTCAAAGATCAGAATTATTGTATCTTTGTCATTGAATGCAGATAGTGGATTAACAAAATGGTTGATTATGGGGTTTAGGAACATTCTGGGATTTCATCGTACAATATTTTCACACTTGTACGTATTTGTGTCTTCTTGTGGTCACGTACCTCACGTGTTGTAGTTGGCCTGGTTCATATAAAAACTGGATATTCTACTCAAGGGAACTTTTGTCTTTTCCTGTGTCTGTGTGTGATCCTCTTTTCTTCCTTTTCGGATATGTACATGTTTGTACTTGTAATTTAGTTCTATTTATCACACATGTCCTTTATTCTGCATTGGAAATTCTGTTCCCATAGTCAGCATATTTGTTTTGTTTACTTGACCATCTGCCATACTGACCCCCTAATCACACTTTTTGACTGAAGCACCATATTTGCTTATTTACATTCAAACTTTAACAACAGTATTCTTGTTGGTATCTGCTCTTAAGTCTTATGTACTGAATCTCCTCAATCACCTGTCAGAAATTCTTGAGAATATAAATTATTGAATTTTTTCTTGTACATTATGTTTGTAATGTACACATTCGTACTACAGTTGACTTTTGTCTACATAGCACTTGAGGATATAACTTGTGTCAGGTTCATTAGTGTGTTTTAATGTCTAAACAAATCATGTACTGGAACTTGAATGTTATATGGTGATTTTCCTTTTATCCTTTAAAATATTAATTATTTGTTTGCATGATATAAAAGCCTTTCATGATGCTCTTCGGAAACAACAGTCATGCTGAGTAATAACTAATCAAATTTTGTAGTTTCATAAAGCTTTATAACCGCAAAGCTGCAGAATGACAAATAGGTCCATGTTGAAGCGATTTGTATGAAATGGTTATACCTTCCATCTCCCTGATGCACCTATTATAATAATTTCCTAAATCAGCAGAAGTGGTAAGAATTCACCTTAAGTAATATATTGATATGGATCAAAAGTTCAAAACAATAAGTAAATAGATTGACGCAGCCTGTGCTGCATTGGCCTAGCTGATGGGTCATACAATTCATGGTCGGAATCTCTTATCAACTTTCATTATATAGCATTTGAGTAGGTTATTCTCTATTAGATGTAACAACAGAAATTGCAGTTTCTCACGATGTCTTTGTTGGTGATTAGTTGCTTCTGAACATGAAGCTGTTTAATGTAATTTATAAGTAATTATGATGTTTAAGAAGACATCCAAACAATTCCATTCTATATTTTTCAGTGGTTAGGTTGCATCGGTCATTGTTCAGTATTACCTCCAATTGGATGTGTGCTTACAATTTTCTCTTTTTTCAGACAGTTATATGTAGCATGCTCTGGTTCAACTTCATATCGATGATGCAATTGGAGGGCCATTTAACAGCGAAGTATATGCTATGTAAGCTGACATCTTGGTAGTTTGTTAATTAGTATTTTTTTATTATTGATCAGGAATTAAAAGATGATGAACTGTGTGTGCTCTGCAGCAGTCACTGCTGTCTATAAAGGTAACTTCTTAGCTTGTCTATGCAGCCACTACTGCGGTACTTTAGCACAAGTTTGCATCAAATGCATTTTAATTCGAAGGAAAGTTTTGCCTTGTCTTTTATTACTTGGTTTTGCCTGTTCATAGTATCCTTTTCTCATCTGTGTTATATTTTGGACTACTATGAATTATGTTAATGTGTCACCACATATATAGTTTGTAGGCCTCTGTGGGGCTTCCTTTTGGCTCGATGACTGAAGCTTGAGCTGCTATCAAGCCAGATCTTGTCGTGCCAATTACTTTTTTTTCTTAAATTTTAACAATAGCGTTAATACAAATTGAACTAATGCAGGTCGCGTCATGTTTCCTGATAAGAGTTTAAGACGTGAAAATTAATGTAAACTAAATGCCTTTTTTGAATTAGATTTGTGTCTCCAGTAGTATCATATGTTGTGTATTTTGTGAATCTAATATAATGGGATAACAAATCCATTTGCTTGATAAATCCAAAGTACACAATTTAATGTTTGTATTGTCTTAGTCGTCAGGCCTCGGGTTTGTATCGTCTGCATCCTATTAGTTCATGTTGTATTAGTCGTCCGTCAGGGCTTGAAATCACATGATACATTGATGTGTATTGATTTTTATTGAGATTTTTATCGAGAAAGAAATGGTATAGAGATTGTATCATCTAATATCGGGTGATATTGATCTTGTGCCGAGCACATCGTGTCATTTACCCCAGTGGTGATCTTATATTGTGATGTGTTGTTTCATAGGTAGCTCTTTCTCATGATGCAATGCAATGACGATTGTGATATGTGTCATAAGTAGCTCTTTCTCGAATATAATTTATCATGATGCAATGCAATGAGATAAATGATCGTCGACGTCCACTAGTTTGGATTGTTTAAGCATTCATATATCTTTCTAGAGATAGTCATAGCTTGACTTGTACAGGATCAGGACCACTCTCGCCTAAGTATGTTTAATTATGGAGTTTCGATGCAATCCGATATGTTGAGATGATCGCATGACCACACTCGTATTGCATTCGTTGTTGGGTGCCTAAGTTCATCTCACGGACCAATTCAGATGGAGAGGTATTGGATCGCGCTATGTAGAGAGTTAGCAATAGGTTTGACAATCCTATTTTGGTTAGCTTTTGTTATTATTTTAGACTTGTAAATATAGGTTGTATGTAGTCATCGTGTAAAGAAACAATTACCTAGAAATAAATCATTCAGATAATCATTTTGGGGGTTTTTTAGCTTCGTAGAGTAGTGTAAAGTGGTAACTAGCATAACACTTGGGAGCTACCTAATTAGCACTTGTAGCGACTTTTGGTCATGACAGACGATCTTGGACCCTTTATCGTACCCTTATTCAGAGGTTGCAAAATCTATGTTTATGATTTATATTGTCTATCAAGTATTTGTTGAAATGATTGTTTGTGGAATCCCGAGTTAAATGCTTTCTTTAGCTCGTCTTCTCTTTTGTACGTCCTTAAGGGACCATAAGAGATTTCGGAAAGGTTGACCCTTTGCAAATGGACATCCAAGGGTGTCGCACGATTTAGGCAAAATCAACTAAGTCTATGATATATGGTATCAAAGCAAGGCAAATATACTTAGAAACATTTGGTATACAAACGTGAGAGACCTAATTGAGCTGCATTCAGGCCACCTAACACGTGCAACCATTTAAGATAAACAAGTTTTGAGATGTAAGGAAATGAATCATTTAGAAGAGCAAGCATCTGAGACTAGCATTCAAAGTAATGGTTAACCCTTTGCACGAGATGCACCATAAGGACAAGCAAAGTGAGAAGAACGCATAGCGCACAAAGGTTGTGATAACTGAGTTCGAGCTATAGCTCAATATTATCAACCAAACTTGATGGTGCTCAAGACAACCAAGGCGCTTAACAAATAATGAGACTATATAAGGATGGATGGGTTGCTCAGTGACCGAAAGAGTTGTGCAAAGCTCACAGAGGTGAGGGAAATTGCTAACTCAAAGAATTTGGTACTTATGTAAGGGCTTGTATAGGGATGATAGGCTATATGTAGCCATCCTAAGATAATTAAAACTCGACATCATAGAGTATTAAAACTTTTCTCTTTAGCATGAGAAGAATACACTCATAGAATACTAAAGTGTGTAGTAAATTTAGCATGTTACTAAACCTTGAGGGGTGCAATGAGAGCTATATTGGTAAAGAGTCACAATCTAGCAAGTACATTCACAATAGCAGAATATGACAGTTTGTTCAACAAGACAGAGCAGTCCAAGGGGATAATGGTCTTTGAAATTTTCAGAGGGAAGGATTTTAAAAGAAAAGTTGCCCCAATGAGATAAATATTTAGGAGGGATAAGTCATGGTTCTTTAGAGAAAGAATCATATGTAACGAATCGCACATATTAAAGAGTATCCGAAGACAATAGGTCCATAAAGCTCAATGGACTGAGCAAGCGACGAGAAATCATTACGTGATCTCACATGAGGTAATAAGTTAGTAGATACATTACGAGATAAAGTGAGAGAGTAACCCAAGACAACATCAAATGAAGGCACACTTAGAGATAATATAAATATCAAAAGTCAAATGAAGGCCACCATCAACTAGATGCAAACTGAGGAGCAGAACAACTTGGGTGGAACTTAGTGAAGTGCCCAAGTCGCATGAAGTTAGTTGACATAGAAGATGAAACATTGAGCGAAAGCACAAAACTTTCCCTGGACAAAAGTCAAATACAAACTCCTGTAGAGGTAAGGGCAAGATCATATCATTTAACGAGTATCTTATTCTGATGGAGTAGACTCAACCTATATGATATCAAAGTCAAACGGAGCTTCGGGGCATATGCACCTTATCTTACTAAAGCATTTGGGAGAGGAACAAAAGCAACTCAACTTTGTAGAGACGAAGTTAAGTATAAGGCTCTGGCATAAGACAAGAGATGTGAATGTGGGTACTCTTGAAGAATATGTCATAGTGTTATCATTCGAGTTGCTTCGAAGGAAAGAGTATGTAACGGAGATTGTTCTGGGGGCAAGGGCCTAGAATCTAGATAATGACACACCAATATCAGCAAAGTTAGTAGACTTCGAGAATTGCCAGGAAACAAATTATCCTAGAGTTGCGCTTCATTTAGGTATAACCCGAGGGTGGGTGAACGAAACTCGATTGTCAAAGAAACGAATACAATCAAAGGCAATAGAGGCCCTACGATGAGCTGGCATATGCCACACAGAAAAATCACAATCTGAGTTCATCTTACAAAGATCAAAAATATAATGGAGATATCACCAGGAGGTGACATTATGCAACAAATCGTAATGAAATAGTTCGAAGTAATGCAATGCAGTCCCACGAGAGACTTGATCATACAGAGAATCAGGAGCTACTTTGAGCTTTACTTCGATAAATAACATGACAATAAAAATGACTATGAGTTCAATGAATGAATGCAATGGTACCACAAAGGTGGGTCTTATGCGTTCATCAAATTTTACGTCGGATGAAAGTCTTGATTTTCAGCATATAGGGATTATGTGCCAGCAAGGGAGAACTTCGAGTGTAAGTGCTGGTGACTCTCATGGGGGGAAAGGGAGGGGGGACTTAATCATATAAAGGTATGATCATAGTACTTAGAGGGTTGAATTGCTCCAAAGCTCATATTTGCTTAAGTGAGCCCAATAAGTCAGAGGATAAAGTCGAGTAAGTAAACATTGCTACTAAGGATGCAAAAAATAGCAGAATTGATGCAAGCCCTTCAATATTATGGAAGAGGTCACGTTTAGGAGTTACAATCTATCTTTCTATAGACTAAGAGAAGCTACTCGGAAAACACAAAGGTTTTGAAGTAGATAGTCGAAAGGAGCGAGGAAATGACAAGTCCAACAAGACTTAGCTACCTAAAACCAAGCATCGGTTAGAATGAATGTGAACTCAGATGAGTGCTATAGTGTTGCAAAGGCGTATTTACCGTTCATGAAGAAAAAAATACAAATACGAGGCAACAAAGCTATGGGCATAGTAGTGTCATGGTAACACAAAGATGAGACTTCCATAGAGTCATCGATCTCTTACTTTTATAGAGGGAGACCGCTTAGTCGTGAAAGATACCAAATAGATGGAGAATACAGAGGCAAACTCCAAGTACTGAGACAAGACTGAAGGGCAAAGATTATGAAACTTCGTAAGATCAGTGTCAATGAACTTCTCATCAAAATAGTCAAAAGTAAGGAATTTCGAGTCGATGCAAGAGTACTCAGCTAAGAAATGAAGTAATCAGTATATGGTATTGTATCTTTTCTACTCGGAGGAGTAGGTGACAGAAATGACGAAGATAGTACAATGATTAAAACTGTTAAAGATTTACTCCAAGTTAGAGACAAAATTAGACCGACTATGTGAGTACAGATTGCAAATCCATTGGGTCAACCAATTCTTTTCGGTTCTTCAACTTAATTGAACTTGTTTGGAGTTTTGCAGCCTGCAGTGAGTCAAGATTGCATCAAAATCTAGATTGTTAAAAGTGCTTCGGTTGGCCCTATATTTAACAGAGGAAAAAGGGCATGGCACAATGTGTTTTCCTTCTTTTTTTCGGGTGCGTTAACGTGGCACAATGTTAAAGCAGATAACCAATCCAATTACAAGTTTCACATGCTATTTGGTGTTGTACTAATGGTATGTCTTTCTGAGGGACAGTATCCACTCTGAAGGATCGAACATCCAATACCACCGATGCTCTGAACTGCCAAAAGAAGTCACTAAGAAAAATCCATCAAAACTAATCACAATAACGCCATTTCGATCAATGATGTAAGATGAAGAGTCATTGCCAAGAACAGCTGAGTTTTCTTCATCAGACATTATGCAATGCTTTTCTTTGATAGCACAGAGAACATTAAAGTTGGCCTAAAATGCTCTGCTACTTAGGAGTGTAACAAACAGAAAAGTGAAACGAATTGCCCAAATAAAATAAACAATTAATTCATGATTCTGTATCGCAACCATCTACATAAAGAAGGCAGTGGGCTTAAAAAGGAGGAGCTCAACAAAGCCTTCAAATCACATAACTATATCATCCACAGAGTAATCCAACGAATGATTTAATGACAAATTCATGTATAGACAAACTAGATATTTTACCACGGACACTTCTTTTTCCAGGAGACGATATTTACTTGAGCCATCACTCTTGTTTCTCCGGTAGAATTTTAGGGCCAACACCCGATGGAATCTGCAGAGAATAAATATATTCCTTTGATGATGTCAGAAAATGTAAAACATCAAAAGAAAAAAGCACCTGAAAGTTCAGAAGATATTCTGATACATCCTATATGAGTTTTGAGTAGTAATTATTTGCAAAGAAAGTTGCTTCAGGCATTAAAAATGCATTTTTGGGTTTTTCCCCAAGAAAGATGGGCACAACAGGATGCAGATACTTCCAATACACCAAATTTTGACGATTGAAATCAATTAAACCACAAATAACCCGCTCCAAGGATCACCGAGATCTTGACATATGGAACCAGATAAGTATAATATATTTAAAAGGCATAGTGCCACATTAAACAAAATTGATCGGTAGAATTTTTGTTGAAGATAAAAAAAACTATTGATTACCAAGATATATGAGCAAGAACAGTATCTAAGGGCTAAAAGGTTATGTTCTCTGATGACATAGTAAATACAAGTAAATTCCAATATATACATACAATAGGAAAAGTATTAAAAGGTGAAAATTCTCTCCATCTTCTAAAATTAGTTGTGGTCCAAAAGAAAAGTAGGATACTATACCCAGGAACATGTAAAACAAAGAAGATTCTGTCTGTTCAATAAAAACATGTCATCCATATAGAAGAGCTACAGTTGCTAAAGGTCAATTATGAAGGAACAATAATAATTCTTGACAACATACTAAACTCAACAAGAATGAAACTACAAAGAACAAGTTTTGTTGTATGATACCAAGTTTTAAAATCTCGGTCTAGTACTAATACTGGTTGTCACCAGGGTATAATATCGGGCATCTAAAATCACTATTAAATCTTATAATTTTATTGTTTTTGCCTCGATAATGAATTAAATTATGATTTTAAAAACCTACTATGGTCATATGTAAATGAACATGTAAAAAACTCCTTAACACATGATCCATGATTTATTGCACATGACAGATGATACATTCATTATGAAAAGCACACATCACAAATATATGAGTCCAAAACTTGTACTATGTGAATTATTTACGGCATAAAGTCATATCTTATTAAAGGGCAACTACTATCATAGAAACAATTTGCACAATACAAGGTGTTAAACACTGGTCATAACCAATTTCTATAACCTATATGATCGGTATGTTACTAATATAGTAGGCAGTATATTGAGCTGCACCACTCTATATCATTGAATAAAATAATAAACATGAACCGATAACAACCAACTGGCATGTATTGGCTTGATCAGCATTTAAAATTTGGTGTTGTCTGGGGAGGTGGGTCCAGGTACATGGTTGAAAATAATAATAACTTAATAGAGCCCATGAATGACACTGCTCTTGTGATATTTCATATTGATAGTATGTGTGCTACTGGTGATACAAACTAATAACAGCTTGGCATCTTGGACGTTAAAGTTTATTCTTGTTACTAACACTGTCAGTATGGTAGGGCAAGGACTGCTACAGTTGCTGATATAGAATCAGTTATGTATGATGCAACCATGAGGGGGTATTGACTATTCTGCGATACTAACATCACCAGGCTGCTGTTTTAATATTTTTCCTGGTGTAGGATTTTTCGATAAAGGCATACTCTTTTAAGTAGCAAAATCATATCCAAGAAGTACCAACAGATATCCATGTAACATAAATAATCGGATTGACATGCACTGTGCTATGCATAAGCCTACCTTCATGTTGAAAGTAACAAAAGTAGAAACCAGCATATAGTTGATGCAAGTGGATGCAGGTTGTCACAGTCATGACATTGCATTTACAACTAATACTACTATAGGAATAGTATAATTTCTGCAACAAAACTTGTTTGTATAGTTCTTAAATAATTTTCAATTGTGAAAGTCATATTTCAATTTGGGAAGCTACCTAAAACCAAAAAAATAGCAAATATGAAATGCACATACATCTTACCAATTTTCATTGTTCTTTTCATCAGCTTCTGAGTGCAGACCGCCATTGGCATTATCTGATATAGGGGAAGAGAAGTCTTGAGTCCCAAGGTGTAACAGCTGAGGTAAACCAAGCCCAATTGATTTCCACAATCTTGTAGGTAGAGATGACTGCAGACTTCCAGAACCCACTTCAGATGACAGCTCATGTAGGCCAGCTGAATCTGGATTTAGCTCTGAGAACCTTACAGCCCCAAGAATTTGCTCTGGAAGTTCCTCTTGAGTCTGACTCTCGATAAGAAATGCTAAATCTACAGTTAGTGTTGTCAGATAACTAAATGCCAAGTGAACAATCGCATTTGCAACCATTGAAGATCCAATATCCACATCTACCTCAAAGTAGTTCGATTCAGACATGTACTTGCAAGAAAGAGCTCTTCCTAGTATACAGATAGCTTGTTCGCCAACAGCAGTTCTAACTATCCAAGGACCCTCGACTATATTAGCAATCAGTTTAAGCCTAGAATTTCGAAATGTGTCATCACCTTTCAAAAATTTGTCCACAAGAATACCATCCTGTATAGGTTCAAGTGCTACAAAGTATGCAATTGCACTATAATTATCCTTGGAGGGAATTTGTAGATTAAAGGCCCAAACAAAGGGATTGTTACCTCTTGCAGTTTCATCATCAATAGCTCTTCTTACACGGTGGTTTGTGTTGCTCAATAGGTTGCCAATTTTTGTGGGGCCTTTTATCCAATCAAATCCAAGAGGCTTTAGAATATACCCACCACCAGGTATTTTCACCTTGTCTGAGAGGTAGTTGGGGCCTCTAATCATGAATTTATCACCTGGGGGAGTGGCCCAACCATTTGAGCAGTTTTCTGGTTCAAGGCAAGGAACTGAACCTCCAGATTTCACTTTTTCTATCCATGAATAATCTCTCTCGCAATCAGGACCAGCCATGTGCTGGAAACACAAAATTAAAGAGTACCTACAAAGTATAATAAATATTGAAATAAATAAGCAAACATGTATATGCAAAAGCAGGTTTAAATTGAACACAAATTGAGTGCATGTGCATGCAAAACTAATCAGCATCGGTTACTTGTAAGCAAGATATAGACAGTGGAATCAATTGACAATTCATAGTTTAAGGCTTAGCGGGGCTGCAGGAGAAGGTAACTAAGTGATTCTTACTAAAAAGTGAGACAATAATCAGATTCTTACTAAAAAGTCAGACCAAGTCCTAAAGAGACGACCTTATTCTACTTGGATTAAGAGAGGAGTTTCAGTCCAACCTTGACTGGAAATAATATGATTATTTTTTTTAAATGTTTTTTGTGGAAATTTTGGAAGGCTTCTAAAATCCTATACAAAGTCTAATTGGCCTCCAAAAGCCCTAATATGATTATGATATGGGTCAAGCTAATAAGAGTTAGTTCTGAAAGTTGTAAAGCTTGTTTAAGAAAGATTTGGAGAGGATAACAGACAAACTTTTCTTTTGAGATATAAGCTTTAATTTAGTCCCAAGTTGCTTAGAAACAAGAGAGATTGAGGGCAAAAGGCCATCAATAATGGTCTAGTAAACTGCTAAATGTAGCACAAGTTGAGTTCAACTTTGCCTTCTCTATTATACTCCATCCCTCAAATGTTTTCACTGTCACCTGTACAGGTGTCCCTGCCTCAAAGAAAGAAGACACACTGACTTCGAGGTGTTAATTCATTTAATATACTATCAGAGTTTGTTTTATCTCAGTTCAATTTTCTTGGTTTTGGAAATCCATAAGAGGTTAGTTAATTTTTATCAACTAGTATTGGAAGTTGAAGCAAGACTAACTAAATCTGGAGCAAAGAGAGATGTCACTGTTAACTTGCAGTATCTTTTAAGGAGACTCTACTCATGACAATGCTAGTGGAACCATGAAAAACGAAATGAAGGCTCCTAATACTCATGATGGAGGACACTTTAACCACATCAATCAGCCCCCTATTTGTTTCAAATTTAAACAAGTAGGAAGCTATATGAATGTGCCCAAAAAGACAAGCATAGACACGAGTGAATCCCGTCAAGTAAGAAAGAAAAAAAAAAGCACACTGAAAACCTTGAGAAGCCAAGGTAAGATGGAGAAACTAAAGAAGCTTTTAAAAAATTGCACCTAGAGAAGGTGAGCACTTGGCAATAGAGTCATTACACTCCAGGATAATTATAACAATGAACAGCTACAAAACATTTTGAAGAGCCCTTGCAAGTCTCAAGGCAAGGTCTGTTTGCTGATTACTGATGGTGACTATCGCAAGAACATTGTGTTACAAGACATGGTAAATAAGTTCGAGTTGAAAATAGTCACATCGTAGATCATGCAAAATATCATGGTTCAAGAAAGGGAATGAGGAATAAACGACACCTAATTTCTTTCTTAAGGGAAAATTTTATAAAGATGAAATTTGGTGCAATGTCATACCAATAAATGTCAGTCACATAATCTTGGGAAAACTAATGATGATAAGATAGGTGTCATCCATGATGGTAGAAAGAACAATATACTTCTAAAATGAATAGAATTAAACTTAGGCTTTTGTCATGCAAGGAGTTCATTCCCAAACCTTTAAAACAATGGGAGGGTCACAATTTTCTTACCTAGAACAAATTTATGAGAGAAAGTGAAGAACGTGAAGTTGCACGTGCAGCCCATAGAAGTTCGACGCAAAGTAGAAGTTATTTTGGAGGAATTGAAAGACATTACCCTTGAGGAAATCCCCAATGCCTCAATGGTCTATCTTCTTTAAACAGGTTCAGCACCAAATCAACTTGGTTCCAAGAACAAACTGGCGCAACAAAGCTTACCACTAGACAAGTACAAAAGAGTATATTGGCATGGAATTGTACTAACAAAGGAAGAAGTTCCATTAGAATACTTCTACAACCTATCAACTCATAGATAAGAAATTATCTATGCAAAGTATCTTTTGGAATGCATAGCCAGAGATACTTTCTTAAAGAAATATGTTGATCTTAATGACAAAATAATAGTTGGGACACTATGGCTTGTTGTGTTGTTGTTATTGACTCCGAAAGGACCCATGCAATAATTCATCCTACCAATGATCCCGTAGATGAAATCATCATGTCAAAGCCATTATAACACGTTAACTACCAATAGCAACATAAAAACAAGTTTCTACACCTGAAGACCTTGATTATCAATGTCATCATATTTACTATGATCATGGCCTTGGTTTAAGTGAGACCGATAGGCTAGTCAAACAAGTACAAGAAATGCAACATCACAAAGCATCTCATGGTGAAAGTATGACTTTGTTTGGTGCAAAAAATCACACGTTAAGGTCCAGGAGGCTCGGTTTCAATCATTGAAGGGTTTGCATCAGACAATAGCATAGAAGAAATTGATCTTTTTCGAGCTTTCAAGAAACTTAATGATAGCATACAAGATTGAAGTTCCTCTCGATAGTCAAACTCCATATTTAATATTCAAGACTTATCAATTTATCATAAGCGCCGACGATAAAGGCAACCAGCAGATAGTTCTTTCTCAAGCAAGGAGGATAATGTAGTGCAAGGGTAGATCAAATTTAATCTCAAATTGATTTTCGACTGCATTAATATGACTTACAAGATTCATCATAACTATGCATAGAAGACTTCAAACTGCACTCCGTTTGATGCATTGGAAACTTGATTTGTAGGGCTTCCTAATGAACCATAATTTTCATGAAACAAATCAAAAGATCAATGGAAAGCATTGAGGCAAGAAAAGTCTCAAGTTTCAAGCTAAGTTTCAATCCATCAAGCTCCAAGAAACCAAATTCCAAGCCACTATGAGTATACATGTTTTTCATTTTAGGAGTAGGACCTTGTGGTTTAGAGACTTGAGTCAAAGCAATTAGGTTGTTGGTAGCAAAGGCCATTAACGTATCAAAGACATATAAAGGAGAAGGTAAGGAGCTAATAAGGCAATCTTATATTACCCCATAGATTCAGAAACGAACGAAATAGCAAGGTTATCTAATATTAGCTCATATGCATCTATGAACTAAGCGTAGCTCTTTGTTATCCCCAAAAAAATTTCATTCATGTCCTCTCCTCTTCTTATTCAACATCAACCGGTCAACACCGGCACCGACTGGGCCAACAAGCACGCCCAGCTCAAGGTGGCTAAGGTGATTACCAATATAGCAGTATCTAATACTACTCTGCATCAGGACGTGCACCTCAAGATCAGGATCTACACCCACGTCCCAACAAAATCCTACTACGGCTAAAAGCAAAATCTAAAAGAAAGTTCTATTAAATTTAGGTCAAACAAAGATTTCTCCAATAAAGAGGGCAACAAACTATTTACCTTTTCGAAGAACCCTAAATCTGTTCGACCAGCAGCGACGCCGCGATCGGAGCCAAACAAAAGAGAGGCGAAAGCAGAAAGATCTAACTTGTTTGGACAAACAAGCGATGTAGTTTGCGCGTCAGTCGATGGAGAAAGAGAGGAGGCGAGGGGACACGAGACGACCAGAGACGGAATATGCTCGAATTCCAAGAAGCAGTTGGACTCACTGTAGAAAGGGCCGAGAGATTTGAGCGGAGCGGTGACTTTAAGAGGGGTAAATATAGGTAACGAAACCCGCGTCGCCTACGTGGCAAAACGGGCACCCTACCGTCCGAACTGTTAATTACCGTCCCGTTACGTATATATCAAATTGGCAATTAAGACCGTTAGCCGACAGAAACCCGTTATATATGAATATAACGGGTTTTAATAGCGGTGTTGTGTCGCTTCCTCACTACAGTTTTAACATCGATGTTTATTGCGTCCACGCCACAGGCTCTTGCGTGCCACCTATTTTGTTCCACGTATAACAACACAGTACTTTGGTGGTGCCTACCATGCATGGCGTGTCGTAATGGCTTTAGTGTTTGCTGCATGGTGGGACACATCCCCTTCTTCGTATGACTTACCAAGTTGTTTGAGACATTTAAGAGAATGGTGTACATTTAAGACATTTAAGAGAGATGATTTGAGTAGAGTTATTATCATTAATTTAACTTTAAGCATTTTATCTAAACGACTTAGGCTCAACTACCTAATCGTATTTGCTCTTCTTTAGTGAAAACGAAGATAATTATAAGGTTTATCATGCAATATCTTATAAATAAATAACTAACTAAATTGATATGATCGAGTAATTATAGAAGATATTTTAACTAATTTATCAATATTAGATTATGATATAAGTATAATGATGTGATTGACATTTTAATGTCAAATATGATCAATATTTTGGTCTCGGATGACCAACATTTCGGTTTAAGATAATCTAACATCTTGATGTTCGTGAGATACACCTTCACTTCACATGATTGACATATCATCAACATACAATTACTAACATATGACAAAGCGCACCGAAGATTATCGCATCTTGTATTTAACACACCATGCACAGAGTTAAGCGGGAGAAAGTGCACCACAACCTTTATGACCAGCACCTATCATGAAGGTAACGGTACCCCAAACCCATTATAAAAGGGTTTCTCAAGTATATTCTTAACACAACTTTCTATCATAAAAAGCTAGTCGATTTATCCGAATCGTTTATTAACTTAAGCATCAAAAGGATATTTTTGAAAACGTCGTAACACAATTTTACATAGATCAACGCAATTAGCATCAAAACTTGTCTTGTCTTAACAATATTTAATCATGATTTTTTGTTATTTATATATTTTTTAATAAGTTCCATTTTCAGGCCACATAGTGGTTCACAAACAATTAGATCTAGAAAACTGTATGGGCAAGATTAATGAAGATAATTTATATGATTATTAGCTATTCTTGTTACCCCAAGGAAATAAAGTTAAACTGTTAATAGCTAACAGATATGTTAATACTTATTTATGGCTTTTCATTTTTTGTTAGAAGTAATTTAAATTTGATTAGGACTTGAAGATGTACCTACCTCAAGTATGAACAAATTGACAAAGGTGCAAGGAAAACTTAAATTGTTATATAGAGTATTTTTAGTTAAAATCAGATTATTGGTTTTGGTTTCCTATAAACAATTACATGACAATATAATTAATGCACTGTAAAAAGGGAGAAGAGAGAAGATATGAAAGATAGCTCAATTCACACCTTACCCAAAAGCTACAGCACATACATTTAAACTAGAAGCAATTTAAAGAAGTCCAGAAAAATGAGAAAATTTTCTGTCAATTGTTGAATAGCATAAAAAAAAAGCTACAGAAAAATGTTCAATGAGAGTTGACAAATCACATTCCAAACAGAAATCAGCATTACTCATAACAATTACACTTCTCACTTCACTTGGATTTCAATTAGTAACACTTGATTCCACAGTTACAGTTCCTTCAATTTCCAAACAATTCCATACTTCAAGCTTTCAGGATATGTACTGCCAACAATTACTGTTGCTGGGTGAGTTGAGCAGTCCAGTATGTCTTGACAGCCACAAGGATCTTCTCTGGGTTGAAGGATCCACTCTCATGATCCATTACCTGACTCTTCCACCTCATTCTTTGTGTTATGCTCTGGACCTTCGCCAGAACATCCATGGTGTCCCTCAGGATCACTGTTCCTTCTGGCCTCAGTATCCTGTCCAACTCCAACAGTATGTCTGATATGTCACACCTGAAAACAGTTTTAATCAAACTTCTGTAAGTGATAATAGAATTATGCAAGGTTTTGATGAAACACCTCCAGAGAATGCAGCTCGAAACTCCGAAAAGTTGTGATATAAGAAGTTAAAGTCCCAACTATTTAGGTCGGCTGCTTAGTAAAGTTCTTGATTATGACATCTATAGATCTCCTTAGCACAGGTCAATTGTGATAATAAGACACAAATAAGTCAGAAGATGAAAAGGATAGATGTTAAAGACTACCTTTACCTGTGCTGATAAATGCTGAAAACTCCATCTGCATGGATCAAGTCATAAGTTCTTGGATAAGTGGAGAATGCTTCACACCAATCATGGTAAGTGCCGATGAAGCCGCGCTCATAGATCACACCAAGTGTGTCCCTTGCTGGATCAGCAGGAACCACATTCATCACCCAGAGTGGATACTTCACCAGTGCAGCTGCAAAACCCCCCAAGTTTGAGTTCATGTCCATCACATTTCGGTACCATCCCTTGGTAAGAGGTGGAACAATTTGCTTGTAGTTCTCCAATCGCTCCTTCCATAAGTCGTTGTCCTCATGGAATTTTTGGACTGTAATTCCCGGAACAGATCCACTTCTTATTCGTGGAGGAACAGCAAATGCTCTTTCTGGCCATTTTTCCAAGGCTCCACCGGCAACTTCTTCAGGGCTCGTCACATCTGGCAAAGGTGTTATGCATGTCTCCATCTTCCTGTACCTAAGAAGACCTTGTTGGATAAGTAATGGAGAGCAGCTTAATTCAGGAACGACATCCGAAATTTACTATTAACAAGCAAGCATTGTTTAGGCCAAAGGTCTGAATATTTACTATTACTTGGTAGCACATCTGTATCCTAATTTCTACTAGGATATATCCTTAGGTTTAATTTTCTTCTATCTTAATCAGTGTAACTCATCTTTTTTCAAATTTTATCTTCATTATTGTTTTTTCAGCTGTTTTGGAGCTTTGCAGAATCTGTACTCCAATATCAGTAGGTTCAATTCCATCGTGTTGTAATTGAATCAGTACAATTTATATTTTTACTAGGTTTTTTTTTCTTCTTATTTAAGCTGTTTCGGAGTTTTGGCAAGAAAACGACATCCGAAAGAACAAATATCCAAGAAATTGAATTCTTCTGGTATTTCCTGGATTCAAGCAAGGTCCTTAATATCAGATTCTGCAGTGTAAGATATTGATAAAACACTGATTCCGATCCCTTTGGTTTTCTGCTACTGTTTACAAACACACATGATGATCCTGCTTTAGTTTAAGACACACCAAAAGGTCAACCTTAACAAAGCTTCACAGATTTATTACTAACCTCACAAGATGAGCAAAAGGCAACTGAGCAAATTTAAGTTAACCAGAATGAATATGCGACTGAAAATAAAAATTATCGGTAGTTTGAGTTTTTTTTTCTTTCTCTTTTTGTGACAATTTGGCAAGGGTGTCTAAGCTCAAACCAATGCTTACTCTTATCTTAATAACCATGCAGATCTATGGTTAAAAATGAGTATCAAATTTTTAAGATGATTAGTGTGCAGGTCGACAAAGTATGTAAAGTAAAAGCGGTAGAAATCTCACCAAGCAGAATCTGGACTGTCATTTATGCAGATGTGTGGTGTTCTATAAACTTTCCAACTTTGTACGCATTCTATGTGGTTAATAGGTTTTTGCCAGATTGCAAGATCACCCTTCTCGACCACCTTCTTCCAGCAAAGTCGCTTTGCGACATCCTCGATTTCATATTGTTCCTGTCTTAGATCATCTTGTGTTCTTTCCCATCCTTTGTAGTACTTCTTCCAGTGGATTGGAGGACCAGAGAGGATCCAGTAGCCACCCGGCCTCAATACTCTATCCACTTCAATTAGATACAGTCCATCTGATGACAAGAATTGCCGATACAATTAGAACTGCACACTGATTCCAAGTCTAAAGATTTGGCACAAATTAGCAAATGAAATGCCTACTAGAATCTGATACCAAGAACAAGTGTAAGAAACACCAACCATATTTGTTCCAAGGAATCAAACATCGCGAGCAATGAGCCATGTCGAAAGCTCTAGCCGGGTATGGAATACGCTCTGTCGCCATGACACCTATAATGGCTGGAACTCCTCTTTCCAGTGCAAATTGAACTTGTGCTTCATGCGAATCTCGCGGAGCAAATGACATTGTCAGGATATCCCTATTCAGAAGATAAGCTCCCCAGCTTGCAACCTCCAGTACCAAAATGCACCAAAAGAAAAATCTCAATGTGCAAGGAATCATGACACCAAATTGTTCAAAGAGAAGCTACGATGCCTTACTCCGCAACCAGTGTCTAATGCTGTTCTGATATCTCCATTACTCAATGGAACGAGAGCATCAATATCATCAATGTAAGCATCAGCACCGCGGGGGAACATCGTGCCACCACCTGGGAACCGAAACCGATCATCCTCAACCTGAATCCAGTTCTGGACAGCCTTCTCGATGCTGAGCTCCCGGTGGGGAATGTTGTCATACCAAGCGTAGTCTCTGCTTCGAGGCCACCTAAAAGGATTCTTATATTTTGGTGGAGCAGGGATTAAGCAGTGGAGAAGCTCATTTTTCTTGGGGCAATGCCGCTCTCGGTACTTCAGCATCATCTTCTTGAACTTTCTCGCCCTCCTCGGGTCTTGGCAGGGGGTGTATTCACTGTACTTCAGGTCACAAGCTGGGAAGTCCGTCGTAGCAAGTGAGGTGCGGTTGAAGCCGCCCGGGTGGTGAGCTTGGAAATCAAGGCCGGCGGCAGAAGCAGAACCGGGGGAGATGCTGCGGCATCCGACTTTGTAGGACACACCGGAGGAGCTTTGCCAAGAACCTATGGCGTAGAACAGAATGCAGAGGCCGCTCACACAAAGAATCCAAGCAAAGCGCCTCCTTTTTGATTCCATCTGATGAAACTTAGATGTTGCGCTGTGCTCTTTAGCCATGGAACCTGCACCACAACCAGGGAGAGTGGGAGTCGAGAGGTAAAGATCAAACACTTGAAGGAAAAAGATGAACTTTTGATTTCCGACAAAGAACAAAATACCAAAATGTTAATATTTATCAAAACAAGGCCTTCAAACCCTCAATCAACGCGACTGATGAACTGATGAGTAGCAGAGAGCACTTCAAGATCTCATAATGGTGTGCACGGCAGAAAGGAGGAACCAAAGTCTCATTTTGGTAAAAGAATGTGGAAGAAGGACCAAAGCCAAACACAAGAAACAAATCAGATGCAGAGGAAGAGGTCACTAATGTTGAGTTCCCATGACAGCGACCGGAAAACAAACACCAAAAGAAGGATAAGGATCAGAACAGTAGCAGAAGGAGAACGGCACGGCAACCTCTGCTACGACACCAACACCACCACTCTGGTCCCCTTTCTCACCGCAACCAAACAAGAGTTGGAATGCACCGATTTATGAATTAGAACCAGCAATCATGTCTCACAGAGAGAGAGAGAATCTTTAGCTTGAGGGTGCAGGAGAGAGATGCAGAGAAACGACAGCTCCTCACAGAATATAGATACGAGGAAACCGTCATCAAAGCGCACACGGGACTGTACTTATCCGACATGTTGGTGTCTCTCCACCACGCTTTGAAGAGAAAATATATGTATTGATAGCTCGCCTACCAAAGAAAATGTTTCCGGAAAAATAAGAAAAATACCAAAGAAAATGTTTCCGGAAAAATAAGAAAAATTCGAAATCCACATATATAAAGAAAAAATATATACTGCGATTCAGTCGAATAATATCAATAATTATAGTATTTTTGAATATAGTTATAATATTTTAATTCACGGAACAAATTATGTGGCTCTTATGAACGTTTTAAGCTACTTAAGTGAGGTGGGATGAATTAAAACACTATAATTCTACCAAAAAATAATATAATTGATTGTCCAGTTGATCAGTTTGAGTGGTTAGATTTGGATATAATTAATTATAGATTATCTTTTATAATTAGTTATCTTCCTTCTATTTTTAAGACTTACATTCAGATTTTTATACTTATTAAAGTGAAACATTTAATCTCGTTACATAATAAAAATTAAATTAAATTTTTAAATTTTATAAAATTATCTTTTTAATTTTGTATAAAATCTTAATGTTTCATTTTCGTAAGTATAGAGATTCTAATATAAATTTTGAAAAGGTAAAGATCGAAATACTAAATATAACTAATTACATGAATTAATATATAATTAGTTTGATTTTAATGAGTAAATATTTTTTTCTTAAAATAAATATTTTTGATAAATATGAGGGTTTTCTTGAGAAAATTTTCAATCAATAAAGACCACCATTAATTTCAAAAGATTTGATTGTTACACTAATATAATTCAGACCCCAAAGTTAATATAATAGAAGGGAACGAGCTTGAAATTGCATCGAAAGCTTAAAATAAATCCACCATAATGTCGACCCAATAAAATATTAATGCAGCTTTAAATGTCGCATTCCTCGATGCAATCGCGTAATAACGGGGTGGTCTTCTAGTGCAGGCGTCAGCTGGACAGGCTAAGCCAGGAAACACCACCCATTCCTCTCGTGTCACAAGTATGCTCGTGTGGCTATAGTACCGTGTCGACCGCACGTTGAGCAGGATGGCGAAGAACTTGATGGCCAGCCCGAGCTCGCTCGTGTCGCCCTCGCAGGCCGCCTCCGGCGTTGGTCACCAACACCGCGATCGGTGAGCTGAGCGTCATCGACGTCGATGCTAACATGTTGTTCCTCGACGTCTGGACTGCGAAACCCACGACGAAAGATTTGGAGAGAGAGAGAGAGAAAGAGAGATGAGGGTTTCGACTGTGCTAACCTCCATATGCGGCGGCTGATGGCGTTGATGCCAGTGACGGTGGTGGTGGGATGCCATATGATCCGGTGGCGGAGCCAAAGATGGTAGGTTACCATTGCTAAGAAGCCAAGGGGTACAAGGATGCGATTCCAGATCATGTTTCTCCATCATCTCTACCGATGGTGGCTAAAGGACGAAGAAACCAGTAGTAGTAGTAGCAGCAGCAACAAAGGGGGAGGGGTTGTTGGATTCTGATAAGGATCTTAGCGGAATCTTTCGTTTTGGAAGTGAAGATTCGACAAGTAAAAGAAACAAATTACAACTTATTTATGTAAATTTTGGTTTTATAAAAAAAATCAAGAATTAATAATATCATTATCAAATATATTATATTTTAAAACAATATAATTTAAATGTACTTAAATATTACTTAAAAATGAAGAATTATTTTATGGACTTATGAGTTTCTTTTCGTCACTCTTGTCTTTTCTCTCTTTTTTAATCCTTTTTTTATCTCTTTATCTTTTTTTTTAAATTAAAAGCAACTTCTACTATATAGTTATTAATTATATAACAAGTCCACAAGAATTAGACTAGTTAAAGGTGATTTCTTTTAACTAGCCTAACTCTTAGTCATCGAGATAAAAATTGATCTTATCATACGAGCGAATGAACGAATAAATGAATAAATAAAGATATCACAAAATTGTCTCATATCTCTATAGTCATACTTTTTCTAATATCCATATCTTCATCATAACATTAATGTAAAGAACACCAGCAGACATGTCCAAAGCTGGACCAGCAACACGCAGTCCATCGAACTACCTGCAGAGATAGGAAGGTGTAGTGAGCATTTAAAGAAAATGATCAGTAGGTCGGGTAAGCACCAGTGCAACACATTCAGATAATTTATATGTATTTTGTATAATTATATTCATATGTAGAAGAATAAAGAACAACTCATCTTTTCTTTTTGTATCATATATCATCTTAATAATGCTACAATATTATCTTCGTGAATTTAAACCTAATGATTACCATCCTTAAAATTCATAATGAAATATAAGTCTATTTAATATCATCATATTCAAGCCTAACATAAAATACATGCTTATCCCAAATTTGATATTTAAAATAATAATTAAAATAAAATTAACTTAGAGAAATATTACACCTGATCGGGTCAACAGTACGGGCTATCAATCAATGAATCAATCGATTAAACCGCTCATGAAAAAGAAGCAATTTGGTTATTTAAATATACATAAACAATAAAATGGATCTTTTCTTTTCTTTATTATTATTATTATTATCATTTTCTTATGTATATGTCTTTGTTTTCCTTTTTTATTTTTTATTTTATAATAATTATTGTTGTTTAGATCTCTTAGTTAAATAGTGATCCTCCTAATTTTTTTTTATAGATATTAATAGTCTACCAAATCCACTTATATCATCAAAATAAATGAATATAAAAAATTAATACAGTTAAAATAACCCAATTTTCTGGGTAGAACTTTTAATCTGTACCCTTTTCCTGCCAAGCAAGATTTGTTCCTATGGATTGGTTCCATTAGCCTAATGCTTGATTCCTATGTTTGTTTCTTGGTGGCGAACATTATAGTCATCAAGCTTTTTTTTTTTTTTTTGTATGAGGATAATTTAGTCTCACAATAGATGATGAGTTAATTAATACTGTAATACATGTAAGTGAGGTGTAAAATTAGAAAAATAAATATATAATTACATGTAATCAAAAATTTAGTGATAGCAGATAAGATTTTCCTCAACAAGAGTAGAGATATTTCCTCATATAATTAGAAAAATCTTATATGCTATTACGAGAAAATCTTTCTACTCTATCGAGGAAAATCCTCTATAGAGGAAAATCTTACTTGCTATCATTTAGGAAGCTCAATTACACAATGATGAGATGTAATGCACCACAAAATAAACACAATTAAAAAAAACAGGTAGTAGACACAATCACCAATATATGAGAAAAAATAGCATAATTATAGTGTGCTGAACAATGAGAAACCTTTGGAAGAAGAGTAGGGATGATTGTAAGTCGAGTTTAGCTGCCACGTGGTGAGGGATTTGGCTACCACATTGCAGTTGGTGGCATTGTTAAAGAGGAAGACTCTTGCGTCTCCATAAATTGCCTCAGTGGGATACACACGAGATGTGATGCATGTTCTTCCCTTCTGAGCAAAGCTTTCCACAATCGAGTGATCCACCTGAAAGATTAATAACAGTACCTTTATTTCACAACATATTTCAGTAAACAAAAGCAAGTAATGTCTAATCTACAAACTTTTATTCCTGCAAATGCATTTGATTAACAAAGAAAAGAGATGGAGGTTTATGTTACATTATTCTATCTTTTAATGTGGAGATCCGAAGACATGGTAGTAAAACAATCTAATATGCCATTGGTTATCTGAAATTAGAGGTCAAGCAGATAATTTGTGAAATTTGCAATTATTCTCTAATCAGGTCACAATAAAATTACAAATTAATGGAAAACATATTTTATGTTGTTCAAGAAGTAATATTGGAGTTATTCTCAATGGATGAGATAATGAAAATATCATTAAAGACAACAAACATTTAAGATTTGTTGACTTCAATTATGACAGTGGACTTTTAATTGTGATGACATTTGAACCTTTTGACATTGGATACAGAATTTTCTTTTGCCTCTGGATATACTCTACAATTGTTTAGTGCCTCAGAATGGAATGATTCATATACTTCAGCAAGTATAGTAAAACTAGAATGTGTGCCAGATGAAATAGAAATAGAATTATTGGCTAGTAATGGGTGTTATAGATAATATTTCCTATTCCAATGAGCCAGATAGTTACTTACCAGTATTCTCAATGACAACTTTTCACCATCAAGCACGGGAACTGTGCTGCCGACCACTCTCTTCACGATATCATTCGCCTTCGATGACCTACATTTCGGCATTCACAAGTCAAATATCTCTCTAACTGCATGTTATCGATGCAAATGGAACAACAGAGGTAAGAAGTACATGCCTCGATTCATCCTGGCAGAAGTGGGCGCGTAGGCGACCGTCCCTCCTTCTCGCCACGTAGAAGTAGACGGCGGTCTGCTCCGATAAGGCCTTATCGGCCAAGACGAGAAGCCCAAATGGCCCGAGCATACCTCTCGCAGCAGCACCACCGCTGGTGCTGCAGTTGTAGCCCACATCGGCCTCCGTCGTCGCCATCAATGCCGCCTCATCGATCACAAACTCAGCCTCTATGTCCAACTGCAACAAGGAAAGCTCTGTGTTTCAGCCGGAGATCCAAATGGTAACACGTTCCTCGTCGAGGCCAGTCTGATACCTGTGTGGCCGAGCCAACATCGAGAGGAATGACGGATCCAGGGGCGACGGTGATGCCGCTGAAGTTTCTGCTGCTCATCCTCAAGCTCTCCACCTCTTCCACCGGCCACTGGATCAGATTGCCACCGGTTTTGACATCAAACACCACCGTCCGAGGGATGGCCTGCCATGACAACAGTGATCGAATCGATCAAGGAAATGGAAAGCGGTGAACAGTGTGCACGTGAGCGACTGGTGAAAACATGGTTTGCACCGTTTACCCGACTCGGTTATCTTGCAAGGCAGCGAGCAGCGAGACGCCGAGGTCCTACGCCAGCTCAGTTTGCCTCTGGAGCGGCAACACTCGGCAACAGGTCGGTACATGATTGGCTTCCAACCTAAGTTATGTGCGTTGGGGGTCTGATGATTCAACATATGAAAATGCTAAAAGAAATCCAAACGTCAAATGTCATTTTTTATCTTATATGAAATTATTTTTAATCTTATATTTGTCTTCGTATCAAATGTCGATTTTTCGAACAACGGACAGTCTGTTAGGCAGTTTACGATACCAAACCAATCAACCGGCCGAATCAGCCGGTTTTTTTTCCTTCGGTTTGCAGGTGCGAACATCGACCGGCGAACGGGCGCCGATCAACGATCCCGGTTTCCGGTTTTCTGTTTTGTCCGCGCCTGGGGTCCAATCCGGAAAAGGGACCCACTAGGTTTTGCTTGGTCCGGAGGGAATCGATTTGGGTACGGAGTGTGTTCAGAGACTTGCGAGCCCTAATGATACGCCTACGGTTGTTAGGTAGCACGCGCGACGTACCTGAATAGACGCCCAGCCCTTGCGCACGTCCGCGCCCTCGCTGTCCATCTCCCCCACCCACCCCCACAGCACCCTCCGCCGCTTCGCCGGATCGTAGAACGTCTTGGAGGCGTAGAACGTGCCCCAGTCGTACCTCAGCCCGATCCCCACGTCGGCCTCTGCGTCGTCCGGGACCCACACGTTCTTCTCCAGGTCGTAGCTCCCGATGGCGTAGTAGTCGTTCCGGTCGTCGTCCATGCTCGCTTTCAGCACGTGCTTCACCCCGTCTCCGGCCACTGCCGACGTGTCCAGCCCCTCCCCTGCCGCCACGCCGCCCGTCGACACCGGGTAGAAGTCGACGCATTCCCACATGCCGGTGCCGGCGACCCGGCGGAGCACGCCGGGCAGCAGCTCGTAGGTGAGGAAGTCGGTGGTGCGGTAGACGAGAGCGATCCCGGCGTGGGACTCGTCCTTGGTGCCGATGGCCACGCGCCAGCTGGATCCCGTGGCGTCGGCCCAGGCGGTGGTGGGGTCGCGGAAGTCCTGCGGACCCACACCGGGCGGGGGGAGGAGGACCGGGTTGGCGTCGGATTTGGACCACCGGAGGAGCAGCGGGTCGGCGGGGTCAGCGGGGAAGACGAGGTTCTGCACCTGGACGGAATCGTCGGTGGCGCCGGTGTAGAGGACGGCGGGGCGACCGTCCGGGGGGAGGAGGGTGGCGGAGCCGGTCCAGACGCCGCGGGAGTCGTACCAGTGATCGGGGACGAGGGCGAGAGGGAGGTGGAGCCAACGTACGAGGTCACGTGAGACAGCGTGGCCCCAGGTGATGTTACCCCACACCGGGCTGCTCGGGTTGTACTGGTAAAAGAAATGGTACCACCCCTTGTAGAACAACGGCGCTGCCGCGGCCAACATCGACGGTCAGAAATCAACTGGTTACATATCAATCCTCGAAAAGAAAGCTACAGATGAGAGGAAAGGAGAGGTTCTCACCGTTTGGATCTGATGCATGGAAGAGACGTGAAGACAAGGGAATCGGAGAAGAAAAAGAAGAAGACGAAGTCAGCAATTAGAACGACTACAAATCAAGAGAGAGAGAGAGAGGAAGAGGAAAGCGGAGGAGCGGACCGTTCATCCAGTTGTCGAGGGGTTGGAAATGGAAGGCCGTGCGCTGCCATTGGAGCATTTCTTTGGTCCATTGGAAGTAATCTTCTGGTCCCTTGACACCCGCGGTGGCGGATGAGGAGAGGCCAGAGCGGGATGACTTCTCCGAGACGCCATCAGCCGGGCCACGGGAGCGGGGGATGGCATCCGTGGGGCGGAGTGCCGTCCTATCACGAGGAGCTCTGCCTCGGACGATGACGTCGACGGAGACGATTCCAACCAAGAGCACCGCCATGAGGACGGCCAGGACGCGAAGTCGGCGGGTAGCGGAGGAGTCAGGGGAGGAGGATGCGAGGAGAGGGGGATATCGGGAAGGGAGGGACTGATCCATGGGAGCGGTGGCGGAATGGCCTCCTTCTGTGTTGTTTTCCCCTGCTCCTGCCCCTCCCTATGGATTATAAGGTGGCCATGGATTCCAATTCAATGGGGAGGAGGGGAAGCCGCCGGGCCCGTCGAGGGGTGTAAATATAGAAGGTGGGTGTGTGGACAGGAGACGACGATACCAAAACGAGCAATAGGAGCGAGAGACGTCGCAGACGCAGGAGAAGAATTGGAGTCCTGCACAAATTCGTGTCCTGATTTCCTTCGTGACTTCAAGTGTAACACGACCGAACACGAACCGGGAGATACCGCTCTCGTGACGACTTCCGTACGGACGAGCTTTGTCTTTAGAAATGTCCTTCAAAAAAAATTGTGTACGTCACGGAAATAGAGGTTACGAAAGATCTCACGTGAGAGCTACGTATGTTAGTTACGTATGTTACCATCATCATTTATATACCTAATAAAACTTCCTCATTTAAAGAATTATAATTTTGCATATGAAAATGTTAACAGAAGGAAAGAATAAAAGATAAGAATAATTATTAAAAAAATTTACTGAAGTAATTGTTAATGTCTATCTCTTATTTATACAGATTAGGAGGAAGAATTTTCCTCAACATAATAGAGGATTTCCCTCAACAGAATAGAGAGATTTCCTCGTATAGTTGAGGAAATCTTATCTTCTATCATCTTCTATCAAGATGGTTCGTGAGTAGAACAAGAACAGATCGTTGCTGCTGATTGCCGAAAGAATAGAAGATAAGAATAATTTACAGAGGAAGGATTTCCCTCAACAGAATAGAGGATTTTCCTCAACATAATAGAGAGATTTCCTCGTATAGTTGATGAAATCTTATCTTCTATCATTAACAAATAAATAAAGCTTAATCTTTTTAAACAAATATATTTTTTAAAAAGATATTATGATAGTTATGAGCTAAATTGGATGAAACATGATAAGTGGATACGACACAATAATTATTCCATATCATGTTTTTTTTATCCAAATGAAAATATTACCATTATATAATTCTTCTATTAAGTTGAATCCTCAAAACACATTTGATTATCGGTGGAAATCAAATGTCAAAGGTTCCTAATAAAGCTATCTTTTAAGTGTATGCATAGATAGGAAAAATCATCATCGACGTTTGAGTCAATCCGACGTGGTCCGAACCCAATAGTGTAAGAGAGTGTTCAAAGTTGCTTCGAGGCATGCTTAAGATGGCTTTGAGGTAGAAGTGTTGAGCTTTCAAGGGGTCACCTGCATTAGGATCGATATTGAAGAAAATTTTTTGATCCGATCCCTCCGATATTCAAGTTAGTCCGAGATCATTTTAATGTATGAGTTTTTTTCAAAAAAAAAAAAACCTCCTGACATAGCACTTGGGATTATTGTTTATATCTAACATTTGAGGGGGTAGCCTATAACCATCCCAACACATTTTATCCAATGTAAGCAATGAGAGGAGATAGTTCCCAATGGTTTACTTTGGACTTTTGTCTACACAGACAAATGGACGGGGTGATCTAAACTTTTTTCATTCCACGATAGCTTTCATGTGGTGCTTGTATCGGATGATGATTGATCGTTAATGTATTCTCTAAGTCTAGTAATAAATGTCTAATATTTGTGATGAGAATATCAACTGTCTCCATATGTTATAGGCCTAATATCAATGAATTATTATGTTATAATTAAGCTCATTAGGTCTAAATAAGATAGATCAGTGGCTACTCGTAAAAATAATTATCATATGATGGTTTTGAATAGATCATATATCAATTTTTTCTCTACAAAATATAGGAAAAAAAGTCTACTTAAACATTTATTATTATTGTCACTGTAAGAATAGTAGCGAAATAATCTAATTCGCTTCGAAAGATTCCAAGTTCAAGAGATTAAAACAAAAGAGTTTATTGACTCAAGCATGAGTAACCAACCATTTAACGACACGATCTTCTTTATGACATACATTCAAATTATTCATAATAAACATTAGATGTAAAATATCCCTAATAACATTTAGAATTCATCATACCAAATAGATTGTCTACTTAATGATATCCACCATCATCAGATACATATATATTTGATGTTGACAGAAGACCGGAATACCATTGTTGGAATTAGGTAAACAAATAAAGAAACAAATATCAATTCCCTCGCAAATGAAGGTGCCGAAATAATACTTGCGATCACATCGAGTAGTGAGAAGAGCACATGGGAGACATGTTGATATCTTCAGTTCTTCGAAGCTGTGGCTGCAGGTTTCCCCCTACTTCCTCCGCCCCACCCGCCCACCCCCATGATATGTACGAAGAAGTCTTAATGGTCTAAGGTAGGCATTAATGGTAAATAGAGGAGGAGAAAGCATTGAGCAAAGCCACTGTTGGTAGCCTTGTCTCCATGCTGCAGTCGCATGTTCCACAGGCAGTTCTGTCGACTCTTCGAAGCAGATCACGAAGAAACAGGCCATTGCGGAGCTAACGCATGGATGCACCGAGAGTGAAGAAGCGCTTAAAAGAAAAGCTGGGCAAGGTCAGCCATCGCATGCCCGCCAGTGTTTGTTCGCCAGGGAAGAAGACAGCTTTTCTGCACGCTCCTTGTCATATTGAAGTACCATGACGTCGTTTTCAGCTGTTCGACGCATTTCCAAGCAGCGTCACGCTGGAGCAGTCAATTCGTCGAACAGTTGATCGGCCTTCGCAGTTGTTGTTGGATCCGTGTTGGGCCTGACCGCCCGTTATCGGTGGATCCAATGGTTAATGGAATTTAGCTAATTAATCAGAAATAATTAATACGAAAAATTCCGCCCTTTTCGTTTCTTACTGTGCGAGTCCAAAGACTTGAGTTCGTTCGTCGATGCGGTTTAAGTCTGCCCTGTCTTCGGGGAGACCCCCAAAGAGATGACGGTCGGATCGCAGAAAGGTAAGAGACGGAGGCGTCCCCCGCCGAGCTCCGACCTCCCCGCATCGGATACCATGGCCCCCACGGCTGCCTCCGATTTCGGTCGTTGCAAGAGAAGCCGAGGCTACTGTTGCAGGAGAGAACCCTCTCTCCCCGTTGCCCTCGTCGCCCTTTGCACCCTCCTCTTCGTCTACATCACCTGGAAGCGGATGACCGTTGCCGTTTCCGTGTCCGCTCCTCCTCGATTCTACTCCTTTAACATCGTCAATGAGTTCCCCCACGACCCTGATGCTTTCACCCAGGCAAGATCCGTTTCCAACCCCTGATTCCGCTGTCTCTGATGCTCTTTGTGTGTTTGGCTGCGATTCGAGTTTTACGGTTGATCTTTAATATCCGATTGGGGATTTGAATTGGATGACCATTTCCGTCTCACCTCCTCCTCGATTCTACTGTTTTGACATTGTCGAAGGGTTTTCCCAAGAGCCTGATGCTCTTAACCAGGAAAGATCAGTCTCAACTTGATACCGCTTCTCTATTGCCCGAAGGATATTCATCAGAAGTATTTGCATGCTGTTCAATATTTTCTGATCTGAAGATATTCATTTTGCGTCAGTTAACCAAATTGAGTCTCGCATCTCTGGTCCAATGCTTGTAGGATTTGCCAGTTTATAAGAATTGGTACTTTTCATAAAATAAGCTGAGATAAGTACAATTCTGATTACAACAATATCTGCTATGCCTGTCTATAGTATACTGTTTTATGTTTCAGATTACATATTCTTAGCGATTTTTGTCACCAACTATCATCATCTTGTCTCACGATCGAATTTTTTGATATTTTATATGCTGAATAAACCTAAAAGCTGATTTTATGCATTATTTCAACTGTTGTTTGAGGATGCTAACTCTAGCACTTCTTGCTAATGAGTTCCTTTCCGACCATTGTCTCTGTAAATTAGTTACACGAGTGATGTGTGAGAAATAGCATAAGTTATTGGTTTGAGCTGCTTTTTTTTGTTGAATTATTGTTTCTGATGTTTGATCTTTAATACCTTCACTTGAACATTGTGTTTTCTGTAGATTTAGGTGTAAACTCTATTTTTTCCTTAAATCTCAGGGGCTTGTATATGGAGGAAATGAAACATTATTTGAGTCAACTGGTCTCTATCAGAGAGTAAGTTCAATTTAATTTGAATATAGAATATGTAACAAAGGTCAAGGGGTGCCTCAAATGTCTTCACATGTGCATTTGCGCTATGTTTTAAATATTGCTACATGTATTTTTAAGCTCTGCTGTAATCTCTGAAGGTTTCATGATATGTTTCTTTCCCTGTGCTGCAATCTGTAGTTTATTCTATTCGTGCAAGCTTTAAATTGGCTGTTCTTGAAGCTTTAAAACAAACAACAAAGAAACTATAACTCCAGAAAGCTAAAAACCTTGTGTTGATCACAACTTGTGTTGTACAGGTCATTAAGTAGTTAATTTTAATAACTCCTGGAGTTCTTTTCATCCACATAAGTGATTACATTTCTTCAATTTGATATGCACTGGTTCCATTATTCTTTGTTGATGCATCTTAATGCTTTTACTTCGTTGTCTAGATTATATTCAACATTTCAACCTACTCTTTCTTTTGGTTCTACCTTTTTTATGATTATCTTTGGTTTGTTCTCAAAATTACAATATATCTACATAGACTTCTGTCAAACTGTGTTTGGCCTGAGCGTAAATCTATGGAAATTTTGGTCTTTTACCAAAACGATATTTGATTGCTGAGGATGTGAAAGATGAATTTTTGTACTAGAAAAAAATTTCTTCCCAGAAAGAAGCTGAAATATTATTCCTCCTACTGGCTTGAGATCAGTATCATATGCTAATTGTACCAAGGTTCGCAATACCATACCGTATCGGTATTTCGACCTGGACTCGGTACCGGTACGGTACGGTATACCGAGCGGTACACCCAGGTGTGTCGAGTACTGTAGCACTGTTACAGTGCACTTGGACCGGTAAAAGACGGTCCGCGTACCGACAACCTATCGGACCGGTATGTACCGCCCATACCGGGCGGTACAGCTCGATACGGCAGACCCTGAATTGTACTACTACTAAAAAAATGAAATCGCTTCTTGAACTAGTTCAAAGTTGGTCCAATAAAATCTCCATCCTAATATCTTCACGTGGCCTTGGTGTTTCTGGAGGCGGTATATCATTCTGTCCTCTACTCAGGTTGCAAAACAGTTTTAAGATATTGTTTATGTCGATGCTATGTGATTATGGTATCTTTTTATATTTAACCACACCGAAGCAGAACATTACATAAACTATGCCTCCATCTCAGTGTGTTACTAATATTTTGAACATTTTAGGTCTAATTTCATAAGAACCTTAATTCATCATTTAAACAAGATCAAGTTTGTACTTAATTGGTTGTATTGCTAGAAGCATACAATGAACCTAGTGCTTACAGATGTATACACCTTCTATTTTTTTATGTAAATGTACTAACTGTTCATTACTTCATATACATGTCCTGTTTTTTATTGCTCACATATATATGTATCGGATCACTACTGCAACTTGTTAAAATGTCCGCACTAATGTACAAAGATTCTTCTTTCAACCTAAACAGTATCATTAGACTAATATGAATTAATTGATTGTGCACTGAATGGATGTGATGACCATATGGGGAAAAAATATCATGTTTACAGATCATGATGATGAGAAGATTATCTTAGAATTTTTAAATGGAACTAATGTTTCTACATATTGTCTCTTATATAAGATCATGCTCATATCCTATGAAATCAGTAAATACAGACAATGTTTGTGCTATCTGGTATTTGATTCTCTTATCACTAACTTTTTCTCACCTTTTGTTGTACCCAGTCCTCAGTCAGACAGGTTCTTCTGCAGACTGGGAAGGTAACCATGCGACGATATCCTTGATCTTTTTCCCATATTACACTACAACTTCATTTGTTGTTTAACTATCTTGTTAATTATGGAAGCTTGATGCTTTTAGTTGCATGGCTGTTATCGAGTTAAACTTTCAGATCAATCATTATCATGGGACCATGGAAGATCTGGACGTATTGCTCCTAATATTAGGTCATGTATAGATGGTTGACTCCTGGTCAGAATTAGTTATATTATTAGCTACTTGCAATGACCTATAACCCATTTGGTTATTTTTAAAAAGTGAATTTCTTCAAACACATGTTTTTACACAGTCGTAATTTTGAAAACGATGGTGTGCACTTAACTGGTTCAAAATAGTATGTGATGTGTTGGATAATCTGATGATCGTGATGTTCAATAACCTGATCTAGACAGTACTTAGATTTTGCTATCTTGTTTTTCTATCAAGATCTTTAAAGATATTGTAAACTTTGAAATGACTATCTTGGCAACTAAATGACTTTATGAAGTGAATCATTAAAAAGTTATTGTATGACCTTTGGATTCATGGATCTCACACAGGAACATTCAACTTATATATATCTATCATTTTAGTTGTTATTTATATTTAATAATTTGGAACCAAACATGCTGTGCCTTTTCTTCCTGTATACTTCTGATATCTATTACATGCAAGGATTCTTGACAAGGTGTTAAGTTCTTGCAGTATAAGAGTGCTAAACCAAGACTTGGGTGCCAATATTAGAAGTAAACTAATAGAACCACTGAAAAAGTTCAAGGAACAAAATGTGGAATCCCAAATTCAGGAAGATTTTTACTTTGAATGGGTAGATATAATCAAAGTATTGTGGAAACTAGTCATGTCGGCAGGTGTCGGAGTCACACATGATGGCACATGGAAACAACATGCAATTCGTTCAATGTGTTTGTATGTTGGAGGTGTTCATAGATTCAACCAGATGCTTGTAGAGAGAACAAGGTTATCTATGAAAAGATAACAAATGATGATTTGGAAAGTTGAAGATGGTCAGACTTTCAGATTCATTAGAAATAAGCAACTCCATTTTCAGGTTAGCAAAAGGGAGGTTGAGCATAGAATAGATATTTTTAGATCAGAATGGAGCATAAGGAGCTATGAAGTAGTTTTATACTTTTCATTTCTTTAACAACTTTAAAATATAAAAATGGCTATTATATGAGGGCTAAAGTTAAGGGCCTTATTGAAATGGATAATAATAAAGGCTATGCGTCAACTGACAGACATGGATAAAGACAGATGGAATTGTAAATTTAGCAATGTTAATATAGCATTGGCAGGATTGCTGCAGATTAATTTTGTGGTACTTTGGTGCATTGATTTTTCACTTTTTCCAATGGATCTGGTGCAACCCGGGGATAGCATTAGTGTTTATACAATGACATCTTAACTTCCTCATCTGATAACATGAATTACAAGGGTTGCGCTGATAATATTTGGAAAAGATCAAAATTCATGTTTGTTCTGTTTAAGTCACTTTGGTGTAACATCATCAAATGTTTCTTCCTTCGCTTGATGAAAAGGATTGAACACTATGCATAAGTGGACATACATTTATATTTAATGCTTGTGCTATTATTGTTGTGCTATAACTGAACTAAAGTTAATGTTTTTTTAATGAAAATTTAATGTCATTTTATGTTGATTTGAGAATGACCATATATTATTTTATCAACGTTCAGGTCCAGGTTTCGCACCAAATGGATGGATCCTATTTTGGAGAAGGTCTAACACTTTTGGGTGAAAGGTTACTGTCCAAACTCCTTATATGGTTCTAGTGCTTGACACATAAATTCTTCTTTTTTTTTGGTGGTTAATCGATAAACCCTAAGAAAACGCATAAATTCTTTCTGTTTGAAAGATCGGCCTGCATGTTTAGCCATCATTAACCTATTTTGTTTTAGCCCTTTGGTTGTAGGAGGGGAGTAACTTTATGTTGTTCTCTTCGGGTAAAAAATACTTGATGAAAGAAACAGTCTAGAATTTAAGTTTGTGAATGTTAGTTACAGCTTAAGTTGATCTATATTAGTTGGACAAGTTGGTCATCAGATTGAAAGGTGAAAGTTGACATATACATAGAATATGTATGATGGGTCATTTATTACAAGAATTAATGTGTATTGTGGGATGCAAAACTTGGGTTGCATCCTCTCGGTGGTTGCTTGGTTATGGTTTCTCTTAAAATATATACAATCATGTATATACACATGGGTGTATATTTTTATACATTGGCTGTAGTATTTTTCTTTATCTGATGTAATTTTGAGCACTGTGGCTCCTAGTTTTAAATTAGAATGAAAAAGTAATTGACAATTTTAAATTATTGTTGGCACTAAATGTGTATGCTAGCCATCAGAGCAACATGTTTCAGTGTGCAGATGCTTGACATGCCATGTCATGTTAATGACTGAAACTAACCACAAATATTCTATCAATCTTTTGTATAAAGAGGGAAAAAAAAGAAGTTTGCTGAAAGCTTGCTCCTCTTTGGCATCTTCATCGCTGCTCTGACCTCTGCTCTCATGGGTTGGTGTGCCAGGCTGATGGCCTCCCTTGAATATGCATTGTATTAATGAATGAGGGAGGAGAACTGAAGGGGCCAAAGTGAAGGGATTAAAAATTTGAACTTGTATAAACTATTAAGTTGAAAGTGCTTGAACGGTTGAACCTATCACTTTAGGTCCATTCTCAATGTAAGAAGCCCAATCCACAAAATATTATTAGGAAGTGCAGTCATCCTGATTTTTAACTACCCCGTGTAATTTATTATTGATAACCTTAGTTTCATATTGTTATAACGGACTGTTATATCTGAAATGTGCTTAATACAATACTGAAATTGTTATCAATTTGAGGTGTACTATTTGTGTTTCTGTCTGGATTCAATTTGTCTAAATAAAGCAGGGAACCATGTTAATTTGTTTCAGCAATATTGATTTTGAATCACTTTAAGACATGACACAATTGAATATCTTTGTAGTGTTGTTTTTGGTCCTCTGACCAATTACATAAGTTTAATTCTTTCTTCGATACTTATTAGACCATTATTGTTTGATTATAACAAAATGATGATTCTTTTTCTTGTGTAGGTTGTTCCAAGTAACCTGGTTGACAAGAACAGGTTTCACATATGATCGATACAACTTTAGCAAAGTTTGTTCCTTTCTACATAGATCTTTACATATATGCTATCTTCATTTGGTTCCATTCATTGTTCGATCACATTCATCTAAAGTAGGTTTGTGATGTGATTTGTGCAGGTTTTTCTTCTTTTATCTTTTCAAAAATATATGTTTCCAAATGTAGGACACAACCCTTTTTAGCAGAAAATAGTATCTAAAATGTAATTATCTTGATACAATTTAACAATTGGAGAACTTTGGTGATGCATAATGAGATTCCAAGATATTTCAGAAAAACACTGAGCAAACCTTGACAACCAGAGAACCTTTTGATAATGTCTTGCGACAAACATAGACATTTCGGTGTACATGTCCTTATCCATCGTTTATGATTCTTGATACTCGGCTACTCACTATAGTTGTCTACTTCGTAATTGAAGAAAGAGTTGGCTTACAGCTGGGGATAGATTTGAGCATCATGGAATTTCTGTGTCCAAAAGTGGTTTTAGAGGGAAAATGGTTTTTTTCATGTTGTCATAAAGAAAGAACACACAAAGATCATCAATTAACATTTCTCAATCTAAGATAAAAAGATATACAAGATTCTTGTGACCAAGTGGAATATTGTTATGATCTTATAGAAGCCTGACTTTGTAATTTTGTTCCCCGATCATTCACAGCTTGTTCGTATACATAACAACAACAACAAAGTTGTAAATCTCAACTAAATTTTGTACCTCAATCATTCATAGCTTGTTGGTATACATAACAACAACAACAAAGCTGTAAATCTCAACTATTTAGGGTTGGCTATTATAGATCTTTTTCCGCCATTGAGATATGTAAAGGGTCATATGTTAAGTGAGATCTAGAGTAATTAAATCTTTATTTATAGTTTCTATTAAAATCTTTTTAAGTCTTCATCTATCTTTCCTCGTATTAGTAACATTAATCATTTTTTCTCTTCTAACTACCTAAGCACATGATCGTACCATCTTAAATGATTCCCTCTCATTTTATCCTCTATCGAAGCGATACCTAATTGTTCACGTATAAAAATATTTCTTTTCCTATCTTTCCTAGTTACTCCATACATCAATCTCAGCATTCTCATTTCAGCAACACAAACTCTTTGTATATGTTGTTCCTTAACTGTCAAACATTTAGATCCATTAAATATTGTTGGTCTCACGATTGTCTTATGAAAATTTTCTTTTAATCTCAAAGGTATCCGATGATCACACAAGACTTATGACACCCATTTTAACTAGCCTGTTTTTACTCTATGAATACTTGTTGGTAATGATGCATAATTTTTGATATGTGCTACTAGACAGGTTCTTGGTGGTTCAGTATCATAACCTGACTTTGCATGATGAAGATTGATCGGATGCTTTGGGACTCAAATTTTCTTCTTTGCCTCAACCATGCACTTACCAACCTGTGCTTTATGGTTTTATGTTGGTTCGTCACATTTGACTGGATCAATGGTTTTATGAGCACAATAAAACTCAGTATGGCATGTGTTACTTGGTAAAGTACCAATCAGAGAGTGGACCGCTATGAGTTTGATACATGAATTGTAATTCTTTACTAGGATTACATGTATATACTTTTATCAATCCATTGTTTCCTCTGTTGTTTGTCTCCTTGACTTCAAAATATTTAAACTTGAACCAGAAAAAGTGAATACATTATTGTTATGCAAAAATTGAGCCAGGAAGCTGCTAAAAAATCACTGTTCTTAATATGAAACCATAAGATAATAGCATACATGATGTTATTTCATAGACCATCTACTTTGAAAATAATTTGGTGCTACAAATATGGTGCAGCAACGTAGGTTTACTCATCAGATGCGTGATGGATGGGGACTGGCAACCGATGGCAAAGTTATATTTGGGACTGATGGAAGTTCAACACTGTATCATCTAGATCCTCAAACCTTAAAAGGTTTGCACTTGTTAACAATCATGTTGTTTTCTCTTATTGGATTTGATTTCTTTTCTTTCTTAAAAATTTCTGCAGTTATTAGAAGAGTAACTGTAAGATATAATGATCATGAAGTTCCTTATCTTAATGAGTTGGAGTATGTAAATGGTGAAGTATGGGCTAATGTCTGGCAGGTGTGGTAATTGTTCTCTTGATACATTCTTCATCGGTAATCTCAAAATCATATTTTGTTTATATTTTTCAATTTAGTTAATCTATATATTCAATGTTCCTTCTTCTCACTAAGGAGCATGACTCTGCAGGGGTTATACTACACATTGAAATTCTTTTCAAACTGCTTCTTGTAGCAATGCTTGGCTGCATTTGAAGCTTTCTGTTGTGTCATGTTGATGAATTGATAAATTCAATATTCATCATTTCAATTGATCTAAGGTATAAGAACCATTCTGAACATGAATATGTAGTTTGTCACGTAGAAAAGCAACTGTGAACCCAAAAGCTTATGGCATTATACATCATATAATATTACACTTTTCAAGTACATGTGAACCCAAAATATAACTTGTAGTTTGTTACATGTGCTTATGGCATCAACTACCACCTTTTATGCCAGCATAGGTGCATTGTGTTGTGCCAAAGGCATACTGTTCACAATCCTTGTACTGGTATTGGTTTGCCATGGCTGCCTCCAGCAACAAAGATAACTATATGGAATTGCATGTGTCCTCCAAAGTAAGTAATTTTTGTATTCTCTCTACAAGACTCAAAACTTGCATACGTGTTAAAAACTTTAAAAGTATTATTCATGCTCATCAGATCGAGTCAAACAAATCAATGAAGCTTTAAACTTCTAAATTCAAGGTTAAATAATTTTGATAGTCAAGACAGTAAATTTGTGCATCATCAAAATTGGTTTGGTTGAACTTAGCTGAATAAGATCTTTAGTTTTTAATAAAATGAGCAAGAGAGATAATTATCACCGTCCCTCATTGTTGAGAAAATTCACCAAGCCCAACAGCTTTGGGTGTCTGATTTTTCTCAAAGCCAACTAGAGTAATTCAGACCAGAGTCCTCATGGACAATAACATATTGCAACAATAATCTTTAACAATAGGGAAAGATCATTTGATATCTTCAATCATATACTTCAATAGGTTTTAACTAACAGTTGGTTGTACCTTAAGAAAAAAAAGAAAAAAAATGGAGAAAAATATTCTCGGACATAATGTTGTAAATGGTCCTCAATTGATCAAAGTAAGATAGGGCATGTATTGTATCATACATTTATCATTCTTTTTCATTTTACTTCATCCTAGTTGATAAGGTAGACCCCTCATGTTAGGCGTCATTGTTTGGTCTTTTCTATATCATCTCTTTTATCTTAAACTATAGATCTAACTATACACAAACCAACTTAGTGATTCGCTTCAAATGGTTTTGGTCCTACTCCAAATTAGTGACGATTGTGTTTTAGTGTTTGAGATCTCATTTCTCATTTCGTGCCATTATGTTATTCATTATATGTTTGCAAATGTTATTTATTTTGTCATTGATTCTATGAATTGATACGAATAGATGCTCATTCTTGCATTTCTATAAATGTTAATTTCTGCTCTCATCCTGTTGAAAATAATAATTATTCCAAAACTTGTTTAGAATATACAAAATGTCACTAAAAATTTCAATAAAAGTGTTAAAATAATAGTTAAGAACAAAAATAATTTCTAGTTACATGTTGCAGACAGATTGCATAGCTAGAATATCTCATAAAGATGGCATGGTGCTTAGTTGGATTCTTCTCCATGAATTAAGGTACATGAATTTATGGACTGTCAAGTTCCCTAAGTTGAATTTGAAAACACTATTATTTATCATCATTATAGAAATGTTGAAATGACAGCTTTTTGAAATTTTTACAGGCAAGGCTTGTTAAAATCTGGACACACTGTGAGTTCCAATTTTCATATGTTTCTTTGTGTTTTTGAGTTGCAAGCTTCTTTACTTTCTGGTAACATGCTAAGAATATCTTGTTCCAGAGCTATTTGTTGTTTATGTTATTGAGAATTTGTACTAACAGTTTGATTTATGTAGATGAACAAGGAATTGAATGAGATTTGAGAGAGAGAGAGAGAGAGAGAGAGAGAGAGAGAGAGAGAGAGAGAGAGAGAGATTCTTTTAAATTGTTTTAGCCTCTCGGAGCGAATAAAGAAATTCTATTATCCCTTGTTGTCAACTTAGCTCTCAGAGAAAAGTGCTGGTGTGAGCCATAAGCTACATTTTTATGGGATGCCATCTTTAGGAGAAACAAAAAGGGCGTACTGCTTAGTGCTTAACATATTACATATAAAACAAAAACTTGGTTGTCTTAACTATATACTCATTTAAATGCTAATAAGTTCGATGTTGGTGTGCATTCTGTGACCAAGTCAAATAAAACTGTATTAAGGTAAACATTATCTGGCCTTGACCTGCTAAACTATGACTTTCCATATACATAGATTTGAATATTGTGACATGTCAAAATAGTTCCTATGTCTGATATCTTATTTCAACATATGTTGCATTTGCACATATGCCTTATGCAACGATTTACAAATTGTATTATTTTTATTTATTTTTATTTTATTTTTATGAATAATCATTTCTTTAATTCAGCATAGATGTAGGTTCAAAGTTTATTATAAATTTTGGACAAAATAGCCTGCAGGTTTAAATTATTTCTTTTGCTCAAATCTCTGTCCTATTAGTTCTACTTTTCCACCAATGTTTCCTAAAAATTTCTGCAAATAATCATTTAAGATATGATAATCTTTAGTTACTTTCCTAATATTCTGTATCAATTTATCATATGTGAAATCTTTGTTCTCAAATTATTCTGTTTCTATTGATCCCTTAACTTGGTGTGCACATAGGACTAGTGATGGTATCAGTTCTAGCCAGGGTTGTGCCAGCAATGGATGCAAGCCAGACTGAGCAACGGATTTAAAATTATACCTGTACCACACCCTTTCCAATGCTTGGCCGGGCCATGGCAGGTGTAAGGGATTTGGTTTAAACCAGTTCCCAAGTTTAGCTTGGGTCTAGAATATATTTGAGTGATGAGAGTAAACAAATAGTTCATGCAAAATTGTAGCATAAGTAACTAAAAGCTTGTACTAACTCCATGTCACAAATTTATCTAAGCACAGCGGAAGGCTTTAGAATTTTTAAATGTCAATCGTGTTTAGACCCTCCTTTCTCTGTTTTAAGAAGAAAATTTTGTTTACTGTTCCTCCTGGAAACTTTTCCAGGCTATCGATGTGCTTAATGGTATTGCTTGGGACGAGGAAACAAACCGGTTGTTTGGTAAGTTTGTGTTTATTAAAAATGAAATGTATGCCTTTTTTGCTTTGCTTTTTGATAATTTGAATTTAGAACTTTCTTTGCCTGATTCGTCGGTTTCATCTTCCTGTCATGCTACCAGTGACAGGTAAATTATGGCCAAAGCTTTATCAGATCCACCTTCATCCAGTTACTGGTCAACTGAATGGTAGGTTAGAAGACCTTTGTCTTATAAAGAATGAAATTTCATAGTCAGCCAAGATGAGTAAGTTCATCATGCTCTATCCCAGTCTACCAAAGTGTACAAGATCGCGAGGGATGACTACTACAGAAATGAGTAGCAATCTTTTAGTTTCATATATTGCAGATATATCAGCTGAATTTGGTACTTGTTTTTTTCTTTTTGTGAATCGCAAATATAATTTTGTAGTTCGTACTCACTGATTTATTAATGCATGTCCAATGTAGGCTCTGTATTAGAGCATAGTCAATGTAGGAATCGCCAACTGGAAGATATGGTTCCGATAAACGTGAGATCAAGCAGGTTTAAAGGATCGATTCTCCAATAATCATTGCTTGTGCATGTTAGGCATCTTCATTTTCCGTTTTCATACTTAGCTATCTTGCAATATACGTTCAAGTGTGGGCCTTTCGTTGACATGCTTTTGTCATACCAATTATATATCAAAAGAAAATTTTAACCATCTTGTAATACACTTTTGTCTTGCATACTAAAAAATCTCTGCTTATATTTTACAAGCTGCATGCATATGAAATAAATATGTTGAAAAATAATTGATAGAGGGGCATTTGCTTTACATGGGGCTATATCACTAACTTAACATCAAAACAAAAAATGTTCCAATATTTTTTATTCAATGTCATATCTCTCATGGACAGGGGACTCATCCTTCTTCAATCCTATCTTACCTATCTCGAGATTAGTGTTGCTAGGAGCCCCTTTTAATAATAGGTTTGGTGTCTCGGTACCTGCTTTGGTCAGACGATGATCACAACTTCGTGAATTATATGAATGCAATCAGGTTAATTTGTAATCATAAGGATTATTTATATCAAAATAGTAAGCAATTATATAAGTGTGTAGATTAGTATGTATTACTATTCATTAAAGAGTAATTGTTACGGGGGTTTCATCATCTTCATTGTATAGATTAGTTGTGCTTAGCAAAATTCTTGCAAAGCGGTTGCCCTTTTATGTAATCCCTGGAAACAAAACATTACATCTTTTTCTCTTACAAAGTTACTATGGTATGAACATTGGAATGAAAGTACATCTTTTACTCGTACAAAGTTACTATGATAAAACAATCAAAGATGCTCATGAAATTTCTCGAACATTGTCCTGATTCATGATTTCCTCCTCTATCCTCATCATTCATTCCTTGTATCGGCAACCTTATCGTGGGATTTCGTTCTCAATGCAGCTCTCTTCTCCAGAACATTCCCTCGCCGCTGACTTTTCTATCAAATCCGGCTATGACTCATCTCACAAACCCACCAAATACCTTCAAATTTTAGAAAGGCCATGTCGTTACACGTGTCCCATTGTCGCACCTCATGCTTGCAGGATACGTTTTTCACGTTCCCTCCTACAATGCATCCGGTAGCGGATCCTCCATTCCCCCTATTCCATTCTTCGTCGCGTTTGCGGTTCCGCTTAATCGTGACGCGGATGAACACCAGCCAGCAAATCCTACCGTCCCCATCCCTGTTTGATGAATCCCGCTGCAACACCGCTTGGCTCCTTTTGCTGGTCATATATTTGTTTCTTTGCCATCATCAGCCTCTTCTCTTCCTCGTTCTTCCAGCGGTCGCCGCTCGTCGAATTCCCACTTCGATCCCAAGAACCCTAATTATAACCCTGGGAGAAGCATCGAGTCGATCGATGGAGCTGGAACCCTCTGCCGATCACTGATTTGGGGACCTCGATTTGGCGATGATGGTGGATCCACCGCCCCCGGCGGATGAGCGGAGCGGGACGCCGCCCGTCGCTCCTGCCCTCTCCATCCCCCGCCGTATCCGCGCCCCTCCCTTCCGCCTTCTCCCCAGTGGCCCCGCCACCACTCCGCCGCCGCCCTCCTCGTGGCTCGAGATACGCCTCTTTTACGTCCGCATTTCCCCCTGCGCTGTCGACGCCGTCCCGCCCCACCTTACCCTCTCCCACCTCCGCCGCGAGATGGGAGACGCTCTCGAGATCAACGGCGCACGCGTCCCCGCCTCTGACACCACCGCCATTCCGCTCCGTCGCGACCGCCTCGACCGGGGTGCTGCTGAGGTCACCTATGTGAGCACCGACAGCGTTCGGATCGCGGGAGCGGTTGACTTTGAGGTCTGTGATGATAGGGGCAACCTGATCCTCTGTGGCTCGCTTCAGAGATTGGAGGTCCCGTGGAGCAATGGGGTGATCACGGTTGATAACCATCATGGATCATCCGATAAGGATCGGAAGACTGGATGGGGCATGGACTGTTACCCAGCAGCTTCGGCTGGAGCCTCCTCTTTTGTGCAGCCCAAGCTTGGGATTGTGTTCCCCTCCATCGAGGTGTATGTGGCTGGATGCTCTGCAGCAGCACCATTGATCCTCACGCAGACCTTGCAGGTTAGTCCTAGGCGGAAGGCTGTCAAACCAGGAACACTGGGTTCAATCCCAGAGGATGAAGAGACCACAGAGCATGAGAAGAAGGTAAACAATGACACTTTGGTTCAGCAAAGGGCATCATCATCACTGGTAAGTGGAGTTCTTCGCCATCTCACCAACTCCCCCCCCTCCTTTTTCCCCTTTCTTTTTGCAGGAGTTGGTTACTATTCATCGTCTATTTACTTAATAAAGTCTGCATTTTAGCTGCAGTTTTTCATTATAGTAGCAAATAATAAGATGCTTTCTTCTTTTAATGTATTATACAACCTTTCTCTTTGTAGAACTGAAAAAGCATCATGTTTCTAGATCTTTACTTTAGAAATAGCAAGTTTCAAGTTAAAATTAAACTGATTCTCTTGCAAAGCAGATGAATCTAAAAGTGTGCTTGATAGTGTTCATGAGCTGGCTATTTATTCGATATATATGCTGTTAGCACCTATTTGTCCTTTTCTGGATTTATCTCATTACATAGTATTGTGGAATGTTTTGTCGAATAAAATTCATTGTAAAAATCCCATGAACTAGTCTGCATATGAATAAGAGTACACCTTTGATGAACCACATTTATCATATCTGATAGTCAAATTTTTTTCACCATAACCACCCTTTTCTGTTGCATCTTTTTTCTGAAATATTGTAGGTGAGTTTCTTGAGCTTTGCTGAGATAAATATTTTTTTATCATGGCAAGAAAAATAGTATGCATGCTATAAATGTATGTTCTTAGTGTATACTTTTGATGTTCTAATTTCTATAATCATGTATTTGATATGTGGCTATTGCATAATTCTCTAAAATAGAGAAATGAAATTTGCTATGTATTCCTTGATCTTCTTATCTTAAATGCAGTTGTTTTTACTAGGTATGGTGCTAGGAATTTTCAGCAGGACCTAAAGTACTAGGAATTTGTAATATTCCCATCCCAGCATGTGGACTGGTTTAAAACGTTTCTTTTATTGGTCCTAGACCCAAAAAAAAAAACTTTTTTTCGTTCTCAAGAGTGTAACTTGGTGGTAGCATTGGTCCAAAGCAATAGCTTTTGGAAATTGTTTTGTGAAGAATTCTTCCGATGTCTAGCAGACAACAACAATATATAAGCATGGGGATGAATTATGGTTTCAATCAAGTTTAGGATTTGATATCTTAATCAAGATAGACTAGTGTTTTCATCATAATTTAATTTTTCTTAGAATTTAGACTTAGTAGGGGCACGAAGACAAACTAACAAACCTTTCTGTTCTCCTTCCCCTGTCCAAGTAGGACTTAAAGGGCACATCACCAATGGTGGTATAATCCCACATGGTGAAAAGAGACTAGCATTATTAGTGTTATATAACTCTCGAGAGTTCATATATCATTTTCAACAAAGGCCTCTTTTAAGAGTTCTATATTGCTCTTGTCCCTTCTCTTCTCCTACCTTTTTCTACTCTCTCTCTGTATTCTCTATATGTTGTGTTTGCTTCTTTTCTCTATCCTCTCTTGAATGCTACCTTCTCTCAAAAGTAAGGAGGCGCTTGATGTGTATATCTTTGGACAACACACAGTGAATTTGGAAGGCCCAAGCGAAATTTTTGGTTAATTAATACCAAAGTGGAACAGGATATGCTTTTCCTTTCTTTGGAGTCACAGCTCTTATTTTAAGTCCACTTAGATTTCCAAAGTCCATTTTTATAGGGGAAATGTTTAGAGACCTAGTATGAACAAATTGGTTTAGAAAGATTATGGAACTGTTGAGAGTCATCTTTGGAGGGCTCTAGAAATCTACTTTTTGCAGGATTGTGAGATGATGGAGGTCTCAAAGTAGGAATGTTTTCGCCTATAATTTCTATACATATAATGCTTGTAAGCCACAAAGGCATAGTTAAGACATGTTTTTCCTGTTCCTAGCGTTGATGCAGTTTCTTTTACCTTCATTGAATAATCGAAGGTTCTCTTTGCCTCGAAGAACAAAATTCCAGCCAAGAATGAGCATCTAATCCGGCTAAGGGGTCAAGCCTTTAAGGAGTATCTGCACTAAACATTATATGATTTTGAAGTGAACTTGACTTCCACAAGTCAAGCACATGCACCATCTATCTTTTCTTAAATTTTCTATCAGAGAAGTACATGTTTGGCATGCAAGTTTTCAGCCAAATGTCAGTGTATGAAAGACTCCAGACTTTATCATTGGCAAAAGCCCCATGCATTGTGCCACACTCTTTACAAATATGCCTTTTGAGAACCCAGCTGGCCAGGTCTCAGATAAATTGGTACCTGATCAACCTAAACTTATACAGGCTGCTGAGGAGGAAGCTGGTGGATATGATTCAGATTTTGGTGTTGCACATAGCTACCATCCTGAAGGTTGGTCCTCGGAGGAGGATGGGCAGCTGTCATGGTTCAACTCTGGCGTCAGAGTTGGTGTTGGAATTGGCTTGGGAATGTGCGTTGGAATAGGAATTGGCGTCGGGCTCCTCATGAGTTCGTACCAGGCAACCACCAGAAGCTTCAAGAGACGATTCTTCTGATCTCTTTCTAGACTGGTATGATTGCTTTGCTCCGAGTGATCATCCCAGAAAGCAAGCTCGTTTGCTGCCTTATGCTCGCACCTTGTACCATGTCTACGGTATGTTTCTAACATATAGGTCACAGTAACTTTATGATGTGTTTTTCCCATAAATTCCCCTTCATGGAGTCGTACTGTCTCATTTGTGTATATCAGCATGATCATAATGTGAATGAGTTAACAATCCCACGAGGCTTGTTTGATTAGACCAGCATGTCATGTGCAGTTTGTGGACCAAAAGGTTTACAATATAGAATATATATATATATATATGTATATATATTTCATTTCCTTGCTGCTGCTTTAATAAGGCTTTCAATAGTTGTTGATCTCTGTTTATTTACATGCTCAATTTTATCTTTGCTTTGCCAAGTTTAGAAAACCATATGCTGTGCCTTTAATTATATTCGAGTCTAGCCAAACCATCAGCTTCATTTCACTGCCACATACTACCACCATCAGACAACTTAATCTGGCTAACGAGTTTGTGAAAGGTAATGGTAATTTCAGGTTAGCTTTAGATTTTTATGGAAAGTAGTACTTTAATCTCTCTCTCTCTCTCTGAGAAGTCTCACCTCATCTGGATTCGTGATATGATAGGAATCTTAACTTTAGATTTCGTACTTACAGAAAATATTTGAACTAATATTACAAATAGTTACCAGCATGCCTATTTAACATTTTTATTTGTTTTTAATGAGTATCTAAATCTTTTCATAAAAAAGTAATCCAATGTTTGGTTTCTCTCTCATCTATTATCCTACCTCACTTTTTTTCTTGTTACTATCACTTCGTTGTCATCTCATACTCTGGATTTTCTTATCTTATTTTGACATTGGTCACTTCATTGGAGAATGGATTTCTTTTACGTATGGAGCATTGCATGCACACATCTTATTATGAAATAAAAACTTAGTATATTTTTGCATCAAATTTATGAGGACTAAATACAGATTGTTTTCTGTAGTTAAACCTATTCAGTATTTCAATCCTTCAATTTTTTCGATTCTTGAATTTTAAAAAAATTACATTCAAATCTCTTTAGTCATAAAAGTGAAATATTTAGTTCTATTTATTCTAATGTCGTCAATTTTACCGACCGAAGCAATGAAAACGATGAGTAAAAAAATAATTTCAATGTCCTAATTATGCTTTCGATGGTGGCGAACGATAGCATCATTAGGGCTCGCAGGTGATTATTATGGATAGGGAGAAAGAGCGATGACGAGACGTGACGTGACAATGCAAATGTTGATGCTATGCATTTGTGTCGACATCGCTTAGCAAATACGTTGGCACCAGTGCAGTTATCGAACGTCGTCGACCTTTCTTGCATCATTGTCGGTATCGACGCAAATGCATAGTGGTGTCGCTTTGTATCTACATCGTCGTCTCACCTCTCATCTACGTCGTCGTTATTCTTCTTCATCCACAACAGTCACCTGCGACCTTAGTATTGTCATTGTCCATCATCACTGAAAACATAATTATGATATTGAAATTATTTTTTTGATTATCGTTTTTGTGCTTTAGTAGGTAAACTAAAACTGACGACGTTAGGATAAATGAAGCTAGATGTTTTACTTTTTTATAATTATAGAGATTTAATTTTTTTAAACCTAAAATCAAGATATCAAGGAGGGCTAACTACATGTAATTAGCATAATTTATGATTTAATAGTTTAATCCATATTAGTGCAACCAAATTGAATCCATGATGTGAGACCTTACCAAATCCATTGTATTTGATAACCATTGCCAGCAGACCATGTGTTTCTTTTATGGTTCTCAGTCCTGACTTGCATATGACAAATAAATAGGTATACATGCCAGCTTGACCCATTTGATTTGTGAAACAAGCCACATCTCATGATATCTCAAGCCATCATCATTACAATACAATACAATGGGACCCGAATGCCAGCCAAAACAAATGTACTTTAGACTTTAACGCAAAGTACTTTGATGCTCTCCTCTTCTTCTTCTTTGTCCCTCCCTACCACCGATATGTTGCCTCCCTCTCTCATGAGTACTACTAGTAAATAGGAGTTGTCGTAATGTTTTAGCTAGTTGAGATAAAAAGGCTTCTACACCTAATGCCATGTGCAATTTACCCTAATTTCAAGATATTATCATATTAAGTAATCTTATTTTCTCGAATAATGGTCAATATTATTCTAAACCAGTAGTTTTATGGTCAATTTGATTGTCAATTCGACATGCTGAAATTGTTGTTCTCTCTCTAAGATGATGCAATCCAATACTCACGAAACGATCAAGCAAAAGATCTTTTTCGAGTCCAGAATTAAATTATTTGTATCTCCTGAAATGATGATCATTATTTTCAGCCGATTGATTAGTTGTTTATTAGATGAAAATAATCTGCAAGAAGACACTAAACCTTAATTAATAGGCATTTTAGTTACCAAAAATATCGAATAAAAATGAGGAAAGACAGCGTGTGGCAAAAAGTTGAAAATAATATGATGTGAAATAAAGGACCAAATATTATGTTATTAAGTGAGAAAATGAACTTATTATTATTATTATTTGATGCGCATATATTGTATGGGTTATTCCCATAATCTATATATTCATGTGATAAAAGATTATATCTGTAGTGTTTTAAATTTTTTTTTTTTCGACTCGTCGATAAATCCACTGCGTAAAAATTTTCATTCATGTAATGAATTGATCGGTCTTTTTCTTTTTTTATATGAATATAGTTTCATTGATTTTTTATTTTGAATAGTACAACATTGATTGACTCTATTTCATCATTTTTTCGATACTAATCGAGATCATTTACTCCAAGAAAAATTATATTGATAAGAACATGAATTCCTAAAGTGTTGAAACGAGAAGAATAAGAAAATTCTACTGCTGCTGATGGATTCAAACAAAAACAAGCTCTATTATTATCTTCAAGAATGCAAGTGATGTTTGAACCTAACTTTTGTTAATTTTTCCCATAAAATAATCTAAAATATCTGCAAGCCATGACAAAGCCAAGTGATGGGCACACAGCATGTTGCAACTTTTGTAACGTGTCACTTGTTTGCACATCATACAAAACAACTTTTATCATCTTCACCAACATACCCTCGCTATCATACGAATGGATCCATCGTTGGGAGGAAGAGTTGGGAGGGGGTGAATTCGAGATTTCATTGCACCTCGCAAGATTCGATGTCCTCCTCCACCATTGCCTCGCCAATCGAAGCCATTGAACATGCTTTCACCCCAAAAGTTCCTTTGGATTGATCTGTCATTCGTGCATCATCACAGCGTTTCATGTCGTTGGGGGAATCAATTCTCTTCCTTCGTTTTTTTCCTTTTGCAAATAGGGTGAAGATAATAAGATTTGAAATTAAATATGATAAAGTATATTTTAGGCCCAAGATACGTCATAAGTAATACTATACGCTAGGTCAAAATTTGTACCAAGGTATTGTTCGACCCGCATACCACCATGCCAGCCTGAGAATCAGTAGGGGGAACACCCCCACACGCCAAGTCAGAATCCGTACCGAGACACCGTTCGACATATCTCATCCCGGGAACCCGGGGCGACGCCGTCTAACGTCGCTCCACGCGTCCCGAGATGACGGTCGATCAGAACTGTCGTCTCAACTCTCGAAGATTAGGGGCCACGCCGAACCTACCTGCAACCGACGCTCGTACAATAGTATAAAAGCCCATGGCCAGCATCCAGCCAAAGGGAGAGTCATAAAAAAAATAATTCAACCCACAACTGACTTACTCGTCGGAGGGGCCAAAGTCGGGAATCACCCGACGAAGGTCATTTTTGCAGGAAAGCGCGACCCGCGAGCGTCCCAACCTTGGAAGTCATCGACCGACGTCTCCCAGGGCGAGCCATCAATCGGTTTCTGAACTGAGAGACACTGATCAAGACCCTATCGCGAGAGCTCGATCGATCGCGACATCCAGCTTGGTCGATAGAAGACTCCCAACATCGACCCATGGACCAGGCCGTGCTGACTCACCAACCATGACACATTTATTCACCAACAAAATAGACTTTATTTTTCTTAATAATAGGGTATTAATATATATGCTAAGGAGAGGAAGATGTGTAATATAAACTATAAATAAAAATTTTGATGTACTTGGACATTTTTATCCTAAATTTGATGCACTTAACTATGAATATGGTACATATTAGGCAATCTAATCCACCCACTGATCATAATACAATGAAAACTATAACTCATCTATCTTTTTTCTTCAATAAAAAAAAATTTATAGTCCATTACAAAATAGATCCCAACTTTGGAAGCTAATTCTATCTCCATATGGAAGAATTGATAGCCAGTGAACACTATTGTTAGCCTTTCCAAACACATGAGATAATTTATGCACAGTAAATCCATCAGCTAAACTTGAGAGTATTCTTAACACGATTCGAAAGGAACTACACAATTTTGAGCAGGATCACAGCATCACACTCCGCCACCAATCTTGATACCCTCTTATTGATAGCAAGTAAACAGATAGATACATCCAACATGCAGATAGCTGCCATTGCTTGATCTTGCAATTGTACTGAACATTTCATAGCTTGAATTGAAGGAGAGAATCCATGCACTTTGCCATAATAAAAGCTTTAGATCACTTCGTAACTTACCATATTTCCTTTGTTCTACATGATATCGACATGTAGAGAGTATCCTAAATGTTTAGTTATTAATTCCAATAACTCTTTCCCTTAGTAGAATCCACAATAAAGGATTTCTACCTTAAATAGAAACCAACTTTGATGAATCTTGATCCAAGTCCAAAGGCTTATCCCTACTTAAATAATAACAACAACAACAACAATCATAATGATAGTAATAATATAAAAATAAATAATTTAAAATTAGTCGATTACTAACTTAAAAACCTTTGAACTTCTAGAGAAACAAAATAACCAGAAGAAGATAAAATTCTTAATAATTCATTGTCGATGTTGTCAACATCCCATTCGATACCTCTTCAATCGTTGTTAATGTCATCGATGCCCTATTCGATGCCACTTCAAAGATTCAATAATTTTTCACTAGCTATCGATGTTGTTGATGCATTTTCCATTATCTATATCGATTACCCTCTCGTCTTCTCCTTCGTGAACTTTCGTCACATCGATCGTTTAGTCTTTTTCCTTCGTCTCCTTTATTGCCTCTTTTAAAGAAGTCTTGGGCATCAAGGTAATTGAGCTTCGACGATCACCCAAACAACACCATCTATTGTCGCTTTCACTAGTGACCCTCACAGGAATCGTTCACCCTCGTGATCATCGTTTGTACTTGTTTACTCTCGTGAACATCGTTTGTATTTGCTTGGATTACTATTATCAGATAAGGAAAAAAAGAAAGAAGGAGAGAGCATCGATGTTATATTTTATAAATATTAAAAATTCTTAAAATAAGATTATAAAATAGTAAAATAATAATTTTAAGGACAAGTGGGAGGATATTAAAGTTCATGGATGGATCTTTCATAATAAAATAACTCCAATTATAAAATAAACTCTATAACAATTCTAACGACATAAATCATCAAAGGTAACAAATTGGCCATTACTAAGTGGTTTCTTCCTTCCATCGCCATCAACATTAGCTGTCTCTTTCATTTATTGAGTATTTATTGAGCTTTTTCTACCGTAGCACATGAGATAGTTTTCAACCTCGATTGGCATGGAGCTATCTAACAAAAATAATATCTTCATCCACTTTTGTTCTTTCTAGGAAAATAATAAATGAACAAGATTACTAGATGATTTTTCTAAAAAAATATTCATATTTGAGGTATTTTTCAAAAGTATCTCTCTTTTATTTTTCTAAAACAATACTCCTAATAAAAAATATATAAAATATCACTCAAAAGTTTTTTCCATCAAATTTTTATGTGACTCTTTTATTGTCATTACTGATGGACTATTACAATATCATATTTTTATTCTTGTGTTTAGTTTAATTAAGATTAAATTTTTATTTAAATCATTTACAGTATTTTTAAATACCAAAACACTAATAAGCAAAATAAAAATTGAGGGACAATTTAGGTATTTTAATATTAAAAATACTATTTAAGAAAAATATTCTAATTAGGAAATACCCAAAATTATTGCCCCAAAATCTTCCACCGAGACAAAGAAAAAAAATATTGTGGCGTCTAAGATTAGATTAGTTAAAATTATACAGGTGGAGTATTAAATTAACTGACATAATTCAGTTCATAAAAAAAAAATTCTCATTTAATTAGTTGACTAACACCCATTCGTTTTAATTTATTTTATTATTCTTTTTCGCATCATACTTTGGCGTATTCTAGCAAGCTTAGCTAGCTTGATTAGCGCTAATTAATAGTAATATAATTAATATTTATTATGTTAATTAGACGCCAAAAGTCAAAAAAAAGAAAAAGAAAAAGGAAGCTCTGATAGAAGGTTACGAGAAGGATCCAAGAAAATACTTACCCACGCACGTACGTGATTTTTAAATAGAGGACAGGTTTGGGACCCGCATCCGTGTCACGATTCTACCAATCGTAAGGAGGGTGAACTAATGGGTAGATATAATTGAATACGAAAAATGGTACGCGCAAAGCCAATCGGTCGACGGTGTACGCGGCGTCGACTCGTAGTCGTCCTTGGAGACCAAAGCTGTCGCTTCGGACCCCCGAAGCTAGTGGTTCGGAACATCCTCCCGGGCCGCCTATAAAGTGAGGCCCTGCTCGCCCGCCCCCCACCGCACCCCATCGGGCGATAGTGTTCTGGTCCTCTTCTTCCTTGATATTTTGGGCGACAGAGCTCGTGGAGGTAAAGAAATCTGACTTCCCGCTGATACCGTCCCCGCATATCTATGCCATGCTCGAATCCATGGGTTGTATAGAATTAAGCACGATCCGTGGCTGGATCTTTCGATCTGAATCATCTAGTCTTGTCATCGGTAGATTCTTGAAGTTTCGTGATGTTTTCTTCTGGATCTGGTTGATCTTCTTCTCCGAGGAGGATAGACTGGTTTTTCGTTCGGATCGTTGAATTGACTTGGAGAAGTGGGATTCCGATCCCCTTGATCTTGTTAGATCTATGAATCTATGAACAAGGGGATGTAATTTTACCTGTCTAGGAATTTCTATGCCTGTGGAACCTGTGCTTGATCGCAAAGTTCCCGAATTGCTGCGATCAGGTTGGTTTTCATCGTATTCCTCATAACTTTCAAGTCCAAGATGATGAGTTTACTCGAATTTTAGGAGGGTTCATGTAAGCTTTTTTGCTCTTGACTTCTCCAAAGCGGAACTTTGTTATCTGTAACTCTCTGTACAGAATTATTGAAAGAACTGATTACATGAAGTGCTTAGATTATATTTTCTATGTACTTATTAGAAATTAGTTCGCTCTTCACTTGTTCTGTAATCTTAAAAGGATTTCATGTGGAGGTTTAGGATGTTACTTGTTCCTCATATATAGTTTCCTTTTCTTTTGTTTCTTGATCAAATTATTCTACTATTTCATGCGTCATATGGCCTTTTAGTAAGTGAATTCTAATATAGTCAGTCAATCTATTTTGAATAAGAAAAATCAAATATTATGTTTCTTCTTTCGACTTGGTCCTTTTAGTCTTTGCAAGCGATTAAATAGTTCAGTATCATCCACTAGTAGCCAAATTTTCATATGATTGATTGTATTTCTTTTATACTGGTTTTTCATTTAGCTCCTTTTGTTAATTTATCTTCCTCCAAATCTTGATGGAGTTAGGTTTCGTTTCTGAGCATGAAATTATCGAGGAGTTACATTGCCAGAAGAACAGGGAAACAAACAAAGATCAAATTCGTTATTGCATTTGTTATTTGAAGAAATTAATAGATTAATGAGTGAAATTTCCATGAGTCTACTCTGCTTATCTTCATCAACATTTAGACAAAACTTTAAAGGGTAGCTGAAAATAAAAACCATTTGAATGCCATATGTTGTTGGATAAAAATGCATTATGTTGTCGAATATAATCCTCTAAACAACCTGCTTTCATCGTGCCTAATAGAAAGTGCAGATACAACTGGGAGATAATGAGTGCAATGGCTGTATCGTCGGCAATGAAGTCTACGCTGAACCCAAATGCTCCACTCTTCATCCCGATGGCACTGCAACAGGTGGAGGATTTCTCACCAGAATGGTGGGAGTTGGTGAACACCACCACTTGGTTCCGCGAACATTGGTTCCACCGCAACCAAGATCAAGAAACCTTCGATGTTAATGATGAGGAGGATGTGGCCAACCTGCTGCCAGACACTATTGATCTTGGAATCGGGGATGAATTATCCATTATCGAGGCGGAGCTTGATGATGCAGCTTTCCACCAATCCGTGGTAGCTGCAGAGGCCCTGAAGAAAGGAATAATTGACTATGGTAATCCATCGCATCTCTTCCATCATAAAACAGCAACTATGTGTGATCAAGCTTAATAGCTATTTATTTGATTGTGTTCTTCTGGGACAGGGTTTCTGAACGATGAAGAGTCGATGGTGAGGAACCTGGGCTTGAAATCTCCCAAGAACGCTGTCAGACCAATCCTGCAATCAGCAAAATACTGGGATAAACCCGCGCAGCGTCCGAACCCAATGGGCAGCCCCCGCCGAATGATTCAGCAGCCTCGCTGAGAGCCTTTGTTGTATAGAAGTAAAAATGCGACTGTTAGCTGTAGTGCTGTTTAGCTACTCACACCAAACTCCATGAACACAAAAAAGAGGGTGAAAAAAAGGGGTGTAAGAAAGTTGGTGCACTTGCATAACTTCTTACAACTGTCAGAACATTTTCACTGTTCCCATCTCTGTGAAATTAAGCGTAGTGTACGAATCCTTCGTGCTATCCAATCTGTGCAGAACTAGTAATATGTTTGGATTGGTTTTGGGAGTTCAGTTCCCGAACATTTACCGCAAAAGGGCCCCGCCAAATTTTCGTTCAAAGGATATCATTTGCAGTGGGTTAATTAGTTTAATCACAAAAAAATCATTATATATTACATTAAACGACGCCACTTAATAATACTAGATATATTAATACGGTAAAAATCATTTACTTGATATTAATAACATAAAACAACATAAAGGTCATTGAAACACGAATTATCATCACCTTTTAGATAGTCAAAATCATTTATAATTAAATCAACATTTTGGAACCATATTGAGCGTTCACGTAGTATGCATTTGCTACCACACTTAGCCAAAATGAGGAATAAAAAGGTAAATAATTGGAGAAGATTCCAACCTGCTCCAATTCCATTCCACTTAAAATGGCAGAACGCAGGACGGCAACGTTGCTGCATCGCGTCGCTGCCATCGTCGGTTGAAGTCAGCAGCCCGCCAGCGGACGGAGATGACGGCGGGCGGCGACTTCCGCTTCCCCCCTTTCTGTTCTCTTTCCTTTTTCTCGGGCGCCGTTTCCTCCACATTCCATCCTGCGATTGACGGCGTGCCACGGTTGTTAGGGCTCCCCTGCTTCCTCAGGCTCAGGATAACGTTATTTTATGTTGTCATTTACCTCCTCATTCTATAGGCATATTGTTATGTGATGCCCGCCGTCGCTGCCGCTTTCGCCGTATCGCCAACCCCACCGAACCGGTGTCCCCCGCATATTCCCTATCCTGGCCTCACCACCACTAGGCGCCCGGTCGATTCCCCGCCGACCCCCATATCGAGGCCTTCCTCTTCTTCCCCCTTCTTCTATCTCAGTCTCAAAGGCCGCTCCCTCCTCGCCCTCGTCTGCTTCCGCCTGCCTTCCCGTCGCCGCCTTCCCACAGGTAATTCTCTTGGTTCTGTGCATCTCAAGTCCCGCGATCTGCTTCTCGATTCTTGGGTTTATTTGGATCGTCTTTAATATTTAATGACAGATAATTATATTGCTCTAAACGTTGATTCTGCTGATCGATAGAGAAGATTGTAAACTAATACAGTAGCAGTTGCAGGTCGATGAGTTTGGCTAAAGTATGTGGTTTCGTTAATTTTTAGGATTGTTCAAGATGTTTTAATGATATGCTGGTAAAGCTTGTACTCACTTTGATAATTGAACGTTTAGGGTTTGAGAGTTAGGCTTGGACGTCATTGCATACCTGTGATGTTAGAAGTAACATAAGCAGCTTTGGTTCTCTCAGGGAAGATCAATTTGTTCTTATAATTAAAATGTCTTATGAGTCATGACGTAGAAAATGATATTCACTGTGCTTCTACAAGGCTGTTTCCCTTATTTCTGAACTAGATTGGTTAACTAATAATTCACACTGAGGTTAAATTACGACCCCATGTTCATGCGTGTAGCTTGCTATATCTATGCTTAAGTTGCATCTGATCCATTGTTAAGATTGCTTCCATTAATTCTTGCCTAGCAAATATGGTTTCGTACTCCTTGGTCAAATAAAATTGTGTGTGACCTTAAGGCAGTTTCCGATACAGCCATTACTATAAGAGTTATAGGACATCAATGGTACTAGAGTGTACGTCTGGGGACCTGTCTGGATTTTGGATCAAATATTTTCGATCAATACCATGATTTAAATCGTTGTTTTGTCATCATTTTTCTAACATTATTCTTTATGTATTATTATTTTTATATTTCTTTTTTTTGGGGAAAGATAGATATCTTATAAAATTTTGATCCCAAATAGTTGGGACATTACAACTTGCTGTTGTAGATATCTTACAAAATGCATATTTACTATTTTATATGATTTTTAATTCTTCAAATTTTAAACTATTTTCTCAATCAATAATTGATCCAAGCAATCCTACTGTTCTTATCTTCCATATCTAATACCTATGAATCCAAGTCGTGGGCATGCAAATTGGTATGATTGGTTTTCTTATGTGCCCATGCCCAGTGCATCAATCAATAACGGGGCTTTTGCAGCTACACTCAACCTTCCCATACTTGTCTTAGTTTTCATATAATTCAAATCAGTCTATGTGATGGAATCATATGCACTGCCATTGTAAATGACAATTAATTTAATCTTTTCTGAAGTATTTGACAGCCCACACAGATCTGTGACTACATCTAACTTAGTTGACCATGAGTATACTTAATAATAATCCATATTTAATGTTGGACAGCAACAAAGTGAAGAAAACTAAGGTGTTTTATGAACTCAACACAAAGTAAATGTGTATTTTGTTGACATCCCTGTATAACATGAAGAAAACTAAGGTGTTTTATGAACTCAACACAAAGTAAATGTGTATTTTGGTATAATGATAGACAAACCAAGGTAGTCAAAGGTGCTAGATACTAACATGGTTTGCAATACCGTACCATATTGCTCGGTACGGGCGGTACATACCTGTTCGATAGAGGACCGGTATGGGCAGTACATCCGTACACCTTAGTGTACCGTGTGTTGGTATGTTTGGTGCAACTCGGTATGTACTGTACCGATGATTGATCGGTACACCGATACGGTATGATATTTAGAACCTTGGATACTAAAAGACCCAAGGATACCAAAACACCCGAGGTGCTAGGCCAAAACGCCAAAAGGCACTTGACTTATTGCCGGCTCGACCCATGTTGATTTGGTCCAAGCACATGCTTGATTGAAGGTGCCCGTTTGGACTTGGGTGCTCAAGCTTCACTTGGCCCGAGTTCCTAAGTGAGCGCCCGAGCACCCGGTGATCTTTCAAAGGCAACCACCTATATTTGAGATGATGAATTACTTGCAAGGGCTAAAGGAAAGCAAATAAAGATTTGGCAGAGAGACTAGGCTTTAGAAGTGAATAAATTAAAGGCATGATTCTCCTAGTAGATGTATTGATTTATCCGAGTAAGCCATTTGCTGGAAGCTTTTAGTGTAATTTCTTGAGTCATCTGAACTCTTTGGAAAATCCTATTATCTATGTCTCTTTTCTGGCAGATCTAGACGTATCTAGAAGATAAACCATTTGATGTTCTTGTTGCAACATTTATTCACATTTAATGCCAATATTTTAGGGCACATATGTATTTCATTATTTTGTGATTTGGTCCATGGGATCCATCTTTTATTGGTTGGCCATGTCTACTAAGCGTAAAGGAATTATTTTCTGAAGAAAGTTGTGACAAAAAATGTTGTTGGCTTTTGCCCGTATATCTTTCTACGATATGTTCTTGGTTATGAGTTTTCTTTGTTGGTTTGTATTTAAATCATTGGCAGATTTCAACTTAGATGGCCAAAATCAGAAATTTTCCATGTTAATCTAATTTTAAAATTCACTTGAATTTGATGATGTCTATTTGGTTCCTGAGTTGAGATTAACCTTCTCTTATTTATTTGCAGAGATGGAAAGCAACGGTGTTATGTCGGGAAAGACACCTGATTTAGTTCTTTCTTCTTCATATGAGGCTGCTATGAGGGCCCTTTCCTCCCTAATTAGTGGTCGCAAACGTGGAGAACCACCAAAGAGGGATAAGAAGTTGGATTTGATATTTAATTATTTAAAGGTAATCCCATTTGTGATTGCATTTGGTGTTCATTTTTTATAATTATTTTTTTTAGAATTATCCAATAGTTGACATTCAATGTTTTATCTTTCTTATGGTTCAAGGACATCTTGCAAGAAAGGATATTGTAGATATAAAGTGAACCTTGACTTATTTATAACAAATTGCCTTAATTTTCAAGTTCATGGAACCTCAATTAAGAACTTGATGTTTTCCTGTCTATAATGTTGAGAAATGATGACACTCCATACAGGCATTGTGATTCAGATATAATGTCTCATGCCAATAATGTGACATTATAGAAATTGACTAAATGCAAGAAGTTATGCCTTAGGTCAGCGATCAAATGTTGTTTGCTAAAAAAAAAAAATTCTTTATCAATGTGAAACCCAATGTTATGGAGCAATGTGAAACACAATGTTGTGGGATGTAGGTTTTGTGGGGCAATGAAGATTGCCTATTAGAGCTCTCAATAATTTGCATAAGCATTTATATGACAATCTTCTTTGAACTAAATAAAGTTAGGTTGAAAATCATGTATTCCTGCTTGAATTTTGAGGGGGACACATTCTTCTCTTTACTATGATAATTGAAGAGTTGTCTCTTTTGATAACTGTTTTTCAATCTGATCAGACAATCCACACATTCAGATTGATTTTATCCATCTCTAAATAAAGGCTGTAGGCTGCTAATTGATTGTGGCAGTGATCTTATGAATAACTACGTTTTCCACAGAGAAACATTCACATTAATGTTAGCTTAGACAACAACATCAATAAATATTTATACTAGTACAAATACTGGCAAACATTCAAATAGCACATGAATAAGCACCGTTCTTAGGAATTACCAAAATTTCCATAAAGAGACATTCATAATGAAATTAATTTGACTTGGACAAGTTATTCAATAAGATCATCAATAAATTATCTTCAACAGTATGTTACATTTTATAAATTTAAAGATAGGTAATAAGTCCACCAGATGTTTGAATTGAAAGTATCAATAGCAATAGATCCAAAGGCTAGTTCTTAAGGAAAGAGGTTTTACCAAGGTTAATAATCAAATCTAAATCAAATATATCAATTCCGATTCATAGTCTTGTAGTTAGAAAAATACTCAAATATCCAAAAATTCCTAAAATCACTAACCAACCATCTAACAATCTAGCTTCTACCAAGTGCTCCCAATTTAGACTGTAATTAAAGAATTTATTGTTTATGATGTGGACAAATACTGCCTTTCTAATTGTAGTACAGCATTTAAATTGGTAGGAAAGATGAGAATATTATTTACGGTTGATTTATGTTAGGATTAGTTATGATTGAAGAACTTAAATATGAGATTTGTAAGTCCATAGGACATTGTTATTTTTCTTTTGTAATCATATAGGGTATTTTAGTTTAATTTCATTCTTTATTAGATCATAGCTTGGGCTCTTTTCTTCCTCTCAAAGTAAAGAAAACCCTTGTTAGAGTATCGTGTCCTAAAATATTTATTTGGAGTATTCATCACTTTCAAAAAAACATCATTTTCCACTTTTCAGCATATATGTATGACAAGGTTTCAAGTTCTAGTCTGAGATCTGTATTGATCCCTAGTCAGATTGATATGGTCTAGTGTATACTGGCATGCCAATACATGTAGACCAGTGTATTAGTTGGCACAGATCAAAGAGAAAGAGAGAGACGATGGGAGGAAGAGTAGGAGAGGAGAGAGGAATGGAGTATGCGGAGAGGAGGAAGTAGAGTAGAAAGGAGGGGAGTAGGAGGAGATGAAGAAGCAGAGGAGAGAGGGGAGGAGTAGGAGAGGAGAGGAAGCAGAGTAGGAGATAATGCACAATATAGGAGGAGACGATGACAATGACACAAGGAGGAGAGTAGGAGACACAACAGCTATGTCGGGTGGAAAGCTAAGACCAAAGTGGTATAGGTTTCAGCTAGCAGCTGACTGAAAGAAAGAGAGAGACAGGAAAAAGGAGGAAAAGCTACATAGAGAAAGGTTTGCCGATTAAACACTACAGAGCAGTCCTTGAAAATGACTACATACAGAAGGGTCCTTAGTTACTCGGAGACATACAAAAGGATCCTTTTTAGTTACATGATGAGAGTCTTGCTTCTTTTGATGCATCTAAACTAGGTCGGATTGGTCAATACCATGGTTTAACATATTGTTTGGACTGACACATGTGGGCAGTATGTACTGGTTCGGGCCTGAATCAGAACCCGAATTGCCCAATTTTGGACAGTCCATGTGCTGTACAAGATTTACCTTCTGGTAAGACCCGTGAATGGGTCTGTACTGGACGGTGAGCCTACTCTGTGGTCATGAGTCAAAGAGACCCCAACATTTTTTTGACTGCATTAAGAGGGCTGAACAACCCTCTTTTCCATCTCTCATTCTCTCATTTCTTCTCTCCGTGCTCAAGTCTCGCTCTGAATCCTATGGTGATGAGAGTCATGGTTCTGGTGCATATTGTACAGATGCATACTTACCATGGTCCTACTTGTTTGAGTTGCCTCCTACTACACAGGTGGTTTATGATGATTAGTCGAGGATTGGCACCATATTATCGTATCAGTGGTACATTGTTTATTTGTTTATCAATAACATATGCCATGGGAATAGTTTCATTTATGAGTTCTATAGAGATATTGTATCAATCAACAGTGTAGTCACATCAAGGAACTAATCCACTCTCGTGGACTCTCGTCAATCATTTTGGTGGTAGGAGCAGGTATATAATCATATTATACATCAGTGTTCAATTGCCTAGGAGATAGAACTTGTTTTTATACAGTATACACAGTGCATTTTCTAAATACAGCATGTGATCTTTTTCTGGTATATGACTATATGTTTCCATGTAATTTTGTTGTACAGGGGACTGAAAGCACATAAATTTTTATATATTTTGTTTGTATTTATCAAGAAAAGGTGGGAAAGAACCATAAAATAAGTTCTTTAGGGTTTTAGCTGGTTGAAATTGTTCTTTTATCGTGCTGTGCCTTAGCATGGATTGGATCTGTATGATCCAGCCATGGACTGATACAGGGCTGATCTGTAATGTAGAAGTTTGGTAAATACGGGTTAGTATGCACTGGTTTGATTAGTTTTTTTTGGAACCTACGAGTATATGGCATGCATTTTGAAAAGTTACCTGTTTTCTAATGGTTAATTAAACAACCTTGCAGTAGCTTATTTTATAATTCAAGGTGTTGCATTAATTGGATTTAGATAAATTTACCTATTTTAAATGGTTTGTCTGTAATGGCTTGTTCCATCATATGAGGGGATACCTTTTGGCTTGTTTCATCATACAAGGGGATAGAAGAGCATCAACTAAAGTTTACATTTATTGGCAATCTAACATACAGACATTCCAAGGCAAATTACTTCTTCAGATCTATGTACTATGAATTATTGTTGAGGCTTTTGGGTCATCTACAAAGATGAGTTTTTCCTCTTGTTCCATATTTCATTAATAGTTGTTATTAAGTTTCATTTTTTCTATATTATTTTAGTTATCATGATAAGGCCTAAATTATACCTTAAAATAATTAAACTAATTTTTTCTTTGAGTGTAGTTTAAGTTAGTTTAAAACTTTAAATTATGCGTTCAAAACATAGTGTCCGACAAGGTAATCTATTTTATAGGTAATTGATATCGTTTAGATAATTGATATTTTAGTTATCAATTGATTCAATTTTAAGCTTTTTTTATGCCATATCTAGGTCATTTTTCAGAAATAAATCTCCACTTTTTTTTGTCTATTTAGTTGGTTAGGCTGGTTAAGTTGTAGGAACTAGATTAACATTTTAGCTTCATGCATTTCTTTATAGATTTATAATTGTTTTTCTTGTTGATAAATTTTAATACTCTTGTGTTCCTAAATTTGTCATTATGATATGCTAGATATGATTGTCCTTTGTTCTAAGGTTTGTTATACTATGGTATACCACCCGGTCTGGGCGGTACGTACTGGTCCAATAGGAGACCAGTATAGGTGGTACATATCAGTCTGTCGGTATGCCCCACCGTACCATGTGTCGACAAGGTTCGTCATACTAGGGTGTATCGTTCAATACAAGCAGTATATACCGATTTGATAGGGGATCAATATGGGCAGTACATCAGTATGCCCCATGTATCATGTGTCGGTGTGTTCGGTACGACTTGGTTCGTATTGTACCGATAATTGGTACGGACTGATAAGGCGAACCATATGTGTCGATATGTTGGTACGTATCATACCGATGGCCGGTTGGTACATTGGTATGGATTGATAAAGCGAACCATGCTTTGTTCCTTCATATCTTTTAAATTCGTCTTTCATGTTTTCTTTTGCTTTTCCTTGCAAATATTCACTTTGTTTTTCTAACAGATAATAGGTGTGGAGAAAAGCTTACCCGAACTTAAGATTATCCACATAGGAGGAACTAAAGGAAAGGTAATGCTTTTGCCCCTTAATTCTTGTTCTTTGTATCCTATCTTTTATTTTAATTCTTTATATATCATCATTGTTTCTACTCTACCATGTACTTTAACTTGACAAATTCACTTAAACACAAGCTTTGGATGACAACTTGATGCTTCTCGCCACTGTCCACTGAATTATATTGTTTTTTTTTGTATCTTGTGGTGTTGGAGGAACACAGTGGTATGATACACTTTTGAGTTTCTGGTCATATATAGGTCCATGTGCAGTTTCTTCAATATATGTCTGTTTGGAAATCAATTACATTATCATGCTTTGTCAGAAGGATTGGGTTGTAATCCTTGTACTTTCAATGTCTCATCTTGCTAATCTGTAGATGATGCACTCATCTTCCAAGGGTCCAAAGAGGAATCTGACATGACTAGGCTATTTGAAACTTGATATGGTTGGAATTCTACCTACTAATCCAAGGACATGTAGTAAACATGTGGTAGTTGATAAGACTTGTATGTGCAGCTCATGCACTATGGATGGATACATGAATCCATGATCCATACCATCTTCAATAGCCTAACTTGATAAATATTGCGACTTAGCAACATCGGCAATCACTGTCTTAGAGGAAAAGATTTGGCAGTATGTTTGTGCAGGTTACTGCAGTATTTTTAAAAAGGTAGAGTTATTTGTTGGAATTTCCAAAGGGCAACATTTATATGTACTATTTAGTATTTAGTCTGTACTTTTTTTTCTTTTGTTTTCTTAGTCCTATTTGTTGTGTATTTGTACCAGGGTTTGAAGTTTTGGTCCAAGACCTGTGTCAGTTTTTAGCCAGATGAGTATGGGTTTGGTACATGCTGGTGTACTGACACAGGGTATTCCAACATACTGATTGGTATAGACCAAATAGAAAGAGGGAAAGAAGAGGAGAGATGGAGAGGGAGGAGAGGAGGAAGGAGGAAGTGGAAGAGGAAGAGAATGCAGAGGAGGCTGTGAGGAGAAGCGACTGAGGAGTAATACTGGAGAGTAACCAATGATGGCGGTGTGGGCAGCAGTGAGGCAGCTGGTGAGGCATCAGGGCGAAGAGATGAGACAGATAGTAGAGCAGAGAGAGGAAAAAGTGGAATGCTGCCATCAAAAGACTATAAAAAATTAAAAAAAGGGATATGGGCAACAAGTGGTGTGATTACTGCCTGGCACCCCATGGGTATAATCACTAAAACCAGGCGGTAAGCTTGGTTTGGTAGGGTTACCAGTCAGTAACCCCTGCTTCAGACCGGACCGAGCGATTTTGCTTGGTCTGCATCCTGCTTTCTGGTTGGACTGAAATAGTGGTCGCTGTAGACTGGTCCAATCAGTTTTTAAATCACTGATTTGTGCAAAAAGAATCATATTCAAATTTTCATATCTTTATCTTTAAAAATGATTGACTCCTGGACTAAAGGTCAAGTGTAATCCCTTCAACCATTGATTTGACCTACAGAAACCTTTTTGCAGGTCTTCGTAAACCATTCGAGCTGAATCATGCAGTTTAGATACTTCAAATTAAGAATTGCAATTTCGCAATACACAGGTATGTGCTGGTTAATAGCTGGACCAGTACATACCATACCGGTAATGGTGTACCGACATAGTATGTCGGTATGTACAAAGTGGAAGGAAGAAGAGGAGGCTGTGGAGGAAGAGGAAGGAAGAAGAGGCAGTGGTGGAGGAAAAGGAGGAAGGAGGAAGAGGAAGACACTAAAGAGGAGACAGTGGAGGAAGAAGAAGAAGAAAAGGAGACTGTAGAGGAGGAAGGAGGGAGAGGAAGGAAGAACAGGAGACAGTGGAGGAAGATGAGGAAAAGGAGGAGAATAGGAGGAAGCATTTTCAAGGATGATGGTGCATGATAGTCATCAAAGCAACGAGCGACAATGTTTCGTGTGTATATGGAGAAAAGGGGTCGCGTTCTCCACACGTACAAAGAAGAGGGCTTGCAAACATAAACCCTAATTTACCCTATTAAAGCTTTTTTAAGTTGGTCAGACCAGGCAACCTGAAATGGATGTGGTCCACGTCTCGGTTCGGGTTGGATTGGTAAACATCAGAGGGTACAAGCCAAATTGGATGAAATTGATTTTCTTGCTTTAAATGTCATAAACCATTTTGGAATAACTACTGTGCGAAACTTTTTCCTTTTCCACCTTTGCCTTGGAGAAATCATTTGCCTTCTCTTGCAGAATCACTATTGGGAATGGAATGGATGATTATTTTTAGCATAATACCTAGCTAGATAGCAGCCAACACCATCATCCAAGAATTCAACAATCTATGTTAGTGTTGTGCAGGATGAATATGGATATCCATGAGGTATTTTATCATGGCTTTCTCTTTGGGGTCTTTAATCTGATATCCTAGCTAATGTCATTGATTAATCTAATGAGCTGCTACTTCTCTCTTCTAGAGTTGGTAGCTTATATCCTTTGATTATTTAGTTAGATTGGTTTCAACTCAATGTGCTCTTTCCATCTCTTCGTACTATCACCTTTTTGATATTCGATAGATGTGATGGATTTATCAAAGATTTATCTTTCTCCTCAATACAAATTTTTATGCAGTTGGTACTTCGAAACATAATGCACTTCACACATGTCCTTGTTAAAAGAAATTGAAGATCAGAAGCATACTGTTCAACATGCAGTGATTTAAAAAGCACTAGGCACCAAGGTCCGAAAACGCCCGAGGCAGTAGGCGCTCGCTCGAACGAAGCGAGGCGCTAAAATATAAAAATATATAATATAATTAATAAATATAATTATTTAAATAAAAAATAAGCTATTAAATTAAGAAAATTAGGTACAAAATTATAATAAATAAATCATAGTAGTATATTTTTTTATTTTTTAAATAAAAATATACTATTAAATAAATAAAAAATTAATAGTATTAAAATTAAAAGAATATATTATTAATCTAATAAATAAAAATACTATTATTAGTATACAGTTAGCAGTATACTATTAATATACTGTTAACAGTATAGTGAGAAGAGTGTGAAAAGATTGAGGCTGTTGAGGCAACGACAGCGGGAGTGGCGAGCGACAGCAGCGATTGTGACAGCGGCGAGCAGTCAGCAAGCAACGATTGTGGCAGCAGCGACGATAGCGGGAGCGGCGAGCGACAGCAGGAGTAGGAGTGGGAGCGGCAACAGCAGCGGCGAGTAGCGACAGTAGCGATAGTGGCAGTGGCAGCAGAGAAGAAATCTCAGCGGCAAAATCGTGAGTGTTAAGGTTGGGGAAGTTGGGGAAATTGTGAGAGGGAGCCTGATATCGATGATTTAATTGGTTCGATTAAACCAACTAAAGCACCAGAGACCAACCATACCTAAAAATCTGGTTCGGTTGCTTGGTTTAACCCAGGCACTCGCCCGAAGCGCCCGGTGCCTGGGCTCGGGCGAGTGCCTCTTTGAAGCGAGACGCCCGGACATGAAGCGAGGCACTCAGGCCTCGCCTCGCCTCGCCCGAGCGCCTATTGAAATCACTGTCAACACGTGATGATCCCATCGGGAGTTTTGATTGTATTTTGTTCTCATCTTTTGGTCATGCTACTCGGGTGTATATGCATGACTGTGTTTAGGGTATTTCTTTAATTTTAACTAGTTTCCTGTCCATTGCCTTTGGAAAAGTATACAAGAAGAACTTTTAATAGAGATGTGAGATGAAATTAGCATAATTCACTAGTAATGTCATGATGCTTGATTCATATGACTATGCTATGATGCACAATACAAATGACATCAAACACAATATTACAAATTTTATAGCTATTTTGTTCATCAATAGAAGATCAACATGCAAATTTTAGATGATCTTGGAAAATATGAACTCTCACAAGAATTAACCTTAATCAATCTCCATGTATCAAGAACAAAATAGATTTCTCAGTGGGTTTACAATACTGTATGGTACGTACCGATCTGCTAGTAGATCGACACGCGGACCGCCCGCTACCGGGTGGTATCCGGCATCTGGCCCCATATCAGGCGATACGGGGTTGTACCGGGTGGTAACGATCGAAATTGACCATTACCGAATGGTAACAATACTCCAACAGTCAATTTGACCGTTGGAGTCCTCCTCAAGGGTTTTTAAACCTTTTCCTCCCCCTTATTTCAATCCATTTCACTCTTATACTCTCTTAAACTCTTTTAAACTCATTTTTTTTCATATTCTCTCTTATTCTCATATTTTTCACTCTCCTAAATTCAACAAAACAACGATTTGTGGATTGAACTAAATTTAGGAGGCTAATTCGGGAGGATTAAGAGGAAGAACGATCCGGAACGAATCGAAATTACGAACCTTGCACAAGGCTACTCTTCAAAGCCCAAAAAAGATACGTGGCATTATTTTTACCTAATTTACATTAGTTTTGCTAAAACAATACTAAATGTATATTTATTTCTAACTTAATTACAATATCATAATCCTTTTTTTTTTTTTTTTTTTTTTTTTTCTTATTTTTAGTATATTTTCGAAGGATTTTATGCCTATTTTAGACGTACTGCTTGATATGCCGTACTGTACCATACCTAGTAAAGCTCGCTACATCAGTATGGTACGAGATTAAGAACCTTGTTTCTTACTATATTTAAGAATTAAATATTTGGTATGTTAGTTGAATATCACAGGATATATTGTACTAGCTACTAGCTGGCATGGTTATAGAGCCAAATAGGTTCAGGCCTTTTCAAAGAAGTTATTTGTATGAGTTTATCAATGCCACAATTGAACCTGTGTCCTCTGAAATATATTGTCTCTTTCTATTGGCACAAGGGCAGAGAACTGACAATTTATTTTGTAAGTAAAATTAAGCAGAAAAGAGATAAGAAAGGGTAGAGGAACATAAAGTGAAAGAAAGGTGATAAAAGTTTCTTGCTCACAAAGAGAATTCCAACAAAAAAAAAATCTCATAGTTTAATTGCTTTCAATAAGTAAACCACTTGATGGTAGTTCGGCATTTTTTATGGTTCTCTATTAACACCATGAAAGAGCCCCCAAGTCAAATCTTTCCAAATCAGGATGAGGAGACTATCCTAAATTGATCAACATTTCCTCAAAATTTTGCCTTTCTTGCCCCTTGCTTAAGACAAAAGCCTCGAAGATGTATAGAATAAAGAGAGGATTGAACCTTCTCAATCTGATTTTGCAAGGGGGTACTGGGCAAGCATTTAGTTAATGAATTCAATGATTCATCTGTCATTAAACTTATGTCATCTGGCTTTTTATAAGATGCACCTCTCAAGCATAGTTCACAAGATCAATATGTGATTGGCAATAGCTAGGAATCGGCAGAATTTGGTTGGTGATTTTTTTAAAAGAAAAAAAAAAAATAAACTATAGTAAATAAAAATATTTTATGCTTAGAGTTCATCATCTTTTTTCATTAGATCTAATATAGTCTTACGTTGGTTGTCAATGATCCAACACAACCCTTCACCTTTTTTAATATGGGCTCGGGACCAGCATTGGTGTTGTTGTAATAGTAGTTGTTGTTGTTGTAGAGTTCTATATCTTTATATTGCAAAAGATATCTTCATCTAAAACTATATGACAAAAGATAAAATATTGCACGTAAAATAGCAATGATAAATAATGGAGAACAATTCCTTATTTATAAATAAATAATAAATATACTGTATAGATATATTACTAGAGTAAATATTTATTTTAGTTTAAAAAATAATGAAAAGCCATATTATGGCTCTAATGCTCTACTAATTACCATGAAATGAAATGTTGGGTTAATACAAGAAGATATATAAAAAGATACTTGTGATTTATTCTAAATCTTGTGATATTTTCTTTCTTTGTGATAGAATTCCTATTCCGCAAGTGATTAATAATCCTTATCTTGCCTCTCTGTTCTTTCTTTTTATTGCATATGACGGTGTGTCACTGACAAACTTCTAAACAAGGTGTTTGATGTAATGCTTATATCTGTCCGTGTCTGTTGGCATGTTCATGCCTTGTACAGCATGTAAAGGGGCGGCCGAAGGCTTAATAGTCCCACTTTAGTTGGGTTGGTGGCCTCTTTAGGCTTGTAAATAAAGGTTGTGTCATGTGGACACGTGCGAGAGCTTTTCGGTCTGTAATGGACCATTTTACACTTTGTTGTGCCACTGTTCAGAGCTTGTAAAGTCTGTTTGTAATTTGCATTGTCTATGAAGTGTTTTTCGGAGATGTTTGCTTGTGGATCCCGATTGAGGCGTTCTCTCTTGCCCGTTCTCTCTTTTGTTGGTCCTAAGGGACAATGGGAGTCTTCGGGGAGGCTGACCTTTGCGGACGGACACGCAAGGGTGCCGCACGACTTAGACAAAACCAGCTAAGTCCGTGTCAGGTGGATATTGTGAGTTTGCAATAGTAGTTGTAGACAACATATATTATGTTTGCAAGAAAATGAAATAGCATCTCTTTTTTTTGTTTCAGAATCATAATAATTATAACTTGTCTTTTGTTTATCTTCTCCCATCTCTTCCCCTTGTGTTCCTCTCTGCACCTCTTTTTTCTTTTAGGCTATCAATCTGAATCTGCTAAATTAGTCAAAGTTGGCTAATGGCTTAATGCCAGTTGACTTTGATTGATTCTGGACATTTTCCAATGACATCTTACTAAAGGCCAATTAATTGACTGAAATCAGATTGTCTGGTGAACTTTACTCTTTTAACACTAGCCACAAACTGTTCTGAGTTTTGGAATACTCAAGCATCTAAAACACAACTAATAGAAGGAACTAAGATTCTGAACTGGTCTATATCAAATCAAACAATTCTTCTTGTGAATGAGAAGGCGAAAGGAGGAAGAGGAGATAGGGGAGGACACATACTACAAGGAGGCAGTGATGCATACTGAAGGAGGCTGCGGCAATACAAGGAGGTGGCAGTAATGTGGGGAAGGGGAACCAGATTCAAAGGTTGTGCAGAGACAGAGGAGGTGACTACGGCAAAAGCATAGATGGATGAGAAAGAGAAGTGAATCCCCAAAGAGGGGCTGTTGAGGAGCTTCTAACTTTGTTGACCGAAGGAAAGGGGACTGTTGATAGCTTCCTCGAAGATCCCATATTAAAATAGTCTAAAAAAGTTCAAAATAGTTCCAATACCAGTAATAGATGGTAAGCTTACTGTTTGGTGCAGTTAGGTACCAAATACCAATTACCTTCTTTGATGGTAACTTGGTAACGTAACCTTATCGAATGGTGCGCTTGGTATGAAACCAGACTTGGCACGACACCAATCAGGTGACTTATCAAAACTAGTACCAGATTGGCGTATGTAATTATGGTTGAACAGAAACCTATTTAGTTTATGTGTCAGCTTTCACTCTGTGCTGTCAATAACAAATATTAAATGATCAAGTTGTTTTCTTTTTGAGTTATTTGATATTTTATTTTGTTACTATTGGTCTGTATACAACAAGGATGTTTCTTTCAATTCTAAGTAACTTGTGAGCATTCTATACATTAATGGTTTATCTTGAGGTAATCTGTTTTCATGCCTTTATTCACAATTGACTGTTTGATTTTATTTTCCTATTACCCAAGAGCTTACAGGTTGCAGATTATCTTCTATTATTTTATATTTATGTCTTGATCATAATTCTGTTCTGTAGCAAAATTAAACGAGATGCCCATGGTGCTCTTTTTTTATGGGATGAAAATTTCAGGGTTCAACATGCACATTTTGTGAAGCTATTTTACGTGAATGTGGTTTCCGAACGGGACTATTCACATCTCCTCATCTAATGGATGTCAGAGAAAGATTTCGAATTAATGGGTAAGTTTTAACATAAGTATGCTTCTTTTTGATTGACCATGTTTATAATAAGGTCCATCATATTGCTTGGTACGGGTGGTACGTACCAGTCCAATAGGAGACCGGTATAAGTGGTGTATTGGTACGCCCTCCATGCATCATGAGTTGGTACGCTCAATATAACTTGTTATAGCTCGGTACATACTGTACCAATAGCTGGTCGGTATATCGGTACGGACTGGTAAGACAAACCACGATTTATAATGTTATAAAACTTTTTGTCATAATTTCTTAATATTATTAGCAGTGTTCTTGTTACTTTTGGGCACTAGCTTTCTATTTCATAATCATACATGATATCCTTATGCCTTTAATGTCAGCGTTCTCCACAAAGATTGTTCTTCTTAATTGACAATTCAATCTGCTAATGTAAAATTTGGATTATACAGAATTCTTCTTGTTTCAGTTTTCTTTGATTTTAAATTGCAGAATATTGAATCTCATGGTGCTTGATGAAAGAAGATCACTGAATGTTTTGTATTAGTAATTTCACCCTTAGATGTTTTAGATTTCTTTTCTATTTGATGCTTATCAATTAATATAATTTTGCAGGTTAGATATCTCCGAAGATAAGTTTTTGTATTACTTTTGGGATTGTTGGAACCTATTGAAGGTGTGTTTATGTATTATTCATTTTTCCATTATGTACCCAACCTTGATAGAATTTACAAGGAACAAGCTATTCACCTTAACAATAATCTTGATACTAGTAAAAGTTCATTGAATCCTGAAGAGATATATGTGATAGTGGAATGAAAACTTACTCTAGATGATTAAACAAGGAGAATGGCCAATTTTTGTTTATATGAGCTTTAGGTAAACTTTGTCATATTTGATGATGTTGATCTTCCATTTCAGTGCCCCTTTGTTAATTTTTGGATTGATACTTTGGTCTAGAATTTACTTATTCAGTTAGAGATTCTACTTATGAATATACTCTTAATAGAAAATTTTGTACATATTATAATTGCACATGATGTTGGGTCTAAAGGTTGAAGTATCATTCTGAAGTTTTTCTATGAAACTGTTACAATGCCAACCCCATCTAAACTGGATGAGTTCTGGTGAAAAATCATCCCTTCTTACAGTTTGAGACATCTTTATTCAGCATTACACAATGTAATCCAGTATCGTACAGCTTGTGGGTGATTGTAACCCACCTAGTTACCAACCAGTAAAAATAGTGAAAAATAATATCCAACCAATGGTGGATCATATCCAGTACATGATCTTTTGAGTTAGCAAATATCAGTTGGAGTGTGCACCAACTGGTATCTAAAACCAAACTTGATTTAGATTGGTATTCTCTTATTGCATGGTTATCCAAAATCAAATTTGATTTAAGATGTGAGATCTCAATCATTCAATCTAACATGTATGAAGAAAATTTTGTATTATTATATGCTATTTTGATATCGCATTTACAAATACAACAATTTGATTATGCTTTAGATTAATTTTCTAAATAAAAAATTCATAGTATTTCTTCATAAATTTGTTCCTATAGGTCTTAATAATCACCAATCAAAGACCTTAATGTATCTCAAAGTAATGACAAATCCCATGGATGCAGACAAGGTGTAAATATGGGGGTGTTCCAGGAGTATATAAGTTTTTAATTTTGGAAAAAATATATCTTTTACTCTATCTTTTAATCACACAGGTCCTTTCTTTTAAAGCTATTGGAGATTCTAGATATACTTCAACAACCCCCCAGAGGTGTGTCATCTGTAACATAGGAGAATGTCTCTACTGATGTAAGTATTGGCAATAGGGTGCAGAAGGTAAAGGTTTACCATTCCTCAACCAACCCCTCATCCTAGCTCACCAACTTGTCTCTTCCTCGTTCCTCAATTGAAAAAAAGGTATTTTTCACTGTGCTTGCTTTGTCCAGGCTATGGGAATCGATAATCTGTTTAATTGTACAGAGAGACAGAGAGTGTGTGGAAGAGGAGGGAGGTGGAAGAGAAGGGAGAGTGTGAGAGGAAGAGGTGGGAGAGAAAGGAACATGGAGAAAAGGCTTGCTTGATTGCACTACCACCTAGATTGCTGCCCACCACTTCCACTCTGTTTGTGATGCTTAGCTTCTTTAGCTCTTCCTGGTCAAAGAGGGAGAGGGAGAGAGAAATGGGTCGAGGAAGAGGAGAAAAGACAATGATTGAGACATGTTAAAGAGTCAGGAGAGGGGTTAGGGAGAAATTGCTATGGGGTTTGGTTGAGACAAGTGTTAGATCCTATTAGAATTACTTTATTTTGCATTTAGGTTGGCGAAGTTCCATATTGAACTATCTGAACTTATAGCATATGGGTTTTCCTGGATGCCAAGCCCATAAAAAAAATTTCCCTGATTTGGCTAGGTTCAATTTGGGCAATTTGGGCTTAATTTGCCATTTCTAACTGATGTTATCAAGATTAATCCATTTGACGTGCCTACATTCTTAGCGTGGTTGATCACATTGATATACACATTCATGATAATAATATGAAGAGTGGGAATAGAAGAAAATCCTGCATATCTTATCCCTCTCATAGATCTAAATCAATTTTTGCAGCTGCTCGTACATATGGTCACATCCTTGATGAAGGACACACATTTGTCTACTGGATATATTGATCTTTAAAACCTCTAGAATGAGGATTTACAATATGAAATCCTCCAAGATCTTAATAAGGGCTTTCTTAAAATAAAGTTTTAATTCAACCTTCCAATTTTACTTTCCTTTACAGCTATGAATGCATTATGTGTGCTCATGAAGCCATCAAGTTCTGAGAATAAGTGTAAGTGTAAATGGTATTTATATCTATGGTTACAAAATCCTTATTTAACGTTTTGCTGAAGAGTTTATGTGGTAATTCATATTACACTGAACATTTAACTGGGAATCTTACTTGTGTGATCTTCCTTGGGATTAGTAGGAGTGCATGGTTTAAAAAACTGCCGTACAACATTCAAACAGAGAATCAATCAATGTTTGCTATCAATATATTTATATAACTACATTTTAAATTTAGGAACCTTTTAACCCTCGTTTGATAATATGGAGACCACATTAAATGAGGTGCAAAAAATTCTTATTAAGGGTAATTCTTTTTGCAGGAGAGTGTGGATGAGGATTTGCCGATGCCTCCATTATTTCAGTTCCTAACTGTGTTGGCATTTAAGATATTTGTATCTGAAAAGGTCAGAATTGCCAATGTTCTTCTGAGACTAGATGGTAATATGCATGACATAAAGCATTGTATGGACAAAGAAGAAATATATGTTTGTATATTTTGTTCAGTTGGTCATCTAGAAAATTTGAAGTAACATTTCTGTTGCAATAAAAATTCAAATACCTATCTATTGTTAATTTGAATGTCAGGACTTATGACCGGTGGATATTCTAGTATTAGCATTGTTACCACTTTTACTGTAGAGCTCTGGAATTGTTTGCAACAATTTACCTACTAACTCATAATCCAAACTTAGATGAGATGATATTCTAGTATTTTCTATAAAATTCTAAGATGAGTCCACTGGGACCTGGGCTTTGATCCAAGCCTGGAGAACACCTAGCTTTGTGAATCTCATCCAAGGTAACAGGACTGGTAATGTAGTTCAAGCCATGTATACCTTTTCTCATTAGTATAACAAGGATTTGATCATAAGTTTCTAATACTGAGTGTAGACATTCAGAATATCCTTATTATTACTAAAAGAGTTGTGGTCATCATCCCTAATACAAGTAACAAATTTCAAGTGGCTGATCTAACAAAGCTTATTTGTTTGTTATGAAGGCTCTGTACCTAAAATGTTTTTGGGTCATAATTACTAAACATTCCTGCTTTATATGATTGACATGTATGTATTCTATATTGAATTAAGTGGAGTGACTCACATAAAAGTAGATTGCATGTTTTAATCACTTAGCTGACGACCTGTTTGATTGTAGGTTGATGTTGCAATTATTGAAGTAGGTCTTGGGGGAAGATTTGACTCAACAAATGTGGTATTTATCGAACTTGTGTTATTTAATGTTGGTTACAATCATATCTCTTGTATATTCATATTGTCATATTATCTTTTTTTCTAATCATGTATTGGTCGAATAAGCATGACTTATCTAATTATTTTTTCCCCAATGTGTCCGAGACACCTGAATTGGGAAAACCTGACCCGCGAGATGAGATTCCGAACACTCCCATGCTGGATGAACTAAACGACACATTTTGAACCCCTCTCATGAGAGTCTCGAAGCACGCCTTCGGGGGGAGACAAATGATAGAGAATCTACCGTTAGTCAACATATGGTTGCCACGTGAGATCCAAATCACCTTCCACCCATCTACCCACGTGGATGAAGATTCAAAGCAGAAAAACACAAGCTTCCTTGTTATTCATTATGACAAGGAAGACAATCACAAGCTTCCTTATCTTTTTTTTTATGATAAGGAAGGCAATCCTAAGCTTCTTTCTCATCCTATAAGGTATAAAGACATATTTCAAAGAGGGGGAAAGCTTTTATTTTTTCGAATTACTCAAATCCATATTTGGGGACTTCGAATTACTAACTTGAGCGTTGGAGGGACCGAGTCGGGAAACTTCTCTCGACTTTAGCCTTCGTGTAGGTGGCACCTTAGGAGCATGACATTTTCATCTCGGAGATACTTCGGATAATCCTACGTACACGGGTCTGAACCACGTCAGGCAGACTAGGATATCAACAATATTTTCCCCTCATATTTTGGTATAAGAAGAAGGCCCGAACTTATGTATGTAGGATTATTTGAAGTGTCTTTGAGGTGGAGATGTCATGCTCCTAAGGTGTCACCTGCACGAAGATTGAATTAGAGAGAGGTTTCCTGACCCGGTCCCTCCGACGCTCAAGTCATGCTCCTTGGTTCGGAATATGCTTTTATATCTTAAAGGGTGATAAAGAAGTTTGTGATTGTCTTCATTGTCATAATGAATGAGAAAAAAGTTTGTGTTTTCCTGCTTTAAATCTTCGTCCACGTAGGTAAATGGGTGGAGGGTGACTTGGATTTCATATGGCAACCACATACCGGCTGACGGTAGATTCCCTATCAATATGAAACTTGTAAACATTTGTTAATTGACTAGAATCCGTTAGTAGGCACACTAGTTAGTGAGAATTAAGGTAGGAATTCTTGAAATTAATTAAAGTATATGTATTCCTACTTTGCCATGGATAACATCGTCACACTTATTAGTGTTATTCACTTGAGAAGCTTGTCCATGATCAAACTTTGTGCATCCCAACGCATACAGGTTGACAAGAACCACTTATAAATTTCAGTTTGGGATTTCAGCAACGTAATATTCTTTCTATGATATTTTTTATCTTAGAATATTTTATTCTCTCTGTAGATTATTGATTCTTTCAGTAAAATTTTAGGTAAAGGAGCCTGTTGTTTGTGGAATAACTTCGCTTGGAATGGATCACATGGAGATTTTAGGTACATGCTTTCTTTTGAGAGAGAGAATTTATGCTATGAGATTGTGTCCACTTATCTTGATTGAGCAAAAACCTTCACCTTTATATTTTTATGTTGTGCAAATAAAAAGTGTATTTTTGCATCACAAGGTTTACATCTTCTTAATCCGTCACCTTGTTGAACTGTCTAGCATTTTGTTTAAAGAAGGTACTATATATTTTTCATAGACATGCGTCGATTTTCTGACTCTGCATAGTATCAGATGTCTTTTATCAAAATCACTTGAGTTTGGATGTCAAAAATCAGTTTTCTATCTTTTGGAGGCAAGCAAGCTAGCCATCAAATATGAAGGGTATTATAACTGATAAATAGCTAGCAACAAGTTGAACTTATTAGTCATTATCAACATGAACTAAAGATTCTGGATTAAGCAGTAGGTCAGTTACTTTCTGTTAAGCTGTATATGTGGATCACAAACAGAAGTATTGTCAAATAATATCAAATAACATTCGAATAATCTAAGTTTGCTGATTCACCTTAAAGTAAAATGTGTATTTTGCATGATTATGGGTTGATAACTTCACAAGATACATAATTTTTTTAATATCACTTATAGAATATCTAAATTGGCATCGAAACCAGCTATTCTTGTGATCAGGTTGTCACATCTTGCCAGAAAGGTAGAGGTGTGCATCATGCTAAGCTATGCCAGTGATGCTGAAACCTGGCTGTATCATGTTTTGGCCTATGCTAGTTGGCATGGGCCCGTGCAATGCTAGAAAAGTATTGCAATGCCTTCATTTGGAATTTCAATCCTTGTGTTAGAGAGTTGCTGGCATCCTGTAATAAAAAAACATGATATGTAATGTGAACACATTTTCCTGCCCATATGGCATATCATGAACTCTAATGTTTGTTTTCTGTTCCTTAACCACCTACATTTGCTAGTTGCTTCTTTTACTGCTTTGTTTCCTCCCCCCTCTTTTTTCCCCTTCCTTTGGCTTCTAGTGCCCCTTTCTTATCACTATTTATGTGTCACTCCTTTCTTAATTACTTTTCTTATATATCTATCATGGTAGTGTCCTATTGGCTATACCTAAAGCCTAATGAACTCTTAAATCCAATTGCTTGCAATCTTCATCCTCTTTGTTATCTATTTTTACTCAAAATTTTGAACTTTATGAGATTTCAAATTTTTATAAATTAATGTATTCCTTGGGATAATGTCTTTTATCATATAAACAAAATTTTATCATCTGAAGTCAGTAATCTCTTATAACCCTCTAAAAAATTAAACCACAGAAAATATGCATTTATGCTCTTTCCAAGGGTCAAAATAAATTGTTGATCCATCATGTGTTGCTAGTCTATCTCATGCTAAAATAGATGTCGACACCCTTCAGGGTATATGGAGCAAGACGGACATATTGACTCAATCAATAAGCCTAATCAGGCATGCTTTGCTGAGATATCTAAGCATGTGGATTGATTGGCTGGATCAATTTATAGGGTAATTGAATCCTGCTATTTTATGATCATACAAGTGGATCAATCAAGTCATTTATAGATTGATTGACCCATCTATATGGAAAGACTTGTATTCATGTGGATTCTGATTATTACTCTTATATATATTATTTTATATTATATACTAAGAGTCATCCAGCCTAGGGTAGACACATAGATATATTCAAGAAAGGTTCTCAGAGGAGTCCAAAGAGACCATTGTGCATGCATCAAAGAATTTGACAAAGGTGGAGGACAATGGAAGACATGCAATAGTGGTCTCGCTCAGAGACTGCATCAAAAATATTGCAGCAGATTTGTGAGATATTGTTGAGAGTGAGCATGTAACCACAATGCATATACTTTAATATTTTATATTAATTTATATCCTTTATGTCGTATTTTTTCTTTTGTGATCAGTTTTCCACATAAATCTGCTACTATTCTGGTACACAGTGTCTGCCGTACCGCCCGGTACGGGCGGTATGTACCGGTCCGACAGGTTGTCGGTACGTGGACCGCCCGGTACCGGTCCGCACTGTAGCAGTGCTACAGTGCTCGGTGCACCTGGGTGTACCGCTCGGTACACTGTACCGTACTGGTACTGAGCCCAGGTCGAAATACCGGTACGGTACGATATTGCGAACCTTGGTATAGACGACTGTTTAAATCCTTAGGTACGATTGGTATCCAATATGGATCAGCACAATATCCATTGACTTGGTCTTTCCACCTAGACAAACTAATATTAACAGAATTTCTACAATTTAAATCCTCACATTGATGCTTAGATCCATGACTTAGTGAAATTTTCGTGCTGAGGATTATCATATTGATTGATAAATATTGTATTCATGAGGTATTTATTAGCAAATGGGTTCAAATGATGGTCCAATCCATTTTAAGAAAGCTATCAGACTACTCTATATTAAACAATGCAGCATCAATACCAATTGCTCTTCCCAAAAAATATTTGTGGCAATAATCTTGATGCCATGGACCTATTAATTCACAATTAAATTGTTACATACTAGGTGATATGTGTGATACCTGCATGATTTGAACAATGCTAGTAAGGGTCTCATGCCATTATGTGTGTGCCACCGTACATGTCTTGGCAATGTCATTGGCTTGTATTAGTTTGTGAGTCCAATTTCGTATTATGCCAACTGGGGCATAGTGGTGAACCAATGGATCAATAGGATACTAGTACATGAAACAAAGACCCCTGATAAATGAAACTACCTTTTTACCACATAGTTTACCATGAGTACTAATAATTGTGCATTTTGTGTTACTGGGACCATTCATGAGATAGGAGTTTGTTGTTTGCCTAGTTGGCATGTCAATGTCCTGCTGGCTTGCCCATGTGCTAGCTAGGCAGCTAGCATAGCCATACATTGTCACATCTGGCATGCATCAGTCGAGTATATTCCTACTCATGCCACTTGACATACCAGTCCTTATTGGGATCATTATTTGGTACAGTGCTTCATTCCCATGGTTTGTTTGCTTTATATATATGTATATATGTGCTTGTATAGGTTTTATTAATATTTGTTTAAGTGTATATGAATATATATTTTGGTGGGAAGAGAGGAAAAGGAGGTTAAATGATACCCCATCGGAAAAGGTGGAAGATGCTTTCTTCACCTTTCAAACTTGGGTTCTCCCATCTGCGAACCAACTAACCAAGATGATTATTACACAAAACCAAACTGAGTAGCACAATTCTTCCTTTGATTTTCTCAAGGGAAATGGATAAAACTGGAATGATCCATAAACACGCCAAATCAGCTAATGGGGACAAATCACTGGGGACCCCTCTCCTGAATCAATAATTTGGTTCATGCATTGTTTTATCATATATTGTTTAATTATTAAAGCAATTGCAAGTTGCTGGTTTACACCTGCTATGTGTTTGTGTTATCTATGCAACATACTAGAGAGTAGATAAATGATGCTTCTGTGCTGATTTACTTAACAAATTATTAAAAAAATTGACAGCAAAATGTTTATGCAGGAGATACCATTGGACAAATTGCTTCAGCAAAGGCTGGGATTTTCAAGGTATCAATTTGTCATTTTACCAGCTGAATTGGGCAGAAGCTGGTATCTCAAAATAGACACTGTATTTCATTGTTTTTGTATTGATTATCCAATTATGCAGTCATTTTATGAAGAGTTTTCTGAAAAATGTTTTCCCCATGAAGCCGCATGTTCCTGCATTCACAGTACCCCAACTTCCGGAGGCAATGCTTGCTCTTGAGGAGAGGGCATCTGAGTTAATGGTAATCTCAATTCATGCAAAACATTATTCAGTTGCAAGATTATTTTCCATGATAAAATCTTAAAAAGATTATGAATTGATTATATGAAGTCCATGACACCAAGCTCTAAGTTATAATTTTTGCAATGAACCTTGATACCTTATTATGTTTGGGTTTATTTGTGAATTCTACCATCTTCCTATTTAGTTCTTGTCATTATCAAGATCAAATAAAACTGATCTCACCTTTCTTGCCAAATACAGATTCCTTTGACATTTGCTTCCCCACTTGATCCATCAGTGATGAATGGATTAACGCTTGGATTAGCTGGAGATCACCAGCTCATAAATGCTGGTCTTGCTGTTGCTCTTTGCACAAGTTGGCTTCAGAGAACCGGGCATGCAGAACTCACTCCTAATGTGAGCCATTTAAAAGACCTGATTGTTTGTTAGTTTTCATATTCTATAATAAAAAATGATGCTCCATCATCTTTTAGTAACGTGGGAATTGCCAAGTACACTAAGATGCTAATTTAGTATTGCATTCAATTATGAAAGGTCAAGTGCTTCTGGTTAAAGTTGATTCTAGAGAAAATTGAAAGGCTCTTATGAGGAAACATAAAGCTTAGAAGAAATGCAAGTTGCTAGTACAACTAGTCATGATGACCCAATTATTTGAGGTCGGGGCAATAAGATATCTTTGGTTATGTCAATGCATTGAAGTCTCTCTTATTGTTTCTCGTAAAGTCTTCTTAGGTCTTCCATGATCTCTCCTTACACCACTAATCCTAATTGACTAGCATCATCTAATCATCACATTTGTAGGTTTCCTTTGAACATGTTTAGACCATGTTAAATGATTTTCATTTTATCTTCAATTGAAGCTATATCTAATTGTTTGTCATGCAGATGAAAGCATTTCTCATTGTATCTTTTTTAGCAACTTTGCACATTTACCTAGACACTGTCATCTCAACTAACTTTTTATACATGTTCATAGACTGCTCAACACTTCCTATCCACTTTCGCCATACAACTTTTACTCTATAAATAATGTGTCCTCATCAATGCCAATTTCTTACTGATAATAGATCCAAGGTATCCAACACTTTTGCTTGTAGAATCAACTCCATCTGTCTTAACTATAATCTCACATTCTTTCTTGGTCGTTGAGACTTGAGAATACATTAATGTACTTGGTCTTGGTCCGACTCAATGGCATACTACCCAATATCCCCAGTTCGATTCAAGACAGGCTATACTGAGTGGAAGATTCATCATTTTGTGTATAGATCAAAATATGATCAGTACATACATAAAAATGCCATTTTATGTGTACCGATCAGTAGTCAGTACACATACAAACTACGTAGTGATCCTACTGCCCGCTCTCAGATCTGTCCCCAACTTTAATCCTATCACATCTACTTTCCTCTCCCCTCTTTCACTCATTCTGTCCCATTCTTGCTTAATATCTCTCAAATTTACTTCTCAAACTCCCAATTTTCCTCGAATCTTTGCAAATCAAGGACTAAACTAAAAACAGAGGGGTATTTATCTTTAAATAAGGGTAAACCCGAGACAAAGTTAGCTCATTTAGGATAGTTTTCTTTGTTGAAGTTTGTTCTTTGTTTAGTTTTTCTTAAGTTCTATGTTCTTTCGACTCATTCCAAACCTGGTCTATGAAGACAACTTGGATCTAATTCAATCGAAGCCAGAGAAGCTCGGACTTGATCAAGATCGCTTCAAATCTGCTGAAATCCTTGCGAATCCAGCCTAGATAGTGTGGATATGAGCTAGATAGCGAAACGGAGGAGGCTGGGTAGTTCCATTTGATCAAGAGTTCTATAACAATTGCTCAAATCCCATGTTACGTTGGATGTGTGCAGCGAAGAACCAGGGTGATCAATTTCTAGATAAGGCAAAAGATCCATCATGTTCATCTTGTTTCATTTGAGAGCAGCTGAGGAAGAGGACCAATACGGATCACATGATGAGACTGCCTGGTATGAGAAAGAACAGGTCTCAGTGTCAGGACATGGTTGGGCTACAGGCAGTTCTCCATAGGTCCTAGCAAAGTATATCAGAGTAGGTTTATCATCCATTTTGAAAAAAGAAAAGATCGCTCGTCACAGTTAAGTTACTGTGTATGTAATCAATAAGTACATTTAGATGACATCATCCTTAGTTTTTGCCTTTTGTGAGGTTTGCAAAGATAATAGTGACATGTACAATAAGAGTAAAGGTCTAAAGGTCTTTTTTTCTCACTATGCAGGAGATTAAACAAATGAGTAAGAGTAATCTTTGCAAAAGTAGACCGCTCAACACAACTTTATTTATGACTAGGATATCATAGTCTTTCTTGCCCTATGCTTCTGAGGAAGAGGAGGAAACTGTCAATTTTTATATATTTATTTTTCATAATTGTGAAGATATGCATTTCCTGATATATTTGAAGACCACCCAAAAATTGGTTTTTTTACATATTAGAAATTCTTTAGAATTAAGTTATGCATGAAATTTGGATTTTCCTTATTCAGTTTGCAAGAAAATCCAGAGAATATTCAGCATTTGCCATAGATGGCCTTCAAATGTAAAATATGTGGGCCAGCATGGACAGAGATTTGTGTATGAAGCGCATAACAATAGAAAGGAGGATAGACAATTAATTTGAGATCCTATTTACCAAGGTGCTGGAAGAAAGCAAAACTTGGAGTTGCTTTTGGAGAAAATTAACTTATGGGATGGTATAAGGGGATATGGCATAAACACAAAGTACTTGTGCACAAGGTTTAAGTACTGGTCAAATCGACACATACCAACTAATATTTATTAGTTTGACAAAGTATCGGTATCACGATGTATAGCTTGATACTAGTACATATGTGGTTCATTTTTATTATTTTGTTCAATGACATCGGTGCAATGTGGTTGGTGTCAGAGTTCTCAATTTCGATGTGTATCGCCCGGTACTAGCGGTACGTACCAGTCCGAGAGGATACCGGTATGCAAACCATCCTCTACCAGACAGTACCAATGTTTTGACCGGTACTGAGGCGTACCGACCGGTACCACCCAGGATTTCAACCATTACCGAGGCATATTAATCGGTACGCCTTGGCATGGTAGGTAAAGGTATTTTTAAGGTTTTAGCGTGTACCATCGGTATACCCTAGCGTACAGGCTATATATATATATCTGTACGTACCGTATTGAGCTCTACAGACCGGTATTCAAAACCCTGATTGGTGTACCACCTGATGTACGGTTATCGTATCAGTTTAATAGGTCACTGAAACCATTGTCAGACTGTTGTTGAAATCCTCACTTATGCATCCTTTTCAAGAAAAGGATTTGCAGAATTCTACGCACATCTTCTGTTAAACATCAATGAAAATGATAGTCACCACTGTTTTACTTGTTCAACTACTAAGTATTTGTCTGTTCAATTTTTGCAGAACATAACTACTACTATTTTTTGGTCAGGTATTGAAATGCTATCATGTTAATTGTACTGGTAGTTATCTTATAAAATCCTCAGAAAGAGTCTGCTTATTGCAGCAATTTATATCATCTGGGTTGAAAGAACAAAGAAACTTCTAGCAAACCTCTTTTTCATGAAGAACTACCAGTAAACAAGATTGAGAAAACAGTAGCAGCAAAGTTTCCTAAGGAGCACCCACTGCAGGACAATTCAGAAACATAGAGAGTTTTTGGATCTCTAGCACTTGCCTGTTCACATAGAGGACATAGTCGTGAAATATTAATTAGTCACTAATTAATGCTTTTGTTCACATAAAAGAAACAACAAATTCTTTGTTGTTCCAGTAGTTCTGTACTTTGGTGATGAGAAATAAAATTTTTATTTACTGGAGAAAAGGTTCAGCAAGGAATGATCTTATGTATTTATGTATATATGGTAGCATTGTACACTGAGCACTGGAATTTTTATTCTATACCAAATAGTTAAATCTGTGAAGCAAATATATAGTGTGATATTTTGTAGTTTCATCTTCAGCTATATATATGAATAAACTTTTATGTTTTCATCAGGATAACCCAGAAGAAGGCTTACCAGTAGGATTTCTCAGAGGCCTTTCCACTGCCAGACTTGGTGGACGAGCTCAAACTATTATTGACAAGCCAAAAATGCTTGAGCAGATCCCATATGGAAATTCTGGTGATCTGATCTTTTACTTGGATGGTGCTCATAGTCCAGAAAGCATGGAGGTTTGTGCTAGGTGGTTCTCCAGTGCTGTAGGAGAAGCCCAGCAGTTTGTGAAGAATGGATTTGTGAAAGAACTTGGATATTCTAGTTTGTATGAGAATAAGCATTCTAGTGAATCTAAGAAAGCATCTAAGAAGGTGAGATTTGGTTATAAAGTCATCTGACTTTGTTAAATACAGATCTTTCTTGCTTATTCTTTTTCCTGTTTAGAGTCCTGTACTAAATTCCATTGTGCAATTTAATTCTTTTCAATAGATTCTTTTGTTTAACTGCATGGAGAAGAGAGACCCTCAACTTCTGCTTCCACCACTTGTCGACATATGTGCTTCAAATGGTATTAACTCTTACATCAGTGAACTCTCTTCAGTTTTACCACCTATAAACAAGATACTATTTAGTTTTTATCTTGTTTAAATGTTACTATGGAGTGATATTGCTCTATTTTTATATGTAGAACATTGGGGGTGGTGTGCTAGACCCACTTAAGGATTGAGTTTTTGTAACCTCATCTAACAAATTTTGAAGATGTCAGCTAAGGTAGTTGGTAGAGACCTTGATTGTTGGTAGCAAGGTTTTCATATCCTTTGCAAAAAGAAAAAAAAGATATTGCTCATTTTTCTTGATGTTCATGATCTTTTGCATGGTACCTTGTTATGACAAGAGTGATGTCATTTAAATGACTGGTCCAACCATGTTATTTGGCTGAATCACAGCCTTACCTTTTTTTATTTTCACATATTCTATCATTTAAGACTTGGTCTAGAAGGAAGGGAATGAGGGTGAAAAAAGATTTTGAAATTTTTTGATCAATTTTAAAAGTTAAACAAATACCCAGTAATAAGGGGATATAGTGGTAAGGTCCATCATTGAGAGCTAAATGATATAGATTGTATAATATGATCCATTTTAACGACAGATATATCCTTTTTATCATTGAGTATAGATGTTTCCGAACAAGAATTATGTTTATGTTTATTGTTGATTTGTGCATAATGTTATCTGTGTTTTCTCAGGTGTCCATTTCTCAAAAGCTCTTTTTGTTCCCAGCATGTCGGTGTATCATAGAGTTGATTCTGGGTCATCAATTGTAGCACCTAATACTCCTGCAAATTTGTCATGGCAGTCCACCCTCCAAAGAACTTGGGATAAATTAATCCAAGAAAAAGGTGAAATCCAACTTTGTCTTCTTGTTGCAAATGTTATTTCTTTATTCAGATTATGAAATATGATGTTAGCCATGCACTGACCAAAGTATGCAAGATCAGTTGCAAATCTAGTGAAATGAGCCAGAAATTGGTTGTAATGGTCGATCATATTTGCTGAAATAATATCTGCAGATCTGTTATAAGTAAGCTGGGATGGTCTGATTTCGTTGACCTCTATTGAATCAACTAGATCATATCCGGATCACATAATCCTGCAAGGCATGGCACTACAAATCATGCTTCTGTTAAGGCCTTATGTTCTTAAAGCTGATCAATGCTAATTTATGTCATTATTTTGGTTCCTATATCGCTTTTCTTTCACCATCTTTCTTTCTGCATCAATTGAAATTATTCTGTTGGCAGTTATCCAATATGACTAAGTTTTTACTTTGATCTCTGTCAAGCATTCTCCCACACTTAAAAAATCAGTATCCTCATTCATATTGATATGATCAATTTATTATTTTCTTAGTTGCCATTACTCTGAGTAGAGCTGTGTAAGGGAGGATGAAGGGTCAACTCTGCACTGATTTATAACTTCAAGTAGATATGTAGTTGAGGAGTCTTTCTCCTGTTACGCTATTTAATGTTCTGGTTTTATGCTGTGAACTATTAAGTAGGTAGTCCTTTGCTTTCTGCAACATTCAGGCCAACTGTAAAATTGTATTTAACTTTCAAATTCTGTCGTCAGATTTAGTCAATGATAATGGTTCCAAGATGCAGAAGCTTGGGAAAACTCATGAAGATTTCACTGGAGAGCCTCTGGAAAAGTGTGTTCCTGTTCTTAAAGATCTTTCTCCCAGTGCAGTAGTTCCATCTTTACCGTTGGCTATAAGATGGTTGAGAGACTATGCAAAGGACAACCCTTCTCTTCATCTTCAGGTAAAGACATTACATTCTAAAATTTTAAAAAGTGATTAGCAGATATGCCACACAATTACTGAAGTTCCATAGCAAATTTTAACAGAGTAGTAAAATGATAGTTTGCAGACAATATCATAGATTATTTACATGTTACAATGTTGCATACTTTTGTATGATTTTATGCATCCGAATACTTATCCTGTGCATATGTAATGTATTTATGAGCTATTATCAAAGCCTAAATTCTGAATTAACTCTTCCTGTAATTTTTCCTGTGTTTAGGGGGATTAAAAATTTTACCTTTTCAATTAATTTTAACCTGTCTATTATCTGTTTACTTTCACCTATATATGTTCAATTTCTGAATGTTGAGGAGCTCTACAATAAATGTCATTCCTTGCACTAATGTAAATTTCATAGTATTCCCTCTCTTTTATCTCTGATGACATTTCTGATGCCAGCTTGCATACTAAAATTGCACAACATTTGTGTCCATATATCATCTATAATTTTGATTAAATGAACATATACTTAAATTAAGGTTTTAAATTCTGATCTGATATTGAGTTTCATATACAATACCAATGTATATCACCTAGAATCATTGAATAAAATAATAGAGATTGAACGGTACTTGCACCAGTCACGATTTTCAATGTGGATGTCAGACTCATATTGGTCCCTTATTGGACTGGAATGAGTCCACTAGATAGTGACATACTGACTTACACTACATTGGCATACAGTCGGCATGGTTCCAGCTGGTCCAAACTAGCCGGACCAAGAAAAACCTGGTTTAGGTTTTCTTCGATGAATTCTACCTACTACCTAGTAGAATAAATCCTGGTTTAGGTTTTTCTTGATGAATTCTATCTAATAAAAATGATTGATAGCTTTATTGGCTCTTTTAGCTGAAGGTGAGTTAGTGTTATTGGACTAACAGAATGAATACAGGTTCTTGTCACAGGATCATTGCATTTGGTGGGTGATGTCTTGAAGCTTTTGAGAAGATGATCTCAACATTAAGCCTCACACTCAAACATTCAGGCAATATTCTTTTCATGCATGCAACATGATGGAAATTGCACTGTTTGATGGATTATATGGTGGTCTCTTTGAGCCATCAGAATCTTTCTAATTCAATTATTTTTGCAAGATTGATCGGTTCTGGTTATCTTGCCAACTGTGTGAAGCAGATTTAAGTTGTTCATGGCTCTGGCAATAATTCTCAGAAATGGAGCTAAAGTTAATCATAAAGCATGGGGAATAATCATGTGAAACCCAGAAACAGAACTTCATTTCCAGAAATCAAGAATGTACTTCTGTCAGTGGACAAGATGTTCAAAGAATCAAGGTACGCTTGTGTTCCTTGCCAGATGGCATAAAGATTGTGTGTAGATTATAGCATGGAAATAACTTCTGTCGTATTAGTTACATTGTTGATTTATACAATTTACTCCAAAGCATATTAGTTCTACTGTTTGTTTAAATTTCAAAGAATCAAGCATATTAGTTCTACATTAATAAAGATATGCCTTCTAGTTTTGCATTTAGATTATGACATCGTTCCTTCATCTATCAGCCTAGAAATGGTTGTTTTGACTCCTAGAAACGGTAACTGGTTGGATATTGTTATCCAGAGATCCTTGGAATCTTGAATCAAGCCTGGCTCAGTTATAATGAGTTTGCCTGCCTAAACCATGGTTGAAATGAGACGAAAGGTGGCCAGGACAATGCTTCCAGCACTTTTGCCTTTTCCTCTGCCAATCTTCTTTGATGCTTTCCAAAAATAACTTTTACTGGGTTTCCTTTGTATAGATACATTGTAGATGAGCGTTCCAGCAGCATGTGCAAAACCATTCTTTTGACCGGGTTAATGTAGGTGCTTATTGCAAGGTCTTTAATGTCAGGTACCAGACTTGTGTCGGTCAATGGCTGGATTGGTATAGATCTGGTCCATTTTTCCATGTGGAATGTCAGAATATACTGCAGTGCCAATGTCTTGTGGAGAGAGAGAGAGAGGAGGTGAAGAAGAAAGATGAGGAAGGAAGAGCAAGGGAGGAAGAGGAAGGAGTTGGAGAAAAAGGAGAACGAAAAAGATGGAGAAGTAGCCGAAAGGAGGTTAACAGCGGGCGGCGGACGACAGGTCATGAGCCCTAAAGGATCAGATGATCGGGGCTTTATTGATTTTTTTTATTCATTTGAACACGACCGGTTCATATTTGAAGATCAAAATCGAAAACCTTTGTTTACTCTTAGAATTACCATTTTTTTATTTTAAGTCAATGAATTTGATTACTACAAAACCATAAGATAAATTACGAGGCTGGTGCACATAAGTTATGACTTTATTTTAAGTCAACTCTCCATGTCCGACTAATGCAGGATTTAGTGAGATAGGCTTTGACTTTATAGGTCATGTATATCAAAGTAGTAATTTTACTGGAGTCATTGGAAAATTGCAAGACGTGCTGCACATAGAGTTTTTATTTTTTAGCGGAGAATTGCTGCTTTTGAGTAGTGTCATCGTTACTCGACTATAGAGAAGTGAAGAGTCTTGGTGCATGCATCGTGCACGGTAGGTGATGCTCAATTGGAAAGTCATTCAATTTTAAATATAATTATTCAATTAAAAATTTTAGATTGAAATAGTTATAATTATAAAAGTAAAACATCTAATTTATTTAATCTAATATCGTCAGTTTTATCAACAAAAGAATGTAAATGATGAACAAAAAAATAATTTTAAACTGTTGTGAATGAGAAAATAAAATAACAATAAAAGATGAAGCAAAATGAGAGAAGGAAGAAAATGATATAAATATCGATGCTCTAGTCGTTTGACAATTACGTCGACATCAACATAAATGCAGAATGATGAAAGGATCGTTTGACATTTACATTAATATCGATGTAAATATATATACAAAGTAGTGTCACTCTACATCTGCATTGATGCTGACAATAATATGAGAAAGGACGAGGCTACTCAGCATCTACATCAACATCGATACAATTATCGAGTAATGTTGATATAAATACAAAACGTCATTATCTGTGTTGTCCTTTCCCTCATCTCCCTTTACCTCACATCTTGTCGTCGCTCTCTCTCATCCACAATAACGATGCAATTACCGAGCAATGTCGATATAAATGCAAAGTGTTAATATTTGTGTTGTCCTTTTCCTCCTCTCCCTTTACCTCATATCTTGTCGTCGCTCTCTCTCATCCACAATAACCATCCACAATAAACATCATCGGCTATCATCACAAAAAACGTAATTAAAATATTAAAATTATTTTTTTATCTATTGTTTTTGTGCGTCTATCAATAAAATCGATCATGTTACGATAAATAGAACTAGATGTTTCACGTTACGATAGCCATAGAAATTATAATATAATATTTTTTAAATCTAAAAATCAAGATGTTAAAAAAATCTAACTACAATAGATAATATATAATTAACCCTTCAATTATATGATAAAACACCCTCCGAATGGTAGTCACATGAGAGCAATTAATCTCAAGAGAAAAGGAATTCATTTTCTTCATACTTAGATACGGTTAACGTAGCAAGGTAGAGCTAACCTGTTTAGGTCAAATGCTGCCCTTGTTTCTTACCACCAGCTTATATGGGAGAACCTACTAGCTGTAGCCAAAATCTAGCACAAAATTGCAAATATTTAAGCAATAATGGTGGAAACAAGTTTATGAGGTTAGTGATACATATCCACTAACCATTTAGTTATTCTAACAGTTTTGGCAGGAAATAAAATACTACTTCGAATGGAAAAAGAACATGTACTCTTCCTAGCGTGTTGCATCAGTACATAATTAATCAAATATATAACAAACTTCCGTATGGAAGTTCGGAAATAAGGTTTTGTTCTCGTAGATGATGTCGCCAGTTCAGTTTTTGACCTGAAAATAGAAAATCATAAATCTTGGTGAACACGGCTGGTCAGTTACACCACGCGGACAATACTTCTAAACTTCTGTAGAGCTCTTGGAATTTTTCAACATCAATCCTCTTAGCAACATGTCATCGGTTCTCAAGGAAATAAACGAGAGCTCAGATAACTTATATTGATGTGTTGCTTGATGTTGCTATTGCTTGGGCGATGTCAGTTCCCTCAGGTTGTACTTGGAAAGCTGCTTGTACCTTTCAACCACCCCTATCAAGCAAATAGTCTGAAGAAAGTTTCACGTATCAGTCTCACAATCAGATAACTAGCTAAAAAGCAATCTGAAGTTTAGCAAAGAAAGGATTTTTCAAATTGAAGTATTATGATAACCATGTAAGAAGAAAGTTTTACAACTTCCTATGACAAAGAATCAGATGATTCCAAAAATGATATTGGTGTTAAGAAAACTCTGGCAGGCCATATTGACCATATATGGTAAGTAAATAATAAAACAGCCCACGTGAAATCATCAAAGGTGTAAAAGATTTAGGTTTATGAATATGGGAAGAAGCGTAACCCCTCCCAGTCATAGAGGATAATTACTTGTTAATGATAATGAAATTAAGAAAAGATGAAGAATTTTTTTGTAAATTAATTTAATAAATATTCTACACAAGACTTTGTATTAATGATAAATAATAGTGATAAATTTAATAATCATATATTTGTTCATAAAATTAAAGCTAATGAAGTAAAAGATGCCTGAAAAAAATAAAAATAACTAAGAGTATGGAACCTAATGATATCCCTATTAAAGTTTGAAAAAATTTAGAGGACAAGAGAATAGCCTGATTAACTAGTGTATTTAACAAAATTATAAGATTTAAAAAAATGCTTGATGAACGAAGAAAGAGTTTTTAAGTACTAATTTAAAAGAACAAATGTGACATTCAAAACTATTCTAATTATAGATAAATTAAAATAATGAGTCTCCTATAAAACTTTGAGAAAGAGTTATCGAACATAGGATAACGCTTGAAACAAATATCTCTGAAAATCAATTTGGTTTTCTATCTAGATGATCAACCATAAAAGTTGGATGGACATAATGTTCCTTTAGTAAAAGCTTTAGGTATCTTGGATCAATCATTCAACAAAATTGAGAGATTGATGAAAATATTATTCACAGAGTAAAAAATAGGATAGTTAAAACGACGAGGAGCGTCAAGAGTCTTTTGTGATCACGGAATACCTTTGATATTAAAAAAAAAATTACAAAACAATTGGAAGTCAACTTCAATTAGAAGGGATAAGAAAGTCATGAATGCTCCTAGTTTCCATTTTATTCCCTATGTTGCCCGCAACTCACTCAATGATTAATTCAGTTGAGGCATGGTAAGTTCAGCATAGAACAACAGAAGCAGTTAATGGAGAGATTCTTTTCGAAAGCCTTACGAGTATTAGGCACTTAAAAAACATGTACAAAAAGTTATATTATTAAGATAAGAATGTTGAGATTGATGTGTGGAGTTACTAAGAAAGATAGGAAAATAATAAGAAAAGAAAAAGAGGAAGACCTAAAAAGATCTCAATGGCTTTTTATAAATCTCAATAGCGGTAAAATCCATATAACCAACCCCAAAATGTTGAGACTTATAGTTTTGCTATTGTTGTACAACATAATAATTCCTCTCTTGTAAGTATGAAGTATACATAAAGCACAATTTTTTGTTAACACTAAAGCCGAAACAATATCTACAATATAAGGGCATCTAGGCTGTCATGTGACTACTGAGAGCCCCTTAGATTTATAGGAATGTCTTGTAAAAAATTGTATGGTCAGCTGTGGTTCATGATTAAGAAAAGACAATTAGGAGATGTTAAACATCAGTTGTGAAGTATAATTGTTTATAATGGTAAGGAAGTGCCTGCTATGGATACTAAATGTCATTTCTGTATTGTGCCACTGGATAACAGTCCACAATATAACATGAACAGAAGATTTAAATGCTGGTTTCCATAACCTACAGGATCAGTACATTATTAGTATACTGGGTGGTGCACCAACTTATGCTGCCCAGTATCATTGAATAAAATAATACAAATGTTAAAAATGAATAGTATTGTGCTAGTATCCAGTTATATGTTCCAGAAAAATACTGATTAGAATGTATTGGCTTGACCGGTATTCAAAACCTTGAGATGAACTGTATACTAAATTGCCTTCTGAAATGACTTTCCATTTGCTATGAAGAAACTTCACACAGGTCAACTTTGTAAACAATAGAAATAAGTTGTAGCTGGTTTTGGTGGCATCAACTTTGATAATAGAAGTCCCAACAAAGCTTGAATCCTTTGTCAATATTTGTATATGAAATATGAAATATCAAAGTAATAATATTAGCAACGTTGAAATCAAGCAATATGTCCAGAAGATATAACTTGATTTTCAACATAGTAAAATTAGCAAGATAAAATGCTTCTTTCAGAGGACATTTTTAAAAGCCAATATCTAAGAATCATTTTCTTTCTTTTGCTCTCCTTTGTTTTTAAAATACATTTTCTAGGGTTATGTAAGGTCAGGTCAACTTGAAACGTGAATAGTCAAAACATGTACAGATTATCTGAACTCCATCCAACCCACTAATGGGGTCAAATTTTTATCTGAATCTGACCATAAATAGATCAGATTAAAACAGATCAGATCAGATCAATAAGTCAAGACATTAGATTCAGATCAACTTGATTCAGGTCAAACTGAACCTCAGAAGAACTGATATGTTCAGTCAATCTGATAGCATGTCAAGATCTCTTGACCTGAACCCAGCCCATGAGCCCAAGTTATGCTATACGAGTTGTGTCCAAGTTGGGTCAGATTTAACTTAAAAGGTTCACATTTAGCTTCCCACCCTAGACTCTCAGAATCAATGTGAACTCATTTTGCCTCGTGCATTTGAAATTATCCATCATGAACATCCAGAGATGCCGAGAACTATTCGCCAAAAGTTTTAAATAGCTAAACTTAGTCAGCAAATAGTTTTAATATGATTCTATGGAACTGATACCAGAGCACAAGCTGAAAAAAAAAAATCCCTGTACAAACAAGGTCCATCATAGAATAAATGTCAGTTTAAGAACATTGCAGGCATTCAAATTTATTGCTTTGAAAACATGTTTATTAGCAGGCATGTTAATCATCAAAATAATAAGTTGAATTTTGTGCACTGAAAACTACGAATGAAAGCATATGAAAAATTAAAACACCCTGCAGTGTTTATATACCTTTACAATCTGGACTATGATGGTCTTATCCGGGTTCTTAAGGTCCACTTTATGTGGCTGAGGAACAGATTTTGCAACTGCATCTATAATTGTCATCCTCTCAATACCTGTATTAGATCGTGCTTCATATAGCACTGCAAACTGCATATAACAAAGAATTACATAACAGCTTTGTTCCAAGAAACTTGTTGCAACAGCAAAATGGAGAAACTAAGTCATGAAAGATCAGAAAACTAATCTGCTGAAAATCAAGAAACTAATCTCTACAAAATTAAGAATCTTCTCATGATCATAAAACTAATCCCCTCAGAATCGGAAATGTCATTTCCACAATAAGGAAACTGCCAAAAAAAATCCTAAATAATCCTTATAAATTAGGAATAGATTTACAAGAAGTTAAACAAAATAGGAAATACTTTTAAATCAGTCAAAACAAACAAATAAGAAAAATACTTGTTATTAGTCCAGCACATGTGACAAAACCAACAACGCACTAAAGGTACCAAACCCTGACAAGAATTAGAGAGAAGATTGACATAATATATCACTTAAACCTAAAAAACATTAAAAGAAATTATGAATTGACTACAAAAAACAATTCATTGAACCTAAATCAAACGTAAACAAAAACTAACATGACTTAGATCACAAGACTCAAATCCTAAATTGATTAAATATAATAAAAGAAGCAAAGCCCTAGATGCATCAAAACTGGTTAGGGAAGAGACAGGGTGGCAACGACAAAAATTACTGGTAACAGAGCATAAACAGGAACAGTTTTGGTTCCTAGTTGCAACCAATGACTAGAAGCAACAGTAGAAGTGAATTTAAGAAAGAAAAAGATTGGAGAGTGAGAACACGAAAGATGACGAAATGGGAAGAAAAGGCTGCTAGTGGGTTTAAAGGAGTGGGAGATGGGAGATGGGACTCGAATCCAAATACTGATATTATGCTAACTGCCTAATATACAAAGGTTCACTGCTCAAGGAACCAGTGTGGTACTTGTACCTCGCAATATGTCAAGTATGAATTGTGAACTGATTGGTTCATGTACCAATTGAGCTTTGGACTGGTAAATATTGTTCTATATTAACAAGTACACCCAATTTTTCAATCCATGATCTCCCATCCTTTAAGTTCATCGTCTATACTAATCTTCAAGAGTGATCGTTTATCAGACCAAAGTTATAGGAGATATTGGACCTTGAGTTGATTCGAAGTATCATACTTCCAAGAAAGTTCTCAAATACTGATCAGACAAATACATATCATACAATATTTACTGACCTCACCAAGAACAGCAAAACAAAAGTGGATCGATACCCATCAAAATTTATTTTCCATCTCTCTGTCTCTCTCTAATCCTCTGCCGCCCCACCCATCACTGCCACTGCCTACCCATTGCATCACCACTTCCTGCCCACTGCATTGCCGCTGCCACTCTCCCAGTTAGACTATCTAGTGATCTATAAAAAGGGATCTATGGGGAGAGAGCCACTTAAGCAATTTGATGGCTTTAAACAAATATCTGTCGTGGGTGTGCATTACACATATCTTGTATCCACTCCTCTTAGTTCTTTTTATTTCTTATCCTCTCTATTTTCTAGTCTCGTTCCATATGACTTATTAATTCATAAAAAAACTTTTATTGTATTATAAGTTATTAGTAACAAAATAGGCAGGATATGCATTCATCCTTTTACCCTCTAAACAAGGATATATTAAGATGACTAGAGGTAAAGAATCAAAACTATAGCTAATAATAAAGTCACAAAAGAAACATCAAAGGACTAAGCATACATCAAAGGTAGCTAGATGCATTTTCAAGCAAACTGTCACATTCTTTACTCCCTGTTTCTTCCATGATCTTTAATGAGTAAAATATATCCTTGTTAGACTTGTATAAACATGATCAGAAAGATTATTTAAGATAAAATAAAATATCATTAAAAGAAGAAAATAGCAGGATATACAATTGCACCCATACCTTTTGTGGAATAGGAGCTTCGTTAGGAAAGTGTTGTTCAATAATTGGTTTAATTGCTTTTGAAATTTCCTGTTCTGATGCATAACATGTCAACTCAACTGGTATAACCCTCAGTATGAACCTGGTAGGAGAGCACTGAATTTGATCAAATTGTACTTTCTACAATGATGAGAACAACTACAGTAACAAAGATGGTGTATGTAAACTGCAGATAAGATATGATGAATGAAAATTGGACCTTGACATATGCTTCTTTGTAGAAGCAGCATTAGTCATCATGTGCTGTACAATCTCAGTAGGGCTAGGATCTCCAGCTCGTTTGTGCATTTGAATAAAGACAACACCATTACAACCTGAGTCAAGGCTCACAAAATGCCTCTGTTTTTCAATATAAATGTTTTAGAAATTTTAGTTTCAAAGAGAGTAAGCAAAACAAATAGGAAAAAGAAAGGAGAATGATAAAAGAATTATAGAAATGGACCTACCAAATGTTCCAAAGACTTAATGCCTAACGACTATTGATTATGTATAATAATATATTTCATGGCAAAAGCTGCACGAGAATTTGATGTATGAGTGAACATAAAAGTAGAGGATCTAAGGATGCATTTTAATTATCAAAATAAAAATTAAAATCAATAATAAAATTATAAATATAACATGCCATAATTTTCTAACTAGTTTGATTCAACTACATGGAGCTTGTCCCACCATTGAATTCTGTTCAATGCGATATCTCCAGCTAATTGTTTCTAATAAAGTTTTCTTATATCCCCATCTCTGCTCATACCACCAATAATAATTATCTTACCTTATCTAACCACAATATCTGTGGATCTTCTTAAAACATGTGCATATTAGATTATAAATCTCTTGTTTTATTCTCTATCAGAGCTAAATATTTTTTTAGTAACTCCATACATTTTTCTTGACGTTATCATCTCAACTACACAGACACATATTTTTTCTATATATTTCACAGCAGCCCAGCACTCAGATCTATAAAGTATGGCTAACCTACAAACTCAGATCCATACTAAAATTTTCCTTTTAATATAGCATGCACTTGATGAAAACACAAAATCGCCAATACTCCTATCCACTTTAATCAACTTATTTTACTCTATGAACTATATTGATCTCCTCATTTTGTTGAAATAGATCCAATACACTGAGAAGTAATCTAATTACATTAGTTGAAAGCTTGAGTATGAAAATTACCAGGAACTAAAAGACAAAATATTCCAAAGATCAGGAAGATATTAGTCCATTATATCCCAACTAATGACAACTTTTTTATGTTTCGGTGCTTTAAATATCAATTCAATATTTTCAAAGTGATTATACCATAAATAGTTGAACATCAAGTCGATCTAGCAAATATGAAGGAAACATAAAATACAGCATTCAGCAATTAACAAAAGACGAATATATGCATATGTGCCCATGTCGAACATCCTTACGACTAGTATTTCTAAGAAGAAACAAATAAAAAAATAAAATTGAAAAATGTAGAAATTATTTTGTTCCCCATCATTTTTTGTCAAATATACTGCAAGGTCCAAGAAGATAGGTGCCCAAGAAGTAGAGAAGAATAGGACAATGATGACCATTAAAAAGTGACAATGACAATGGCATTGACAAAATTATAACTGAATGTTCCTTTCAATATTTTTATCAAACAGAAAAGGATAACAAGAAAACCTGCAAAGCGAAAAATATATGCAATTAAATGATATATTTCAGTTTTTAGTTCATAACACAGAAAGCTCAGATTATTGTTTGAGCAATAATAATTTTCATATTCTACCAAAAAACAGCAAGAGCAAGATCAAACTGCAGAGATAAATGCACTATTCACAATGGAAACCAACCTTGTTCCTGTCTCCTAGCTCTCTGAGTTCATCTTCAATTAACTCATCAATAGGTTTATCATCAGTTTTAGTACTTTCTACATTTTCCATTTTAACTGCACATGTATTGACACGTTGTTTCTTTGATGGTAAGTCCTCACTTTCTTCTGCAGGTTTCTGCATTTCTGGTTCCTTTTCATGACTAGGAGAGGCATCTTCTTTCACCTTCTTTGTTTGTAGGTCCCCATGATCTCGTAGGGAAGCATCTGACTCATCTGCATGAGGACTATCCTCATCTTCATCACTAGAAGAATCAGAATCCCTGAATTTAATTATTTTATTCAATGGTTTACTAGGAACAGCACCACATTTAACAACTGACTTTTTCCCATGCACTAGCTCTTCATAGTACTGCACATCAAACGAACCAGAGATACCATCAGAATGTATCCTAGCCATTTCATACATGTATAACATCAAATTCATGAGATGTTTGAAGCAAAATATGGATCAACGAGGAGGCCACTTTTAAATAAATGCTAAAACTAAAGGTACACAAAGATTAAGTTCACTAATTTACTGATAGCAAACAACAATGTCAAGCAAAGCACATAGACCATAACCAATGGTTTCTAAGGCTAAAACATGTTGGAACACAGAAACGATCGAAGCATAAGCTTATGGGATAGTACTAAAGAATAAACAAGAATGGAAAAAAAAAGAATCTGATTCTGGCTGCAGAAACCCAAAATGAAACCAAAACCAATAGCAAAAAGGCTAAAACAACATCAGCAACGGTTTTACGACTCAGAACAAAACCCAGTGGAAACAACAATAAGGCCGAGTAAATATTAGATTTGGGAAGCAAACCAAAACCAGAATCTCAACCATAAGAATGAAAGAAACCAGCAGGAAAGAGTTAGAACGGACGGTTTCTAGGAGATTAAGCGCTTCATTGGTCGCCTGGCGCTCCCTTCCTCCATCGCAAGTAAGGAAAACCCCCTGTACGCCGGGGCGCAGCGGATACAATCCCTTCTTCACCGGTTTCTGCGTCGTCACTACACGAATCATCAAACAGAACAACGAACGAGAAAGGGGAAAAGGCACGAGTGCCTTCGTCACGTTGGATTCTTGCACACGAAGATGACATTTACCCCATGCGGAAGATACTTCCTCTTCTTCCCCTTACTGTAGTTGTTGTCGTTGGAATTGGATTTGGGGTTGTTCTCGCCCGCCATTGATCTCTGTGTCTCTGTGGCTTTAGGGTTGGGGAAGTTACAGGCGAGGAACTGCTCTAGTTAACCCCTCAAATCCGCCGCAGATGGACAGCGAGTTCATCTCGGTTCGGTTCGGTTCGGTTCGGTTCGCTTCCCGGTTTAAGAAGGTTCATCTTGGTTCGGGTTTTATGGAACATCGTCACCGATCGAGGAGGGGCCGTTTCCCCATCCCATACTCAAATGTCCCATGCGCTGTGATTCTTTTAACGGCATAATGTCACGTGCATATCACGTGAACTAAAATTCTAGTACTGCATGGTTCGCACTTTATGTGCCGCCCTGTTTGGCTGGAAACCAATTTGCTCGAGGGAAAGAGGGCGAAGCGGCGGCGGAGGATGTCGGGCGAAGAAGAAGATGACTTCGATGAGGGAGTGGTGGTGGGGCAACTGTCTACGGTCATGGTGCCAAAGCATATCAAGAAGAGGGCTCTCAGAAACAAAGCTCTCACCGTTGGTTTCAACGACAAAGAGCTCAGGCACACTCATGCTAATCAAACGATCTCTTGTAGCTTTTTTTTTTGCTTTGCTTTTCTTTTTCTAAGAAATAGTCGTTGGTTGGTCCTCTGTGATTTCCTGATCCCGATGGCGAGAAAAACCCTAGCGAAATTTATCTTGTAGATGTCAAAGGCGGATTTTTTTTTTTATCCAGGTATTTTGTTTCGTTCGACCCAAAAAGTATATGTCATTGAGCTAATGATGACACTGAGACCAGGGTGGTGTGTTATTATAACTATCTTGAAGAGCCTTTTCGATTTATGTTATCAGGATATGGACATGCTTATGTCCTGTTCGCTTGCTTCCTAACTATATCAGAAATAAATTGGTTACTTTAACAGCTTTCCGCTCCTATTTTGATAAGATGTGGTATTTGAAATTTTGACTAGCAGTGTACTTATTTTACAAAATATCCTGTCTTGTCTAATTGTGAAAACAATTATCTATTGAAAATTGCAGAAGATTTTTGCTAGGTATCATATATAATTGAAAATCCTAGTTAACAAGCATTTATGTGGCAGGGACTTTGTTACTGGGTTCCATAAAAGAAAGAAGAAAAGGAGAAAAGAAGCTCAGAGGCAGTTGCAAGAAAAGGATAGATTGAAGCGGATTGAGGCTCGTAAGAAGGTTTGTCTCTTTTGTTAATATGTTTTGTGAATTACTTTTAATGCAAGTTAAAGAAAGAAACACTTGACTAGGTTATTGCATTCTGATAGACACAAGATGAGTACTCTTGTGGTGCATACAAAGAATAAAGAAATCACTCTCCATGAATAGAGATGTATGTTACATATTTCTACATCAAACATCAGTTTTTTCCATGATTATTTGAAGCAAAACCATGCCTGGAGACAATGTAATAAAATAAGAGAGACAAACAAGGAACTGTTTAATATCATTAAGTTGTGATATTTAGTTTTCTGTTGGCTATAATCAGTAAATTTATTTTCCATATGGATAGTTGATTGTCAAAACATAGCTCAAAATGATAACTTACAGTATGTTTGTTGTGAAATTTTTGAGAAATATATGATGACAGATATTAAGCTAGACAAAAAAAGATTCTAGAATGGCCCAAAGTTATAATATATGTACATGGAGTCTATTTTCAGAAGTGTTGTACTATGATGGAGAGTGTTTACTGTAGAAGATATCAACAATTTTATATTTCATACTAGATCATTTTGAACTGAAAGACCATGAATCTGGTGGTCTTGACTCTGTGATTTTACCTGTGAAATTCATATGAAAAATATCTTTTCTGTTCTTCTGAAATAACTTTCATAATGTTGTTTCGAAGCGAATTAGAAAGTCGAAGTTGATAGGTGTTGATTATCAGTTTGTTGAAAGGAGTATTCGAGGAAAAATTAGAAATAAAACAGTTAAGGCCTTGATGGAGGATAGACTATTATGCTCTTGTAAAGGTTGCTTCATTGTAACTAGGGTATCACGGCTACGTCATAGAAATAATGCTTCCATGCTTAGGGGTAGGGCTGAATATTTATCCTCTTAACACTGTTCAATGGTAGGAGTGTGGTGGGTTAACTACCAATGGGATTAAGAGTCTAGCAAAAGTATATATATAAAAATTCAGACTTTACCAAACTATATTATAGATCTACTTTCACCTTGAGTTTGTAGCAATCTTCATTCCTAGACAAAAAAGAAAGAAAAGATTTTGGAAGTGCACTTTATGATGCTTTTACGTCCTCATGGATCCAAATTGTTTTATTGAATGGCCTTTTCCTCTTTGCCAAATAATATTGCAAGAGAACCCCTTATTTACTAAAATTATCTTGGACTAGCATGGAGAGATACAAGGGAGGAGAGAAGAGGAGTGCCCAATCATTTATGCTTTATCCTTATGACTTATTGCAATCATATTTTAGCAAGTGCACCTTTAATTGACCAACTGATCTTGGACTAGGAAGGTAAGGAGGGAGAAAAGGAGGAAGAGAAGACTAGGAGGGGGGGTTTTGCAGTAATCTATGCTTCATAACTTATAAGATTATTTTTTTGCTTGCAACATACCATTTAATGCCTTACTGGAAACTATCAGTTTTTTCCAACATGGCACATGTCGAATGTGAATTTATTCCCAATTCCAGTTTAAGATAGCATGTCAATCATGCACTCTGATCTGCAACTAGTTTAAAAATTGGTTCAGTTGCAACAGTTAGGGAGCATTTTTGGGCAAACCTGAGTCAAACCTAAGACTTTTTTCAGGGATCGAGGACATCTTTAGAGGATGCATAGGATCAGTATTCTCAGCAGACTGAGTCAAACCTGATTTGCCTGCTTGAGAAAGCAAATGCCTCTACCATCCTAGTTCTTACATAATATTTTCTTCATAATATCATGATGGTATTTTATAGGGAGTTGTTATAGAGTAGTCGGACTGTAACACCCCTTGGAGACCCTATCATGGACAAAGGTCTTTCCGCCATAGATTAATTTTCTCTTATTTTCGGATGTATATCTGATATTTTCAGCATGGTTGAGTTTAGAGTCAATTCTTTGTATCCTTATCAAGTCCTATTTTGGTTGCAACTTGGGTTGGGAAAACCGTTGAGACATCTTTAGAGAGTTCTAAACATGTCTTTAGATGAATTTTGTGGATTATGAGATTTCCACAAAAGCAAACTCGTCTCCCCTAAATTATGTTGGTCCCTAAATTTTGTGGGTTATAACAATTCTAAGAGTAGGGTTGTATCTTTATTTGTTATCTTTCTTTATTGCAATAGAATTATCATTAGTTAGTAATTGTTTCTTTCTCGCTTTTTATATTTGGAACTGAGTTTTTTCTCAAACTAAGGAGCACTTGGTAGGAGGCTATAACTTTTAAAATGTCATTCATACCAATTGATATTACTAGTCCGAGAGTCAATCAGTCTTGTACTCTTCCCACTTTCATCATTTTTAAAGCTTCCTTCTTTGCGTTTCCTATATAACCTCGTTAAATGAATATAAACATGTACATTGAGAGAGTAACTGGCCAATGATGGTCAAACTATTTGCATATTAATATAGCTAATTGTTCTTTCGTGGCTTAAATGTGGAGTTTCTGTCAAATAATTTGCTTGTAAGGATAAGACTACCTACATCAGCTCTTCCTGATCTTGCAGTGCCCGAAGCCTCATGCATTGGTCTGGTTGAACAATAGTGATTCACAAAATAATTTATTATGAAAACTTTTGGCAACATTAGTTGATTGGATATATAATTGGTCAAGCAACATAGGAAAATAAGTAAAGTAGCTTTATAATAAGAAGAAATTGATTAATGTTGGCGGTTTGAAATGCATGGCAGAGTTATTAAGGAATCCAAATTATGGTTATAATAATTGCTTTAAACAGCAATTATTGATGTGTGTGGGAAAATTTTTTCTGACTAGCATATGGTTGTTCTTGATTTGTGAACTTGTTCTTTTATTTTGGTGTAGAGGAAACAAGAAAGAGAAATGGCTTTATATGGAAGAGTTTTATCTTCAGAGAATCCACTGGCTGCTGTTTCAGAACCTGACAATGCAGGTGATTCTGAACAAGATAATCAGGACATGATGGCATCTGTTTCAGGTAATGTTGTATTACTGCAAGTAAATAATTGATATGGGAACTTTGTTGTCAATAGTGAATGAAGATCATCATCAGATGTATTGATCGATTCTTGTGCAATTGGAACAAGAATTTAGCTTACACCACTATTTTTTCTTTTGAAGAAACAAAGATGTATGAAGATGAGGACACGACAATTACAGTTACAACAAGTGCAATCTCCCACGAAAAGGGTGATTTTAATCAAACAAATACTATACCTATGGTCGGAAGCAAAGCTGAAAAGAGGCAAGGCCTAGATGTGAAGAAGAAACCACTGAAACGAGTTGCAAAGCACCGATCAAACAAGAAGGGTGGAAAGAAGCCTACCCCTCGGAAGCATAAGAAGGGCAGAAACAAATGATGATAGCTACCGTAGCTGATAAGGACTGACAGTCGATAGCAAGATTTTGGAATCAAGTTTCGTCTTCACCGTTTATCTTTGCATCAAAAAGAGAAAAAAATGATAAATATGGATGATATCTACAAGATTTATCATCATCTGCTGTTTGCTTTACACAATAGTGACAAATATATATATTTTTTTCACAAATCATTGGCCGAGTGTAACAACCTTAGGGATTCTCATGAGAATACTTTGTTACCAGAAAACTTCTGTTGTGCACTGTTCAGGGTTCTGAGTAGTTGAGTGAAAATTAAAGACTCTAGATTAACCTGTTGTGCATTGCAATTAAATGAATCATTTGCATTCATGTTATGGTAATATGATACCATCATAGAATCAATACCACACTGAAGAAGCCAATATGAAGCATTAGAGTTCCACATAATATATTTGCATTCACAATGTGGGACTGGGAAGAACCAGCACTACACGGCTGCAAATTATCACGAAGGATCGAGACATCTAGGCTTTCAATACATTTGAAAGCTTGCAGTAAATTGTGGCCAGGCTCTTTCAGTTGTTTCAGATCAAGGCTTCAGAAGTCCGGCTTCTAAACTCATCTTGCGTGCCATTTGATGTCTAAGTGTTGTCACAGTACGTTTTGGTACGGATTGTATTTATCGATCCAACAAGGTACATGACCAGAGTAAACTAAGCAATACATCCAGTATTGGACGTGTACCACCAGGTGGTGTTGGACACCCTGGTAAAGACTGGCGTGTGGTACACGAGGTGGTATAGATAATTTCTTTATATGTTTTTAGACTGTTCTTCGTAATCCTAACCAAATATACGAGCTAATAATAAATCATCCCATGTAGTTAACTATCTTTAATATTTCTATCCCTATATTTTAAAAAATAATATTTAATATTCTTATTGTTATAAAAGTAAAATATCTAAATTCATTTACGATCTCGGTTTTAATGACGAATAGATCATTTTAATATTTCAATTTATGATGATGGAACGATGACATTGTTAGAGGCCACGAGTAATTATTATGGATGAAAAGAGTTACAGTATACTTGCATGACATCGACACTGCATGACATCGACACAGTTGTGGAGTGACGTTGCTCTACATTTGCATCGACGCTGATGTGGATGTTGAATGGCATCGCTTTGCATTTGTGTTGGTACCAACACAGATGCAAAACGATCATCATCTCTCATCGTCGCTCTCCTCATCTACAATAGCGACCCCTAACGACGTCGTTGTTCATCACCACCTAAGTCATCCGCTTTCAACAACTAAAATATTATAATTATCTTTTTATCTTTTATTTTTATATTTTCGTTGATAAAACCGATAATATTAAAATAAATAAATCTAGATGTCTCAATTTCGTAACTACAGAGATGCCAATGTAACTTTTTAAATTGTAACAACTGAAATACTAAAACTACCTAACTACATACGATAATTTATAATTAGCCCCAAATATATTGTACATGAGATTAGGAACCTTGATCTAAACAGAATAGATATAATAATAACACAAGCAGGATAATTGAAAGTTCTGCACATCAACCTTGCACATGCATTATATACTGAATTTTTTACATTTTGCACAGAATGATACAATGTGTAAGGTAGTTTTATCGATTTGATGAATATGCTGCAGCAAGGACAGCAGCGCCTGTTCCCGATCCATCCTCACAGACCCGAAGACAAACATACGGGGCAACCTCCTCGCCTAAGATCTCTGCAACGGCTTCATTCAAGTACTCCCTGAACATCGAGTACCCAACATAAAGACCTCCTTCGACTGCCACGACTGTTCTTCTCGGTTTGCCCTTCGTTCTTCCGCTTGCAACGCCTGCACTCCCATCTCGTCCTATCTTCTTTAGTATCCCAACTATACCTGCTGCAGCTAACCTTGCAGCTCTTCTCGTGACTATGTCACATACTCTAACAAGAAGCCTTCTTGCCTTCAATGAGACTCCAGATATCTGATGAGATTAGTCCAGTGGCAATAGTTAGGATGCTAATGACAATAGCGACTATTGGCATAGAAGATGAAGATATCATCGAGAGTGTGATACCTTCAAATGGTCTTCAAGTATCTTCCCGACTTCTCTCAAGTCAGGTGAGTCGTCCTCGTGCATTGCTGCCATCAAAGGTGTCCTGGGAGAAATAATGGGAAGTTTGAGGGAACTCAGGAGCTCTCTCGGCACTCAAAAGAGATAGAAAAGAATCTTGATTCATGACATTACCAATTGGAAGTCGCAAATAAAATGGAATTATTTGCATCTAATGCACTTCCAGACAAGAAACAAAGAGAATTTAAAGTAGATCTGTCGTCTATGAACATTACTGCACTCTCAAACGAAGCAGGATTAACTACCAGCATTGTTTGATAGGCAGCATTCATGTGCATTCAATTATTGACATAACACTTTGTGTATCCATTTCTAAAGCAAAATCAGATGCTAAAAAACACTTCTGAAATGATTTATCTTGCACCTTGTTTACTAGGAAAAAGAATTGCAATAAATCAAGTCTATCATAGCCCTCAACGACACCATAAATAAAGTTATAATTAAGCATGATAGTGTACTGGTTGTCATGTGTTGGTATGCATCAAAACATACTGTAAAAGTATCAATTCGTCAATGCTGATCCATAGCAGAGGGGATGAGATATGACTAGACTAATCAATGCTAATCAACACAAGGGTCTGTTGACCACTATTAGAATCCGACCCACCATGATGCAACAGCAAACCTTGGTCTTAATGCTATAAATTCTGACAAAAGAAAAAGGTCTATTGACTATCCATGCAAAGGGTAGAAGCTATGTTACAAACTACTGACAAAAGATATTAATCATGTTCATCACTACTAGAATGCCTTAATGTTACCATAAAAATACAAGAAATAAACTGAAGTTGCAGGTGACAATCTTACACATGGACCTGCTGCAAACTCTATCAATATCATACCTTATGACAAAGGGGACTGACAGATTTTGCACAGCATCTGGAAAGATATCTGACTCCTCTGCCATCCTCTGAAGAACCCTTCTAACAATTTCACCCAAGTACATCCCTGATATCATTTTTTCAAAACCCTATACCAGAAAAAAGACGATGTTACAAGGCTTCTCAGGTGACTACAAAAGTATGCTAAAAGGATAAGCACACTGGAAAGTCTTGCCTGCTCATTACGATTGGGGCTCTCATCATCTAGAGATATGTCATAGGGGGTTCTTGGTAGATGTGATGACCAGAAATTCCCCCATTCCATGTTGACAACCTAATCAGCATAATAATGAGTGGATACATATGACCAGCAACAAAGAATATATTCTGCAGCAGAACAAAAGCTGGCTTGAAATCATGTAACTTGAATAATACATAAGATACCATGTCACCGGAGTTCGTAAGAAGGCCTTGATACTTTATAATTGCATCAGTCCTTTCAAGATAGCAAGCATTGGTTCCCGTTCCAATTATCACTGCAGCTACAGTGTCAACATCGTAATAATGGCCAAGAGCTAATGTGCCAACAGTATCATTCACCTGGTTGGGTCCAGTACATGAAACTCATTAGACTACTATTCTTTACGGGCAATAACAAAATCAAAATTAACAGAACAGAACAAATAGAAGAGACCATTCCTAATTTCCAGAACATCACATAAATGATCCACCACTTTGTTAAAACCACTAAGTAGTGCAGTGGCCAGTTGGAGTGATCAATCATTCCAGTATTAAGATCATGCAATAAGACAATACATGGTAGAGGAGTTAATAAGCTCTGTACAAAGACCAACCAACCACATAAAAACATGATCCTATATTCCCTTTGGGTACTAGTACTATTCAATTGCCTATTTACTTAAATACCACAAACTTATTTATTTGAACATAACTCAAGTAAATGTCCTTTCTTACATTATATCCTGTTATTCCCCATTCTCTTAGATAGTTCAACAAATCGAAAAAAGCTGCGTACATTTTAGGTTAAATAAAATTTACTTCAAAAACTAAATTTGAAACCATTAACAAAGATATAACCAAAGCAAAAACTCTATGCTAAGATATGTACCACTAAATGTCCTTTCTTACATTATATCCTGTTATTCCCCATTCTCTTAGATAGTTCAACAAATCAAAAAAGCTGAATACTTTTTAGGTTAAATAAAATTCACTTCAAAAACTAAATTTGAAACCATTAACAAAGATATAACCAAAGCAAAAACTCTATGCTAAGATATGTACCACTAAACTATCTAAGAAACTTCTCTCTAATATTAATTTCTAATAGGATGAGAAAAGGACACCCAAGATACGAAATATGATCTGAAATTTTTGCCCATTAGAATTTTAAAATGAAGTACAAACTAAACTATCAAAATCACAGACAGCAAAATATATTGTGCTCCCAAGTTGCTAATGGAATCATCAATGAATCTTCATGTTGCATGATCTTTGTCTCCTTACTAACAACAAATTTTAGTTGTATTCTATTTTATATTTATGATAACGTTTAGTAGTATCTAAAAGAAATGAAGAATTCACACCAAAACAGGCACAAAGGGTTCTTTAAACAATTAGGAATGGAAGAATTAATAATTGCTGCTGACAATCTGTTTTCTAATGAGTTCACTAGTGGCAGATAGTGCCCCTTAAATTTGTGGCTATATAGCCTATTCAACTTTAACAAACAAATTAGAAAAAGGATGAATCCAATGCGTGAGGCTCACTTCAATACAGGATTTAGGATTTTAATTTCGAATGAAACCACCCATACCGGTCCACTAGCAGACCGGTACGCAAACTATCTGTTACCAAGCGGTACCGTCGATTAGGGCTGTTTCCGCCTCGTTACCACCCAAAATCGGTCAATAACGATTGATTTCGACCGTCACCGCCCGCTACTGGGCGGTATTAGCCGATGGAGAAGAAAGGGAGAACCTGGAGATCCGACGCCACTCTCCCTCGATGATCCCGATCCTTCGCCGCCCTCTCTCGCCGGACATCGCAGATGAGATGTCGTCTCCTCCTCGTCTGAGGCGACGAGGCCTCGGCATCATCGGCGACTTCTCATCCGTACGGGGAGGCGACGTTGCCTCAACGACATCACCCTTTTTTTATTTTTAATTTTTTTAATTTTTAATTTTTAATTTTTTTAATATATATATATATATATATACACACACTAGCCGATATGCCAGAGTGTACCGCTCGGTATACTCATACTGTATCGTATCGAGTTGAGCTCAAAACA